AAAAATAAAATTATTATTATAAAAAATAGTCTATTTTATAAAAATATATTAGAATATTTATAATATATTTATTTATATATAAATATATAAACTAATAATAATAATAAATAATTAAATTAAAATTTATAAAATTTAATAAAGTTTACTAAAGATATATATATATAGATAATTTTATTATAGTAGTAGATTACTATATTTTAAATAATAAAATTTAAAATTATTCTAATCTAAATATAAATTATTATAATTAAAATATATCTAGTTCTTTATATTCTACTAAAAATAAATTAATTATTAATATAAAATATAAAGTTATTTTAAAAATATTTTTTAAATATATAATTTACTACTTCTAATCTAATTTTTTAAATATATTATAATAATTATATAAAGTTTTTTTATTTATCTAGAATTATTTATCTTTTATTTTTAAAAATTTTTAATATTTATTTATAATTAATTAAAAAATATTTCTATTATTATACTATATTTCTAGAAATCTAGATTTTATAATATTAAATAAAGTCTTATCTTTATTTTATTAAATAAAAATCTATTTTATCTATAATTAAGCTTTTTAAGATTTTTATTAATACTAGTATTTTAATAAATAATAAACTTAAATTTTTTTATATTAAATTTTTTAATAATTATATTTTTTTTAATAACTCTCTTCTTAATAATATAAAAAAGAATATTAATTTAGAATTTTTTATTTTAATTAATATTCTAGAAAAAAATATTATCTATAATTAAAATTAATTAATATTTTTTTATTAATCTTTTTTTTTTATAATATATTTTTTTTAATCTAAATAAAATTAATAATTTTTATAAAAATCTTTTACAGGCCTTTATTTATAAATCTTTTTATTATATAAAATCTATATTTTTAAAATTTATAATAACTTTTAGTCTCTGAATTTTTATTATAAAAATTTTAAAAAATAATTATAAAATTTTATAAAAAATTCTATATATTATAAATATCTTTAAAAAAATTTAGAATATTCTTAAAATACTTAAGATACTTAAAAACTATATTAGAAAATTTTTATTATTATTATTAATAAAAAAGTATATAGTTCTAGTTAATCTAAAAATATAGATATTAATTTTATTAATATATTAAAAAAATCTAGTTAAAAATATTATAATGTAATATAATTTTAGTTTATTAAAACTTTATTATTTTATTCTATTCTTAAAATTAGAAATTAAGAAAATATATTTTAAAATAATAGAATATTCTAATAATTCTAATAAATTTTAGTATTTTTATATATAGAATTTATTATTAATTATTATTTTTAATTAGTATATTATTTTATTAATTAAAGATTTATTTTTACTAAATAATATTATTAAGTTTATTAAATAAAAATAAAGATTTAATTTTTAATTTTAATATAATAAAATAATCTTTATAAAATATAATTTCTATTTATTATTATTTATTAAAAATTAAGTTATTCTATTTATTTAATTAATAATTAAAAATTATTAATTAATTAAATTATAAAACTAAATTATATATAAATTTATTTTACTAGATTTTATATTATTAAGTAAATTTTTATTAATTAAGAAATTATTACTTAAGATTTTAATAATTTTTATTTTATATTATATTAATCTCCAGATTTCTTATATATTTTTTAATTAATTAAATAATAATATTATTTATTTTATTATTAATCTTAAATCTTATAAAATTTAATTTTATATTTAGATATATCTACTTTAAGTAGAGTTTAAGTTTTTATTTTTTAATTAAGATTATTTTATATAATTTTTAAATTAACTAGATATCTAGTTTATCTCTTTATTTCTTTTTATTAATAATTTTAATATATATTAAAATATATATTATATATTTAAAAACTTTTATTTTATTTTATTTATATTTTTATATTAAGAGTATTATTATTTAGTTAACTTTTTTATTTTTATTTTAAATTTTTATAAAGTAGCTTTTAAAAATATAATATCTAATTTTAAATCTAATTTTAAAATTATTATAAAAATTTTTTTAATTTCTTTTATAATATTTCTACTATTATTATTTTATTTATTATAATATTAATTAGAGATATATTCTAGTAAATTAAAAATAATAATATTTTTAATTATAATATTAATATAAAATACTAGATATATTATTATTTATAATATAAAAAATATATTTCTAATTATAATATTATTTTTTATAATTATTATTATCTTTAGATAGAGGCTTTTCAGAAACAGAATACTTATTATATAATAAATACTTAAAAAATAATAATAATATTTTATTATAAAAAATATATAGCTTTATTAATTATTAATTAAAATTTTTATTTTAATTTTAAATCTTATTCTAGATTAATTATATAATATCTTATATTTAGATTAAAAAAATATTAGATTATATTTATAAAATTATATCTAATATATTTTTATATCTATTAAGATTAATAAATATTCTAATATATTATAAAAAATAATTTAATTTATATATTAGCTATAGTAACTAAGTCTAAAATATTTAAAAATATAAATTATATTAAAATTTAACTAGACTTTTATTTTTCTACTTATTATTTTTTAATATTATATTAATTTATTCTAGTTTTATATTAAGTATTTTTAATATATAAAATTAATAATACTATTTTTTTTTTCTAAATATTTAATTTTTATTAGGATTATCTTAGTTAATTTATATATATATAATTATTATAATAGTAATTATTATTATTTTAATTAATTTTTATATTTTAATATAGAATTTTAAAAAATAGATTATATATAATTATTATATATTTTAATATCTTATAATAATAATATTAAATATATTTAATTAATAATTAAAAAAATTTTATAATAAAAGTATATATATTTTATTTATAAAATTTTAATTTATATTAAAATTATTTTAGATAAGTTACTAGATATTTAAAATAATAAATAAATTAAATATATAACTACTCTAATTATTTATATAGGATTTTATTTTAATTTATTTATTAATAAATATAAACTACTAATAAATTATAATATCTTATATAAAAAATTTAAATATAAGTTTATTATTTTTTAATATTATTAATCTTTATTTTTATTAATTTTTTTTTAAAAGTATATTTAAAGCTTAAATAAACTATATATTATTATCTTAATTTATAACTTATTTTTTTAGAATAAACTAGTTATAATAAACTTTATAATTTAGATTAATAGATATATATAATAATATATATTTAGATTATCTTTAAATTATTTAATAATTATATTAATTATATTTATAACTTATCTAATATTATATTCTTATTAATAAGTATAATATATATTAATTTTTAATAAATATATAATTATTTTTTTTTATATTTTTTTTTAGAATAATAGATATTATCTATATTTTTTTTAATATATTAAAATAAATATACTATAATTACTCTAGTTTAATATAATTTATTATATTTTTTATTCTATTCTTAAATAAAACTATTATTAGAGTAAGTATTTTCTAAATTTTAAAAAATATATAAAAATCTTTTTTATATATTTTTATACTAATTATTTATCTAGATATTTAAAAATATTTTATATTAAATATTTTATTTAATATAAATCAGATCTAGTATTTTTATATTATAGTATTTAATATTATTTTTAATAAAAAAAATTTTTATTTTTTTTAATACAGTTATTATAAAAGTTAGATTATAATATTATTTTATTTTTTTTTATTATAAATATTCTTCTAAATAAATTCTTCTAGATCTAAATAATAAAATTAATAAAATATTTATAATAAATATAAATAATAATTTTAAATATTTATTAAATAAAAATAAATAGCTTTTATAGTATAGATAAAATATTAATTTTATATAACTATTTTTAATATAAAGTTTTTTATTTATTATTTTTAATTATTATCTCTAATATATTAATATAAGTTAAAAAATAATTTTAATTTTATTTTATAATTATATTATAACTAGTAGAATTCTGAATTTATATAATAAATTAACTATTATAAATTCTATAATATATTATATATTTAGTAGTATTTTTAAAAGTTTAATAATAGATTATTATTAATAATTATAATTTATTATAAGTAATTAATATACTATAATATTAATACTATACTAATATATTTATTTAATTTATTATAACTTTACTATAATTCTAAAAAATCTTAATAAAACTAATACAGTATATAATAAATTTTTATAAACTATTTAATATAACTTTTACTAACTATTAAAAATAGATACCCTCTAGTATTAAAACTCTCTAAATATCCCCCCTTAAGCTACTATGTAGTTGATGGACCCCGGTCCAGTATACTGCCTTTAACAGCCCTTCGCAATCAACGCACCCTAGCACTGAAACTAGAACAAAGGCCATTACCACATCATTGAAATAAGCATTCCCGATGGACTCTTCTCCTTATACAATGGTTCGGTGCCTCACATATCTGCCGTGCTGGACGTTCTTCTTCAGTTTTTGACAAAGTCCAGGTTCACGCTCTCAAGTCGAACTCCTCCACCGATGCCCTTATCCATGAGAGTCTCGCTTCGGATATGTTTCCTTTCACCCTCGAAGTCTTCATCGCGATCGGCAACGCTACTTAAGTCGTTAGCATCCTAAATAGCGCACCGCGCCCGCGAACTCTAGAGATTGCCCCTAGTGATCTGGAAACTCTGAAAGATCTCCGTAGCCATGTCCGCGCCGCGAAAGAGTTTGTACAAACTACCAGCCGCGGCGCTACCATCAACCTGGGGATAGATCTCAGATTTGTTATGGGCCCTGGCAAGTTGGGTGCGACGAAGGCTTTTGGATTTGTCAATGGCTTTTCTATCACTAACATGTACTTCCACATTGTTACGGCCTACGACATTCTAAGGAAATTTGGGGTGGAACTTAGCAAAGAAGACTATCTAAGCTCTTTTCTTGCACGTTATCAGAGCTAAGAAGGTGGACCGAAGCGGGTTTTAGTAGGGGCGTTAAGTTATCTATATAAGACATGTATTAGGCGGGACGGTGGAGTTTTGGACGCCTAGCGAATTCTGTATATACATAGCGAATGCAGCGAAACCATTCCACTCATTTCAATGCTTCAGTAGGTTTCGGATAATCTCCCTAACCTCCTGGTCTGATGCCTCCTTGATCCCCAAGAGCTCATTATCAGTCTTCTCATAATAAGCACCGAAATCAGGATCAAAGATGGCACGGAGGATATACGGAGCGAACGTCTCAAAGTCGGTGATCCCCTTCGCCAGTCTCGTGTCAGACTTAGCGATCAAGTCGTCGAGTTTGAAGTCGACTGTGTCCCATGATTTCTCGGGGGCTACTTCCTTAGCCAATGCGAGTAGACGGTTTTGGGTCGTCACAAGGCTATGGACATGCACAGCTCGATTCCTAGTCTCCTCGAGGTGGTCCAAAGTCGAAAGAATCGCATCCGCGACAGTATCTAGGGTTGATGCGCTGAAGAGGACGTCGCCACCATCGTACCTATTGGTTGTGTCGCCAGTGCTGCTGATGAGGAAACTTCGATGCGAGCCTGCATCTAACCAGCCGCCACCATAGATGAAGGTATATGTGAGACCAGAGCCTTTGGCCTTTTCTATCAAGTACTCCTGAAGCTTGACTTTGGGGATGAATGTTGGGAGGGTGCGGGCCTTGGGGTTGGCGAGGTTGGCACTAAACTCCGAAGGGATAAAGCGAGAGACTCCGCTCTCAATGGCAGCATCGACAAAGGCCTTCTGGGCATCTGCTGCAAAGGTGGGGACAAATGAAATGACTGCATCTTGCCCTTGAAATGCAGACTTCAATGATGCCAGAGACGAGTAGTCAACGTCGATAACCTTGACGTTGGCAGGGAAAGTTGAGGTTGACCCAGCACGTCTAATGACGGTGACATTGAACTTGCCCGCTTCAAGAAGCTTCTTCAAAGCGATGGCACCAAGTGTTCCCGAGGCTCCGATGGCCGTGACGTTCTTGATGGGACGCATGCTGGTGTAAATGGACAAGGAAAAGCTGGTCAGGCAATACTTTAAACTTGCAGAGTGCTGTACAAAAGGGTTGTGCCGTTTGTGAGACTTATATAGTACAAGCGGTCTCGGCGACTGGAAGTCAAACCGTGTGATCGATTACCAATCGACGGAGCATCTCCGGAAGAAGTGACTTATCCGCTGATTAATCGTCTGGATGTCTCACCTTGGCGACAATCAGTCCGTGAATATGAAGCTTCTGTGCGTAACTTCTAGCTCGGCCTATTCTTGGCGGGGTTTACACCCCATTTAGGCCCTTCTACCTATCTTGGGTGGGTCGCCTCATCATGAAGCATAGAGGCGGACCCTCGGCTTCCACAGTCCAACATCCGCTTAGTAACGTTGACGTTCATCCATGCCTGCGCAGCAGTATCGCAGCATTCAAATGTCGGCTGCTGATTGCATCAGAACAACTTCCTCTTAATCTGTTTGCCAAATTCACTCTGCCTCGTAATAACTCAGTCAAGGATGTTTTTTTGGCTACGTAGACAATATCCTAGCCAATATCATTGTTCAACAGCCTCTCGAAGTGTGAATCCGCCACTGAACTTTGCCTAAGACTTATGGCTATCTGGGAGCTGGAAAATCGTGTTGAAAATCTGGAGCTTCTGGGTATATGTATCATTTGCAATCGGCAGTAGACATCCCTGTGGCCGCGGAAAGCATTTGAATCTTTCATCGATGGTTTTGCATGGCATGGAGGACTCCTCCGCTTGGAGTTAGAGTCTGAGACGACTTCAAAGGCGCTCAAATGCAAGCTTCCCACCCGTTACACCATAAACTCTATCCGTACAGGTCTGGCATGTCCATTTCCTTACCGGTTATGCTACGTCACGACTCCGACGTGATTAGGCAGTCATTAGTCACCATCCAAATCAAGCTTCGAAGCTATCCCCTAACCCGGCCGCTAATGCATTTTAGCGTGCTTTTTCTGCCGCAAACCACACGGACGTACAATTCAAAACACATGCACCTGAAAATCAACTAATTCCATACGAAATCCGGACTCTTCTCACTCAAACAGCACATTTAGCCTTATGAAAGCCCTGCCAACATGATCTTGTGCCAGGCTTACATAGATGAACTTGGCAAGCTTTGCACATGGACTGAGTTTGAGCCGGTTGCTTCTTTAGGAGTCCCGTATGTAGCCCTTTTTGATGGATTTCCGCTCGACACCAATCGCATGCCTTCCTAGAAGGCGCCCGAATGACCTGGTGGTTATACTGTTCGCGGCAGGAGAAAGTCCAGCTAATAACATTGTCAATATGAGTTACCACTCCGTTTTCCTTGGGAGGTATTGACTCACGGTGTTATCAAGCCACAAACCCCGATGGGTTCGTTGAAAGTGATGATCCGCCTCGAAGGGTTGCTGCTCGGAATGGTATCCCCGTAGGATCGCGGCGCTTCCTCGCTGAACCATTAGAGAAAGTATACAGCATATTGAGCTTCTCCGCGAGCCTCACCTATCATTTTGCCGTTCTCCCAGGTAATCAAGGCGGCTAGGTCTTCGGCGTGAGCGATCATGGCATGGTATCATTTTCGCAGCAGCTTCGAGCGTTCGCGGCCGGTAGCGAGTCGAATTGTTTCGAAAGATCTCGCCGCAGCGTTGATCGCGGAGTCAGTATCCTCGGCGTCGAAATCAGGGCTTTTGCAGACAACACGGCTAGTTGCGGGTCTGGAAAGAGACGGTAGTTTGATTTGGCTTACATTTTTTGTCGGAAGCAGATGCATACCAGTGACTTCAAACATTCACCACCGACATAGCAAAGGCCTTCCTTGAGAAGGAGGGGATCGTTCAACTGCGGTGTTGATTCTCGATTAGCATGCTGACTGCGAGGCAAAGACAGTACGGTACGTATCCGGGGAGCCATGATTCTCAAAATTGACACAAAGGAGCTTCGATTCTATGGCGCTTTCAGAGTCATTGATTTATAGCTATAGCTCAAAGTCTGGCGATCTCGCAACTGTGTCCCTCAAATGGTAAACTCCAAATGGTGTAAACTGTGCAAGCCAGAGTAGGAAAATCTGAAATTTCGGTCCTTAATTCGATGTTGTTGATAGGCCAAACTTTTTGGTAGCGGGCAAATTCCAACTTTATTCCCAGCCATTTCATTTTGTATCATGTTGATCTGGTTAGGAAAACGGCTGGCTTCTGATTCTCGGCTCAAGTGCCTTTAGTAGTAGGAAGTATGTGGTGGTAACTGGAGACCACTAGTTCTGTTTTGTCGTATAGGTTTCTGCAAAGGTCTTGATTTTCTAGCGTTGAATCACATGTTCCCTTCTCCTCCCCTCTGACTACCTTGTTCTCTTGTAAACTTCTTGGTAATTATGTCCCTTTCCAGTCAATTCTCTCTTCCCAACGGGCGCATAACTGAAGGGAGAGTTTCCTAGGACTGAAGAGATAATGCTCGGTTTTAGCGGCGCTAGTTCCGCCGGTGTCGACAAGGCGGCTATGGCTGCGCGAGCTGCTTCTGAAGGATCATGGTCGGAACTTGCAGTGGTAGAACGTGGCTAATATCTCTTCAAAATCGCTGAATTGATCAACCGGGACCGTAAGCTTCTGGCTCTTATTGATGCTCTTGATGATGGGAAGCTCTACAGCGCAGCACTAGGCGAGGTTCTCGAGGAGTCGTACCAGGTGTTTAAATACTATGGCGGCGCCGCCGATAAAATTAATGGTGACACTATCGAGACATCCCCGGCCAAGCTAGCCTATGTTCTTCGTGAACCGTTGGGTGTTTGTGGTCAAATTATTTCCTGGAACTACCCATTCATGATGCTTGCCTGGAAGGTTGCATCTGCGCTAGCCTGTGGCAATACAGTCGTTTTGAAGCCAGCGGAGCAAACCCCTCTGTCTGCCATGTACTTTGGCAAGTTCATTCAAGAGGCTGATCTTCCTCCCGGTATGGTGAACATCATTCCCGGTCCTGGTTCGGAAGCTGGTAAGACCCTGGCCGAACAGACGGATGTCGATAAGGTTGCCTTTACCGGAAGCACAAATACTGGCCGTATGATTATGCGATCTGCAGTTACTGACCTCAAGAACATCACCCTGGAGTACGGTGGCAAAAGCCCTTGCATCGTTTCCGCAGACGCCGAGCTGGACCAAGCTATGAAATAGACACACATGGGTATCATAAGCAATCAAGGTGAAGTAGGTATTTATCTTCTATCTTGTGCGGCTGGCTAACAATTACATATATCTGTACCAGCACTAGCCGGATCTATGTTCAAGAAGATATCTATGATGAGTTTCTATATCGATTCGCGGCCAAGGCGCGCTCTCAGAAGACCGGTGACACCTTCACCGAAGGGAACACGATGGGAGCTATTGTTTCCAAGCTTTAGTATACCAAGTTCCTTTATTACATCGAGCAAGGCAAGAAGAGCGGGGCTAGACTTCTAGCAAGTGGTGTTTGGCATGGTTCGAAGGGCTATTTCATTGAGCCTACTGTTTTCGCAGACGTGAGTGGACAGCCCCAATCCCCTCTGGCTTGAAGAAACTTTGAACTGATGAAGGAAAGACAACTGAGGATATGGCCATCGTCCCTGAAGAGATATTTGGGGCCATGGTCACAATCTCCAAGTTCAAGGCCCAGGAAGAGGCAATCGAAAGGGCTAACGACACATCATATGGTCTTGCTGCAGCCATATTTACAGGGAAGGTGGACCGCGCCCATATTGTCGCACGCAAGCTCCAAGCAGGCATGGTCTGGATTAACTCCTCGCAAGATTCCCACTGTGGAATTCCTTTCGGCGGGTATAAATCATCGGACATCGGACGTGAGCTTGGAAAGTACGCTCTAGATGCGTACACGCAGGCAAAGGCTGTTCATGTCAACATAGGCTTGAGACTCTGAACACTACTCAACTCGCTAGCGAGATGGTGGATTCGGAGAGATGCCTGTCAATCACGGAGTACGGCACTCGTCATAGTATGATATATTATATCTGTATTCTCAGATCGGGACTTGTGGCAAGAATATACCGGCCTGATGGCTTAACGGCCAGTAGCCCTCGTAGTTCTTGTGCATTTTGCTGTTTGTGCGGTCGCAATTTCATGCGTAGTATTGTTGCTGGATTGGGGGGAAACTAAATTGACATTCAGATCGTCATGCCTCTCGGCGAATATCTTTAATATGTACGCTTGGATCATTCTGTTAATAGTTAGATAGGTGACCACCCTCGAATTCCTTCTGTTGTATGTTTTTGTCTTCTGATCGAGTACCCCTTTGTTTTTGATCCTTCTATTTGAGATACACAATGAAAGGCCAAGGAGCAACCATCGCCATCGCGAGACCGATGAGTCGTCCAGTCGTCAAGTCATTGATTACCACAAAGACAACCCGGAGAACACTCACTTAAAGGACGAAGCCGCCTTCTACCAATCAGGGATCAGACCTAATAATAAGGTTGTCACTGGGCGAACTCTGGCTTTTCGATCACCGTGTACATGAACCTTTCTTTCAATGGGCGTGAGAGGATCGGCTCGAAACTCATGGCATTGGTATCAAGCCGGGCCACTCTAAGGACAAGTTAAAGACTGATCTCCGCGCGGTGGTTCTAAAACATCATGGCTGCTAGATCATCTAAGCTATTACTGCGTAGAGAGTCCTACCACACTGTACAGAGTTCATTATTCCTTCAAATGACCTTTCAATGGGCTGCACGATTTCAAACAGCAGTAGTGGATATGGAAGTTGCTCCAAGACCATTTAATAAGATCCGTTTCTGGCAGCCCTGAACAACAAAAGAATGTGGCTCCTTGGCCTCCAAGATCCTGTATTGACGGCTGTGCTCCGCGGGATCTATCATGTACTAAAATCTCGTCCATTGCAGATACTGCTAGACCTTCCTTCTTTATCCGAGACAACGACCCTCAGGGCAAGGTTTGACCTGTTCTTGAAGTTCAGAGTGCACGAGCCAGCCGTAACGGTCCCTACCAGATAAGACCAGACCACGAGAAGTCAATAGAAGGAGTTCTCTTCGAGGTAACGAAGGCCTGCATCCCGCACGCGTGTTCCACCTTGGACCACCGAACACACGTCCAGTGGCACCAAAGCCATCACATCGCTCGCCAGCCTCTCCCGCCGGAAACTCCTCTCTCGTCGCGGCTTGGCCAGACGAACTCAATATTAGCCTACCTCGGTATTTTTGTTTACAAGGTGGGCATCATATTCGCCGCTGTGGTAGAGCGACAGGGTCCCCTTTCCTAAGTGGCGTGCGGCACACTACCAAGTCAGGATAGAAACTATGCCAAACAAGCAAAAGGAGCGTTATTTACCGTGCCTGGTTAAAGTTTCTGGAACAACGAATTGGTTGAATATGAATGCTCCCGCGTGCATTATGCCGCCATGTTTACAATATTTTATCATCGCCGGGATGTGAATTAACCTCTCGGCGTGGACAGTAACGGTAAATCAGGGAAGTCAAGGTTGACTTAATCAAGGAATGAGCGATTCTAGTTGGCTCTCTGTTCAACTTGGCGATCTTAACCCCACATATTGAGGTAAATCATCTTGTCAATCTGTCAGTGCAGTTCAAATAACCGGAGTCAAGGCAAGGCCCTTTCGCAGACTCCGGTGCCAAATGGGTGGTGTATACCAACCCTTGCTGCTACCGCGTCAAGAGCAGTACACAACATATGCATCCTGCACTCTCGAAAAACAATAATCTCCGCGCCGCAGCGCTCTGTGTCTCGGCGACTTTCCATTCCTGTTGGTGTTGGTCGGCAATGTAGGAGTTTTGCGGGCAGATGCCCCTCTAAAAAGTGGATGCGGCAAGGCATGATGTTTGGGGCCCTGCCTCGAACAACACCAACATCTTCTATTCAGCAGGGGTCGCTCTGTTATTCCGATAGAAGAAAAATGTAAACGAGGCATTCTTGAACCTTTAAAATTGATAGAGAGAGATCAAACATATCGTACACGGTTCGTGTCGCGTTATAACGAAAGTAGGGAACTATCACGGAGATAAGATTAGCGAGAAAATCAAGGGGTGGTTCAAGCAAGGAACCGTCGGAAAAAAATTTGTCTCCTCTCAGTGGTTCATAGAACCCATTCGATGCTTTCCCCCGTCAACTGCCAACATGCAAGTCATTCCGGCTGGGACCGAAGCGCAGTGCCACGAGGCATCCCATCCCACTTGCCACCTAAAGTGACATCTCGCGAACAAAACAGCTAGTGTCTAGCCCGGTACCAAGCCGGGCCCTGTCGCTAGTGACCAAACCCTGAGACCCACCAGTTTATCGGATGATTCTAGCTTCTGTGCGGCACTTGCTGGGGTTTTGGCTGGGAGGAAAATTTTTCTTCATGGCCAGACCCTGTCAACAACCGCAAAATGTAGGTATCATGCTGCCAGATGAGGTCTGATCTCTGATCTTTGAGCTTTAGTGCATACGATGCCCTGCTTGAGATAAATCCTACAGCCTTTTCCTATTCCCGCGGGAAAGGTAAGCACGTTAAGAATATTGTAGTCGCGGACTCTGTGTGATGAATATTCGGGGTGCAGAGTGTCCGGTCATCCCTGCCTGAGTGGAGACCGAACATTGCTGGACTACGGTACAGTGGTGAAATCAGCCGACATGATGGCTTGGGATTACCTAAAGTTGACTAAAGTCCTACCATTTCCTGTCAAGCCAAGGCCACATCGAGTTGAGCAATGCTCTGGTAGCGACCAGTCACGATGAGTTGATGTCGCTATAGAACCTGTAAAAGGTTGGTGGCCAGCAAAGAGAGATGATGATTTCAGTGCGCAGAGGACAGATGCAAAGCAAGGCGAAGATCAGTGGTGGCAGTGGCGCCTTCCGAGTCGCAGATCAGCGGCAATTACAGGATGGTGAGAATATTGGCCAAGTTTTATTGGGTGGTGACCATACCCTTTGTGGGATAGGATGAATTATGGGGTCAGTGTGATGGTGTGAGCCGAACTGCCAAGAACCCCCAAGGTCGGAGATGTCCGTTCAAGCAATTGAGGTGGTCAAATAAGCTATGCGACCACGAGGACAAAGAGAAAAATTGAATTGTCGTTCCACCCGGACTTGACCGGATGCCGGGGAGGGTGTGATTGGCTCTGATTGGAAGGGGTTGCACCAGGCCAGTCTTATCAGATCCATCAGCTGCGATTATCTGATGCGCTTATCGTTGTTGGCTTCTTCCATCCACGCACTTTTTGCTTGTTCTCTCTGCCTGGCTAGGGGGGAGCCAGGCCACCCGATTCCATATTGCCACGGCCTGGGCATTGGAATTCATCAGTTGGGGGCTAAAGACTAGGCTCGCAGTGCAACCACCCTCCCACCTGCTAATCCTGTGGAGGAAAGGCTAAGAAAGTGAAGACTAGAAAGGCAGTGGAAGGCAAACACGCTAGCGCCAAAAGCAAAAAACCTTTCACAAGCAGTACTTACTTATACCTGCTTGGCCCCTCCCTCTCTTCTCTTCGCTCTCGTCGATTCCTCCCTTCATTCATTTTCTCTGCCACGCACCCCACCTCACCATGGGTATTGTTACCGACCGCCTCAGGGGTCGCAAGACCAACCACGTCGTTGAGGATCTCGGTCCTGTTGACGATCGTGATTCTCAGGATACTCCCCCCGAGAACTTGGCGCGTGCGGAGAAAGAAGCAGAACAACACCCCGAGGAGGTCACGAAGGAAGCTCCGATCGGTGTGCAGAAGGCCGAAGCCGCCGCCCTCGTGTGGACGAAGAAGGCGATCGCTATCACATACGGCTGGTGAGTGTACTCCCCAGAGCTGTGGATTTCCAGTCTCTTACCTGGTTGATGTTAGGATCTGGGTATGTTACTTTATGCTGGCCCTGCACGAGTATATCGGCAGCAACGTCCTCTACTACGCGTACTCGAACTTCCAAAGCGCATCGCAAGTCACCACGGCCTATATTCTGGCGACCATCATCGGTGGTGTGTTGAAGCTGCCGATCGGAAAACTGCTGGGACTCTGGGGACGCGCTGAGGGCCTGATTGTGTTTCTCTGCGTCTACATCTTGGGTATGATAATCCTCGCAGCTTGCAATGGCCCCAACAGCTTCGCCGCCGGCTACGTGTTTTATTGGATTGGCTACGACGCCATCTATCTGATTCTCGAGATTTACATCGCCGATACGTCTGGCCTTCGGAACCGAGCCTTTGCTTTTGCGTTCTCGACGACTCCATTTATCTGCTGTGCCTTCACTGGTTCTCTGGCCGCCAACTCTTTCGTGAAGACCTCTGGCTGGCGGTGGGCGTATGGCGCCTTCGCCATCGTTCAGCCGTTCGTCTTTGCACCTTTGATCTACATCTTCAAGCACTACGAGCGCAAGGCGTACAAGCAAGGCCTGTTGACCCGCGTTCCCAGCGGGCGCACGACCATGCAATCGATCATCCACTACATCCATGAATTCGATGGTGAGTCTCCCGTCTTTTGTTTTGCCCCCTTGTGCAACACTTTCCGTTCCCCCCTTGCTTCGTTGGTGTTTCAAGTGTTTTCACAACATTCTAACGCACAGTACAGTGGTGGGTGCCCTGATCCTCATGGCCGCATTTGTTCTCTTCCTCTTGCCGTTCAGCTTGGCCAGCTACGGTCGGACTCAATACCACAACGCCGCTTTCATCGCCCAGGTGGTGATTGGGTTCTGCCTGTTCTTCGTCTTCGCGGCGTGGGAGAAGTGGGTGGCGCGCGTGCATTTCATCCCGTACGGGCACCTGCGCGACCGCACGGTGATCGGGGCCTGCGTGTTGGCGGCAATCCTGTACTTCAGTTTCTACTGCTGGGACAGCTACTTCTACAACTTCGTGATGGTGGTGTACGACCTCGACATCACCCACGCGGGTTACCTGACGTCGATCTACACGGTTGGCTCGTGCGTCTGGTCGCCCGTATTCGGCCTGTGGATTCGACAGACGAAGGAATTCAAGTACTCGTGCCTGTTCTTCGCGGTGCCGCTCATGGTTCTGGGCGCGGGGCTGATGATTCATTTCCGGGGCCAGGACGCCGATATCGGCTATGTCATCATGTGTCAGATCTTCATCGCCTTCGCCGGTGGAATGTTGGTTATCGGCGAGCAGATGGCCGTCATGTGTGCTTCTACCCGTGACAACATCCCAATCATGCTGTCGATCGTCAGTCTGTTCACCAGCATCGGTGGTGCTATCGGTGCGGCGGTGTCGGCGGCCATCTACAGCAACACCTTCCCCGAGGCGCTGCGCAAGGCCCTCCCCGCCAGCGCCCAGGCTGACTGGGAGACCCTCTACGCGGGCGGCTATCTCGCCCAGATGAAGTACGCCCCCGGAACTGAAGTCCGCGAGGCCATCAACTTCGCCTGGGGCCATATGGAGAAGTACGAGGCTATCGCGGCGACGGCGGTGTTGGTACTCGCTTTCCCCTGCGTCATCATGTGGAGGCACTACAGCGTCGACAAGAAGCAGAACAAGGGTACTATGCTGTAGTCTGTTCACCTGGTCGACAGAAAAGGGGATGACTTGTTGTTGATGATAATGTCTATGTCTAATACCCTGTTTGTTTGCTTATATGTTTGAAAAGTTGCTTTTCCTCTTCGCAGTCGCGACAGTTCGCTTGATCTCTGATGTGATAGATCTCTTGATTGCTGTTTTGACTTTAATCTACCAGACCTGATGGCCTGCATTTAAACTTTTTAACTAATATTATCTTTTTACCCAGATATGTAGCCGAAGTGTGCGGCGCAGATTCAGTCTTAGCAGCCATCAGGTTCCAGGATCTATGCCCCAATTTTGTTATGAGTGTCTGGTATCTGATACTGGCTTCGCAGCCAATTCTTTTCTTTGACGTACTTTATAGACTATAACAAACCAGAGGTCTTCCATCTAAACAGCCGAAAGCTGATATGTAGGAGCAAAATACGCCAAAGAAGCAGAAACGGAAAGCGACCAGGCGGTAACATGATGCTAGCATTCCTGCCACATACCATGGCAACCGCACATAGAACACTCGCCCTGACATTCATGCCCCGAACATTATCTCAGTGCTGCTATAGCAGGAAAACTTGAACCCGCATTCTCCGGAATCTACAGCCGAGCACATGTAGTGTTCTCTTAGCACCCCACCGGTACCCATTGGAGTGTTTTCCTATTGGCTGTAGACCAGGAATATGATATGAATGACCTCGGCGTCCTAAGACTGGGTCCTTGAGCGTGTAGATTCCATTCAATCGTCCTCTGCTTTGTTCGTTCCTTGCTCCCACCACTGACCTTTGGCTCCAATTCCTCCTTCCGAACCAACACAAAGAACCCCACGCCTCTTATCCTCTTCTCCCTCGCCAACCTCGCAGCCGCCACAGCCCTAAACTCCACGCCGCGGCCCGGCCCAACCGTCGACTCCGACGACCTCTACGACGGTACCTGCACGCGCGAGCGCTTCCAGACCCGCAAGGAATGGCGTAACCTCGACCGCGCGCAGCAGCAAGCCTACCTCGACGCCGTGCAATGTCTCATCGACCTACCCGCCGACACGGGCATGGAGCACACGACGAGCCGCTGGAGCGACCTACAGGCTCTGCACCGGTTCTTCACCGAGACCGAGCGGGGAGGCATCATCCATAACGTGGTACGTGTTTCTGCGCGGTAAGGGACTGCCTTAATCCCAGCATGGCTGCTAACAGCGAGGACAGACCTTGGTAGGGCCAATTCCTCCCCTGGCATCGCTATTTCCTGCACGTGCATGAGACGCTCCTCCGCGACGAGTGCGGGTATGAGGGGCCCGTGGCGTATGTACTCCCCCTTGCCTTCTGTCGGCTCCGGACTGCAACCGCTGATGTGATCATGTGGTTACTGGAAAAAGGTGGTGGAATGAGCAAAGCGACGCCGACGCAGGCGACCTACTCTGGTCCCCCATGTGGAATGCGGACAACATGGGCGGCAACGGCACGGGAATGCAGGGGTGCGTCGTCGACGGCGCCTTCGCCGACCTGGTCGAGTATATCGGCCCGTTCGACAACAACACCGAGCGCTGTCTGGACCGTCGCTGGGATAGCGCCTGGGCCATCCGGAACGTCAACAGCACCATCACCGGGCAGTGCTTCGATCTGCCCACCTATACTCCGTTCTGGCAGTGTGTCGCGTATTATCCGCATAAGGGCTGCATCAGGCGGTTGGCGGGTTGCTATGTACTTTCCTTTGTGTGGGGGTTAGGTTTGAGATGGGATTTGAGGTTTGACTTTAATGAGCTAGGGCTAATGCGGATTGATGTGATGGCGGATGTCAAGCCCGGCGATCCCATGTTCTTCATCCACCACGCCTTTATCGATCGCTTGTGGTATACCTGGCAGATGGTCGATCCCGACACTCGACTGTTTGAGATCAGTGGAAACTCGATTAATCGAACGGATCTGCCGATGCCGGTGGACGGGTCGCCTGAGACGACGCTGGATTATGAGCTGGAATCGTACGATATCTTGCCGAACGTCACGGTGGAGGATGTGATGAATCCGGTCAGCGGGTATCTGTGCTATGAGTATGATTAGGCGTGTAGATTATGGCGTACGGTGGATTTTGCTGGCATGCCTAGTGCTTCCCAGCCCGGGCATATCTTCCTTTAGTCGCAGTAGACGTGAGTTTGGCGCTGATGCAACCTTCAAGCCCATCCTAAACGCACACCGTCCCGGCGAAGCAGCCGTCCTGCATTTGAGATCCAATCCACCTCCATGTTTCGCGCGTCGTAGTCTATCAGATTGTCTCGAGCCAGCGTGGCAGCCAGATCAGAGTTGGCGTTCCACAGGTCGTCCCTCTCCGGCATCGCGAATCGAAGCTCTTCCAACGATACAAGACATTCGCCCTTCGAAGCATCATCCACCGGCACATGGCTTTCCTGAACGCGTACCATGGCACTTACTCTGTACAACGACAGCGCAAATCGTTTGACCTCTTCGATGCCAAGCCAGATGAAGACGTCCGGGGCGGTATTGCGCGTAAACTGTGCTCGGATGGTGGGGTAGGAGAACAAGTCCTGTTGACGACAGGTTCGTACGAGAGCGAGGAGCAGTTGCGATGGCAGTGCGGGAAGCGTGCGGGTTAGTTGCAGGTCGACAGAGCCCGGAGTAGCTGAGATGAGCGCGAAGAGTACGTTGAGAAGGATGCCTTGGTATGTGGCCATGGGCCAAGTACCGTCGCTGTGAGCTATAGCTGTGGCCTCCCATTTGTCCTAGCTTCGCGTTAGCCAACTAGAGACAGTAGAGGTAGACCCAAGAGACAAGAACGGACTCGTTGCTGGTAGATCGACAAACTGAGCCTCTCGTGAAGCTCGAACGCAGCTTGTTGTGATTTAGGATCCCCCGTCACCCACAGACCCAGCATCGTGACGCATTGTAGCAGGAATGGAGGTTCCCGAACAAGGTCGAATGTGGCGCGGTGCACAAATGGCCAGATGGGGTGGAATTTGTCGAAGTAGGCGTCGACGTAAGGTTGGATATTGGTGGGACTTTCCTCAGGTGATGGAAGATCTGGTGAGACTGCAGTAAAAGATGGGCTTGTAGTCACAGAATGAGGGACGGCCTCAGACTCAGGTACTTGATGTCTCGCTTGATGGCTTTCCAGGGAGCATTGCAGGCCTCGTTGCTGACACGGCCCGCATGGAGCCTTTCCATCACAGCGCGACCTACGAGATCGGCAGTATTTGCACGCCTCGATTGTTCTTGACGAGTTCAATTTCTTGTCTTTGTGGTTGAGGCGGACGTGCTGGCGGAGAGTGTCGCTGGTTGCGCAATAAGTGAGTCAAATGTCTCAGGAGATGGAGTAAAGTATAGATACAAACTTTCTGGAAAAAGTTTTGTCGCAAAAAGGACAAGCTGCAGCAGTGATTTGACGATGCCCGGCCATATGTCGTGTCAGATGTTCTTTACGTCGGTAGGTTCGGCCGCAACCCGGGTGTGAGCAAGAGAAGTGTGTGGTATCCATGCTGCAAGCTTAACTCGTGTGACAGAAATAGAGAGTGTGTTTTAAAGAACCCTCGTTGGTGTAGGCACTTTTCAGTTGAAACCACTGACGTTGAAAGTCGACGAGTTAACAGCAGTGTTTACTCGATGATGATAAAGCAGATGGGATACCGGTGGGATACCAACTGGCACTATACTGCGCACCTTACCGGTTCAGGCTTGGCGTATGAACGTTTTATCTTATCTATACCTCGGTAATGGCCAAAAGAGCACAGGAAGTATGTTTGATAAGTCAAATCCCTCCTCATGAAAGCTCGTTCTCGATAGTCAATTTGTAATAGCTGATTGTCAGAGATCAACAATATCTGTCAGGTCGTTCAATCTTTCATCTCACTGTATACACTTGGCAGTCTCAATCCAGTTATGCCAGTCCATATCACTCTCGAGATCCAAGCGAGGATCTGCAAAATTCCTGCCCAGATCCTGGAATAGAGGATCTGACGTTGACCAAGCTGAGTTGACATAGTCCATTGTGAAGTCAGGTAAGGGCCCAGGTGTCTCTGATACATTGCCATATTGGGTCTCCACTAGCGCTGCTGCATGGGGATGCATCATCAATGCTGGACTACCAGCAGCAGCATCAGTCATTTCGTGATTGTGGGACATAGTACTGTCTGTCCTCGCCTGCGTGGGCTGACTTCCACTCCCCTCTGGTATGCTGACCAGCTGATGCCACCTTTGATAGTAATCCTCGACAACAGAGCCTGGGCCCAATAGTCCCGGACTCGACGGCGTAGGAGCACTCTGGGCCTCCACCGCAAGCTTCGCAACAGCTTCAGGGTCATTCCATAGGCAGCTGAGCTCAGCCTCGCGGTGCCGTCGCGCCTTGTCCATCAGCTTTCGGAGAGGAATCCAGATGCGCAGGTTCTTGGCAATGGGCGAAGGAGCTGGAATCAGCCAGCTACTGTGCAAGGCGACCCACGCCCGCTCAACGAATGGCGACCACGGACGGCGTGAGATCTCAATCAGAAGATAGACAATGGCATGCCAGTGCGTGCATGTCTGGTACAGCCACCGCAAGTGCCGACTGGACTGCTCCGCGTTGAGGGCGTGGTTGTACTCCGCGACTTCGATGGCCGCGCACAGTAGCTTTGTCCGGAGCTCTTCAGATAGATCCTGGCTCGGCGTTGAGAATAGCACCGGTAGAAAGACGATCAACGTCATCTTGGCCATCACCAGGCGAATGAGGTTGATGGCGACCCAAGAGACGATGCTGTTCAGCCCGGCTGTGTGCTGTAGGTACTCTTCGTCGAGTTTGCGGTAGATCTCGTCTACCGAGCGGCTTTGCTCTTGCATGCCTGCGATGCCGTGGTCGACGCCACGGACCATCATTTCTCGCATGATCGTGGTCATATGTGCCGAGAGTCGGGGGATGGACATGTCCGTCACCCCGTGCCGCTCGGGTGGCGTCTGCTCGGTGTCAGGACTGATATCGCTGTCGTTGATGTTCAGCGGCAGTTTCGTGTCGAAAGCCCCTTGCGCGATGGTCAGATCCGTTCCCTGGTCCTCCGATGCTCGGATATCCAACAAGCATACACCCCACCACGCCCTGCGTCGTAACTCCACCTCGTATGGGGTGAAACTTTCGAATTGCGCACCATCACGTTGCAGGCCCAGGTATTGCGCCATTCGAATCACAAACCCGGTCATCATCCATATAAACCTAGGACTGTCATATCGGCGGGATAGATACAGGAAGATGGTGAAGGCTTGGACAAGAACGATGTCAGGAGCGTTGAGAAAGTCAGCCTTTGCAAGAGCATGTTCCAGCCCCAGCCGGTACTTCAGGTTCAGTTCACTCTTGGAAGAGCCAAAGTTGGTCATAACCTGCTTGGGTCAGCATCCACTCACATGACGGGTCAGGTCAGGGCTACTCACATCCTCGTCTTCCATCGAGGCTATTGTTGCATAGTATATTGCGAACAGCAGGGCATTATTGGAGGGCGTAAGGGCATTCCTGCCACTGCTACGCCATTCGCGGACCACCGTGGTGACAGTGGGCATATGAACGATCCCTAAGAACTGATTGACATTCTCCGCAAATGTTTCCAACATAAAGGGGATCTGGGATGGAAGCGGATGCAGCTCACGAAGGTCGGGAGTGCCAGACTTCAGATTCAGGCCGAAAAGAAATGCATGGCGTTCTGCAGCCGTCCGTTCTTGTTCCGAAACCGAGGATAGCTGGCTTGTGCATGCTTCGTCTTCTGCGCTGTCAGAATCGTCGTGCAGCAAGTTGCTAGTAGTCATCTTCAATCCGTTAAGCTTCATGATAGTCAGACCAAGCTTCGCATATGCTGCCGCACAGACACTAACGCACCTCGTCATCGACACGAGACCAGAAGCCGCTGCTCACATAGCGGCAGTGGCTGTCATCCTGCAGAACCAGCCGGCCGAACCGAGTCTGGATATTGTTGGTGCCCGCTTTGGATGATGAGCGTTGACTCGCTTGGTCCTCGCGAGTCGAGCTTTCAGGCGAATGGCCTCCAGCTAAGCTATTCGCATCCGCGCTTTCGAGTGAATGCACCTGTTTCAGTTGGCCTTTTAGCTCGTGAACCAGATTCTCCAGACTTTGCAATCTATCCATCATTTGGCCGACTTCCATGCTGCTTTCTTGCACCGTGGTTGCTTCACCTTTGCTGAAGGATGGAAGTTGTCCGAGACGACGAGCCCATCTCGGGGGGCGATCGGCGGTTGAGGGCGAGATGCATGCGATCTTACCCCGACGGCAGTTGGAGCAGGGTGACTGCTTGTCGCAGCGGACTTTGCGCTGGCGACAGACCAGACAGCTGCGCGGCTTAGATGAAGCCATCGACAAATTCGCGTGGTTCTCGGACGCCGACCCAAGTGTCACCGGTGAAGAGGCCATGTTGTGGTGGTTGGCAGTCAGTCCGTCAGTCCGTCAGCTTATCGCGCAATTTTCGGGGAAGAAAGAAAGGGGTTAAGATAAGATCCGGAGCCAGACTAGCCTTATTCAGTCAGCACAGTCTTAACTTATTATCATTAAATTGTGCCCCGCCCCGGGAACGGCGCGAAAACGGCGCGAGTTGGAGCCGAGCGAGGCATCTATATAGACCTCCAGACGAGACAGCTAGACCTAGGTATCTCTCCTCATCATCCGATAAAACCACCTCGTTCTCATATAGTATACCTGTCCTCTACTTTCCACATATCACACAATCCATCATCTACCACACAGAATGGACTCCGCCTCGTGTGAATGCATTAAAGGCACCATCCACGCAGGCCAACCCATCGGCCGCGAAGAGCCTCTCCACGGCCTCAACGTCTACGTGACAGGCAATCGCACCAACCCGCGCGCCATCATCGTCGTCTACTCGGACATCTTCGGAATCCCTCTGCCAAACAATCGTCTCATCGCCGACGCCTACGCCCAATCCGGCGAGTATCTCGTCTATCTCCCAGACTTCTTCGAGGGCGATCCCGTGCCCCTCAAAGCAGCCGATACGCTGATTCCCGTCGACGCGAGCAAGCAGTCCACCCTGGCCAAATACACGGGCATCCTGGCGGCTGCGCCCGCTTTCCTGCTGTGGTTGAGGAGACATCGCGAGGCGCACACCCACCAGGTGTGTATGGACTTTCTGGCTAAGTTGAGGCGGGATACCCCGTCGGACCGCAAGATCGGGATGGTCGGGTTCTGCTGGGGCGGCAAGTATGCCCTCCGGGCTGGGCTGGAGCGGAATCGGATCGAGGTCGAGGGCGAGAAGAAGGTCCCGCTGGTGGACGCGGTGGTTGCGCTACATCCCAGTCGTCTCGCATTGCCGGAAGATGTTGAGGATCTGGTGATCCCCGCCAGTGTGGGCTGGGGATTGGAAGATCACGGGGTCAATATTGCCTTGAAGGGGCAGATGGAGGAGGTTCACGAGACGGAGAGGCAGAAAGGGAGACAGCTGCCTGAGATTCAGCACCAGGTGTATAGACCGGGGCGACATGGGTTCGCTGTCCGGGGCAATCCGGATGATCCCCTGGAGAGAGCTTGCTTGGAAGACTCAGAGAAGCAGGTGTTGGATTGGTTTGCGCGGTGGTTGTGAATAGAGGTACTGATATGTTACGTTTTGGCTACGACTATACGGTTTTCAAGATTCCTTCTGGTTAGTCGTCTAGATAGTTGGTTTTTTCTTATAGCTCCGTTGAAATAGAGCTGTACAAGTGGTGTGGGAACCGACAAAAAAGATTATCAGTATGCAATGCACCGAATGGGGTTTGAACCCACGACCTTCGCATTACGAGTGCGACGCTCTACCACTGAGCCACCAGTGCTTGTATAGCTTCACAATTTGTGGTTGACAGTATACAAGCCCAGTCCAATCACAGCAAGCTCATTGAACAGCTAGTACTTAGTACTGTTTCTATGCCCCAGCCTCCAGCTCAGCTACTGTCACTTACTCACCACCAGTATCCATGTTAGCTACTCCACGCCCCTTGATTTCCTTACTCCAATAAAGAACCTACTATAAAGAAGACTTCGCCAAAGCTCTTTTCATTCTAGACCATGATACAGAAAACCCAGCCCGTCCGAAGACCCAGACTCATAATGATAACTTCCTCCGCCCGCACATTCCCAACATCACAGTGCCACCATAACAACCACGCGCACCGTCTCGCCTCGAACCACAAACCCAGTCGCCCAACGGACCTCGCAGCCCGGGAATTCCTGCTCGAGACGGCATCGTTGGTCGGGGGTAAGCGGCGGTCGGAACCCGAGATGCCACCGGGAGCCTTCTTCGCCCAGGGGCAGGAACCGGAGGAGCGACGAGGTGTCGTGGCAGACCTCTAAGCTGGCGCCGATGACAATCACCGTATCGTCCGGGATAACCAGACGTTGTGTCTGCGCCGTCCGCGGGCTGGATGCGTCCAGGACCGTGCAGGCGCAGCCAAATTCCCGGAAGATCTCAGTGAGCTTGTCGACGACGTGTTCCCGTGCGGTCTCTGTTTCTGCTGGATTGCGCATCGTGGCTGTTGTTGAGATGGACTGGGTGGTGAGTATGAGTGGGATGGACGGAATGGGGAGCGTCGAGATGGCATTTTATAGTCGACCTTGAGGTAGCTGATATTCCCTTTTGTTGGAGATATATACCGTATTCTGGAACAGACAAGAAGTTCTGGAGTGGAGCTTGTCATTAGATCCTATGCAATTTTCTTCTGCCATGGGGCAAAGCTCTTGTTACTCTCGAGCTAGTGATGAGACTGCAGTTTCCGGCAATCCCCGCTTGAGAGGTCGTCATTCCTGTCAACGTGGCCGCGAACATTGCGCCATGGACCAGGTGGTGCTCATCACTCGCTTTATCTGAGCTGCTCGCGTGTGGCAACAATTATCTATGACCAGCACAAAAGCCGCATACAGGCATAGGGAAGTAGCAGCAGCCTATAGCAATATCTACTCCGCTCAGTCAGCCGCTCGCTTCATCATTCATTCACATTGACCAGCTCATTTATAACACAAACAGGGTGTCAAAGCATACATCAGAACCCTATTCCAGTTCATACCGCGGCGGCCCTGACCCCACCAGCTCCCGCGCTTCGAGATGCTTCTGAATCTCCAGCTCTCGCGGCGGACCATCAGCCATCCTCGCTGGCAACTCGACAAAACCGCCCACTCCCGCCTTCTGTTCCTGTGCTGCAAGGGCTTGCCGTTTGCGCTGCCGCATCACCATCCACAAGGCCAGTGCGGCCACGACCACCGCCCCGCCGACACCGACTCCCACCCCGATGCCAATTTTCGCCTCTGACGAGAGACCGCCGCTCGCGATCGAGGAGCTCCGCGGATCCGCGGTGTTGAGATGGAAGTATTCATCCCAGCTCTCCTCCCACGAGGCGTTGACGCCTGAGATAGACTTGGAGGTGACGCTGATGGGAGTGATGGTTGCGTCGCCCAGTGACGGGCCGGGTGCCTGGGCGAGGAACCAAGTCCCGGTGTTGGCTCCTTCGTGGTAGTTGACGCCGACGAAGGCCGATTGCAGGAAAGCCCGGCCGAGAACAGGCGTGTCGGTCGACAGGAAGCAGGGGAAATACGTCTGGTTCTGGTCGACGAGGGGTGCCTGCAGAGTCAAGGCCAATTGCGCCAGGGGCACCTTGACGGTCACGTTCTGGTTGTTGATGCTGTTCAGGTTGAACACGAAGGAGAGATACGTCGCGGACGTGGTGAGATTGGCGTAGTCGCGGCTGGTCGTGTCCCAGATGTACAATCCTAGGCTTTGGTTGAAAGAGACCGGCAGGGAGGCTGTGATGGCATTGCAGGTTGCTTCCGGTAGGTACATGTAAGGCTTGGTGGGATCGATGGTGACCATTTTGGCCGCTTGTGCCCCGCTACTCTGCTGGAACAGGCCATCCTTGCTGGTGAAGCCTGGCGATGTGGCATTCCCGATGACCCCGAGTCCAATGTCCTTCAGTGAAATCTGCAGCGCGCCGCTCGTGCTGGTGTTCAGACTTACCGACTGTGCGCTAATATCCCCTAATACCCGACTTTGATCGTATCCACCTAGAACCAAAGAGCCTGGAATAGGTGGGTTGACGGAGCCGATGTGCATGCCGTACGAATACGAGGGGATCGCGTTATCCCCTCCGGAGTTGTAGAGCCACGCGGTGATGATGTTCAGTGTCACGTTGGCCAAGGTCGCCGTAGACCACGGCGCACCCAGGGCCAGATTGCCTACTTGAACCGGATATGCCTTGCCATTGGGGTAGGTCTGGTAGGTCTGGTAGACGGCCTGAATGCTGACGTTGGGGACGGTCGGACCGAACGAGATCTGATCTCCAAGGCCACCTTCAATACCCTTTCCTTCCACTGCCCAGTACAGTGTTTCCCACGAGCTTCTGCTCAGAGGGTACGCCGAGGTTGACTCGGTCTGATTGTAGGTCCCGGCCTGCGTGGCATAGCATATCGAGGAGACGGTCTTGTTGGTGCAGATGGAGTCTGTTAGAATGGTGCTGGTGTAAGTGGCCCCTGGGTACAACGCGACAGGCTGTTTATTGCTGCCCACCTCCACCATCACCGCTTGCCATGGTCCGTCTGGGCCGTAGGCCTGAGAAGACCAAGTCATTACATGAGGACTGGCCGCGTATGTCGCGTCGACGAGAACTGTGAGGACGGAAAGAAATAAGCGTCGCATGGTCGCATCAATGCACCTCCAATCTTCAATTATGAAGGCAGAGAAGAAAAGGGAAAGGGCGAAAATGGAGCGGCAGAGGAACGAGGGGAAGATCTCTTGGAAAAGGGGCGCAGTATCGACGGACGCAAGGCCTGATGACCCCTTGCATTGGGGGGCGGAAAATGTCAGTAGTGCTGACATCCTTCTGGTACCCTCTGAAGGATGGGGTTCGAGAAGGATTGCATTGGCCGATTGGAATACGTGAAACACACTCGTGCGGACCTTTTTATTGCTTGTTCTCCTGCATGTCAGCTGTCGATCGCGGGAGAATGAGGCCAATGAGCAAAGTCAATCCCGACCTATCTCTCCCTCGTACGAAGTCTCGAGTCGTACGAGAAGATGGTTTAGTCTGACTATAATCCCGCCCTATTGTCTTCATCAACAAGAAATCAAGCTACACAGCACAGCGATCGTGCAAGAAGCCGCAGTTCGAAGTTGAGAGGAGTAGGGCTGATTCCCTGCGGAAGGACCGGCCCGTCTGAAGATTGCGCCGACAACTTCCGGAGTGCTGCTTCGTCGATTCGGTCCCTGTTGTTGGAATGACAAACAAAGCCTCACCTGAGCACGAAAACAGCGGCTTGGCTACAATTGAAACCATACGTGACCATGGAACATTGCTGGCAGTCAGTCCTAGTGGAAAGACAAGCCTGCATGCCTAGATAATGACACGGCCTTAAACAACCGAGAAACATGGCCAAATCTCGAGTTATGGAACATGGAAGGTGAAGGCTGAAGAGGTGGTATTTGGTGGTGTTCGTGTTTCAACGATTTCTATTGACCTTTTTGTTTCTTTTTAAACTGACGGTGTTCCTGAGATGGCATGACGTGGAGCTGGCCAAGGGCGGAAACCGTGGATGAAGACCAGCTTGTCTTGCCCCTATGCTCCAACCTCATGTTGGATTCCAAGCAGGGGACAGTTGGGGCTCTTTTAGGCAGGAGGGGACTACAAGATCGGCTTCAACCCATTTTAAGGTGGGTATAGTAATAACAAAGAGAGTGGAAGAACGGCCTGGAATCTTAAGACTGGATCAGGAAACTCCTGCTGCCTTGAAAACCCGCTGTGGAACACTTCAAGTCTCTTTAGAGAACGCAGTGCGCAGGGGAAGGTCAATACCTTCCGTATAACGAACCAAGTCACTTACCTTGGAAGCTCTTGTAGCGGTGAGCCAAATATTTGTGCATTGAATGGAGAAGTTCTCGTGGGCTGGAGTGATCTTCACCAGCGAGCAGATATACCTAGTCACAGCCCAAAGCTTTGCCAAGGAAGCAGGCAGTTGTAAGCTGCGCTTCCACGGGTCAAAGTTGAACTGGGGGTCTGTAACGCTGGCAAAATCAAGCCACATCTAGGTGCCGCTGTGTGAACACCTTCACTGTAGATACGACTAGCCATTGGTTTCTCTGGGGTTTGCTCCGAGCTTGTTTCGCCCGCGCTACCTCTTGCTCGAATTTGCCAGGGACGCCGAGCTAAGCGAGAGGTTAGGAAAGCTAGCGGCTTCTAGGCGAATGCGCGCCCAATGCAGCGAACGGAATTCATTGCCTCGGACTGGTCGAAGTCTAGCAGAATTCTCATGTCCCGGCGACTGAGTGGCTGGATTTGGTGAACCCGCAGATGCGCCCGGTTATATTGGTCGCGTCAGCTCTTCAACCCCAGACCGACGAAATTCAACAACGCACTGACCACGTCATGCAGCTTCAGCCTTGAAGGAGACAAGTCCATGTTTATCAACGGCAGGTCATACCACGCGTTCTAGGCTTCCTGAGGTTTGCGTACGTCCGACACGCCAATGTGGGCACAAATCTCTAGATGTTCTGAGCCATCACGTCACCTCCAGTCAAGTCAGAGATCATAACATGATCGCTGTTGATGGGGATTGTCGCAGGGCAATGGGCAAGTCTAGACCATTGTATCGGTTGTGCGGTACTCATGTAGAATCAATCGCGAAGAACTTCCGATAGTAAGACATTAAACCCGTCTCAGGTTTGGGCAGGCCAACTCTGTTGGCTGGCTCGTTCCCGCTTGGAACAACGTGAAACATGATAGTATGCCCACCCATCAGCTGCCTCGATCTGGGCAGAGCCAGAGCCCGATCTGCCGGTTAGTGAGACCCCACGATCTGGCCCGAGCGGAAGGTATGAGATTGAGATGGATGACAGGGCAATTGTATCAGACTGTGACCACGTCTTTGATGCAATTACGGCTGAGGACGCGAAGGGCGAGCGACACCACTACCATGGGCCCGACCAATTCCTATCAAAGGACCCAGGCCCAATAATGGCGCAATTGGGTTGAGATGAAACATGTTCTACCATTGATTTTCTTCAAAAGTGGGCACGAAAGAAGGCGAAAAATCTCCCGAGAAGAAAGGGCGGAAAGACACTCTCCCGAAAGGATGAATCCAAAACCCGTGGAGCCAAAGCAAAGCCGTAGACGTCAAATAGGATGCATCTATTCTTGCCGAGGTCCTTAGCTTGGATCGTTGAGAATACTGATCGTCGGCGAATATCAGCATGCATGTCGGATAGATCGAACGTATAGGCGTGGCAGACATCCATCAACGTGATCCATGCACCCGAGATTTAGCCAGCCGCTAAGACGAATCCAAACTTTTCGGTTTCAAGGTTCATCGGAGGTAGGCAAATCGGTGCATCGTCCTTGGAGTGTGAGTTGCGAATGGCGAAGGGCAGCTGGTCTCAAAAATGGGATGCCGGAGCGGCAGCTCCACCCCTGAAACAACGGACGTTTTCCCCAGCCGGTTTCAGGCCTGCAGCTCGTCCTGCAGCACAAAGAGCTTCTGTTGAATTTCTCTGTTTACAGCGTCAAGAAAATTCGATCTGTGCAACGCTCACTCTATATGGAACGACGTCCACACCGGGCACTTCAAACTTGTGTCATCGATTTGACCAAGACTGTGCTCAGAGCCAATGCACCGGTGGAATCGTGATACTAGTTGTTCAGCCAGCCGTCGACTTGGGTTATAGTTGGTGCTAAGGGAGATTAAACCCCCAATTCTGGAAGCTTATGTCGGCCCTAGGCGTATATCATATCCGGGGATGACATGTTTCCTGGTGGTTCTGGGTCGAGGCGGTCCATCCAGCCGAGGTACGGTGATCGGATTCATGTTTCATCTTCACGATGGCAGACGAGTCAACAGAAATCTTCCAGCCCTGGGCATATGCCGCGGAAACGTATAAAGTCATTGCGACCTGCCCGGATTACTGGACTCCTGGTGCAACAAGCTCAGTTTGTCCAGTCTCTATAGTCGCTCGTTTTCACTCAGCCAGTCGCCATGCATCTCAAGAAGTCCGCCGTTCTGGCCGGAGTGGCCATGATCCCCGTGGCTTGCGCCGTACCCGCGAAGCGAGCTGTTGCCGGTGAGTCCGCTTGGTTGATTGTTGTCCGATGCACGTTAATTCTTTCCCCAGATACCGCTGAATGGACGGAACTTCACCGGGCAGCGCAACTCTCCTCAGCCGCATACACGGGCTGTATCGGCAAAGCCTTTGATGTGACTATCACGAAGCAGCTCAATGATCTGGCCACAGATACACAGGCATGAATCGCGTCAAGAACCGCAAAAGTCACAGGACTGACCTCTTCCAGGGCTTCATTGGCTACTCCACGGAAAAGAAGCGTATCACGGTCGCCATGAGAGGCTCAACAAGCGGTAAGTCAATCGCACATCACATCGCGGTGGGGAATCTTTGTACTGACATGTACAGCGACTGACATCGCGAACGACGTGGACACCACGCTGGTGACCCCCAGCCTTTCTGGCATCGACTTCCCGTCTGGCGCCAAGATCATGCATGGCATTTACTCGCCCTGGTCCTCGGTGCACGACACGGTCATCTCTGAGGTCAAGTCCCTGGTAGAGCAATATCCGGGCTATGACCTGGAGTCGACCGGTCACTCTCTGGGAGGGTCTCTGACCTACATGTCGTACATTGCTTTGACGCAGAACTTCCCGGAGAAGACGGTCATCAGCAATGCGCTGGCAGCGTACCCGATCGGCAACTCGGCGTTCGCTGAGTTTGGTTCCTCGCAAAACGGCACGTTGAACCGGGGCAACAATGCCGGTGATGGCGTTCCGGTCAGTCCTGAACCTGGCGGGTGAGGAGACGAAGACGCTGACCGCGCATACAGAACATGTATATCACGTGGCCGTATGACTTTGCCCACTACGGGACGGTGAGTGGTGGAAGTCGACTCGGGCCTTGACCCTTGCTGATCAGACGAGCAGGAATACTACAGCTCGGGAACTCAGAGCAGCACCGTCAAATGCGGCGGCGAGCGGGACACTCAGTGCTCTGCCGGCAACGGCATGTTGGGCGTCACGGCAGGTCACTTTTCCAACTTTGGGATCTCCCTGGGTATGGCGGGGTGCAGCGCTTCGCTGTTGTAGAGGATGGCTGCCGTTCGGTCGGCGATTGAGGAGGACGGAAGAGACGAGCATTCGCAGCAGGTCTGTGTTTGTGTTTGTAGATATGATGCAGGGCCATGATGCGTCCTAAAGTGGGAGTAATTCTGCATCATCAGCTTCTGGATATGTATATAGGTTCAGTCTGGGTCCATACCGGAATTACCGCACTCTTGCGACTGTGGATTAACGATGTCAAACAATGCCAAGACGCGCCTAGATCAGGGACGTATTCCAGAAAGATGTTCAGCCAGTAGATATCAAGTCAGAGACTCGATGTTGAAGAAGAATCATGGGGCAAGCGACTGTGGTGGAGTGTGGCAGCATGTGAGACTCTTTTTTGGCGATCGATTGGGCGTGCTGAGGATCGAATTGCTCGAGCCCATGATCTCGGCTTGGCGAACTTGCTGGGAAACAATGGGGTGGAAGAAAAGGTTATGTCAAAAGATCCGAGCTGGCGACTAGGGCTCATGCCCAAGCCTGGCCCTGATATCAACGATGCCCTCCATGAGCAGCGCTCGAAATGGGAGATGTTGTTGTCGGTGTTGGTGTTGATGATGACGCGCTATCATCATGCTCCGTATAGAGAAGTGATAGGGCGGAAAAACAATCTTCCATGGGTCGGAGCGGACCGGGACTGTTCTGCTCTGTCCCGGCGGCGGCCTGCTTCTTTGTACAGTACGGGGGTATCGAAGGCTGATATGCACCATTGAACAGTGGTTGTAGAATAATATAGAGCTATAGAAAGCATACTCAGAGCTCACAGTAGTTCTCACGCCAGTACGAGATGATTGAAATTGAGCCTATGGATTATTTCTCTCCTGGCAGCTGTCCCATGACCGCTTCGATATATAATCTCGTAGCGGGTCGGCCCTTCGACCTTCTAGTTGACCAACCAACTATCTGAAATACAAACTGCCAAGACGTAGTCCAGGTACAGGGCTTAATTCGCTTCTCGACTTGTAGCGAGAAAACACCAAGATGTGCGATAGGTAGTAATGATTGTTGGCCTGAAATTATCGTGACTGCGTCTCTGGCTGTTTGCTCGGTTTGCAGGGAGCAGCCGCCTTCCATGTGAGGAAACAAGTATGTGTGTTCGGTCCTACCAGGCTGACAGACCTCAGGGGATAAGTTTCTCCGATCATTATCCCATCGTCCAACCCATACTTCTCCAATTAATTCTGCCCATGTCTCTCCAGGATATTCCCCAGTTTCTGCTTCTCTGCCGGGAGGAGGAATCCATCACCGCGTTCCAGGAGGCGCTGACGCAGCAATGGCCCGCCCACGAGACCGAGCCAAAGGTCCAGATTCGGATTGTGAATCAATCGCTGCGCGACGTCCCTTCCACCACGCCCTTCGACCTCATCGTCTCACCGGCCAACTCGTACGGTCTGCTTGATGGGGCATTTGACGATGCGATCACCCGCAAATTCTGCCTCCCGGATCATCCCTACGAGACCCTGACGCGGGCGGCGCAACAGGTGCTCTACGACCGGTGGCGCGGGTTTGTGCCCCCCGGAACGTGTACGCTGGTTCCCTTCCCCGAGTCGTTGGCGAGCAACGCGTGGGGATGTCGGTGGGTGGCACTCTGTCCGACGATGCGCATGCCGGACCGGGTGAGCTGGGATCGCGAGGTGGTGTACGAATGCATCTGGAGCTTGCTCGGGCAGGTCGAAGGGTGGAATCGAGGGCGTGCGACGGGGCGCATCGAGCGGATCTTGATCCCTCCGCTGGCGACGGGGGTGGGCAAGGTCAGTCCGCGGCGATGGGCCACCCAGATGGTACTGGCGTTAAGACATTTTGTGGATGCGCTGGAGCGACCGGCGCATTGGAGCAAGATGGACTGGTTGGATGCCGCGGAGCATCATCGTGATATCCTCCCCACGTGGAATCTGTGATGATCTGGACGGGGCGGAGTTTGGCATTTGGTTTTAGTTTACTTGTTATTGCGACTTTCATATAGATGCACCATGACTGCAAATACACCTCATTGTTACTCATCTTCGAGCTGGCCTTTGTGACCGTCCTTCCCTCCCTTGCGCGCACGGGAAGAGTTGTGGACTGCCTCGGCCCAGGCATTGGATCTAGAAGGCCGCCACCTCCGTTAGTGGCTGAATTACCTTTCAGCCACGGCGGAGATGACTGGTCTGTTGGCGCCGTTGCGGTCCGACACGCCGTCTGCCACGCTGGCACAATACAATGGTGGAGAGCTATCAGTATTTTGCATCTTCTACCCTAAGAGTATCCCATCGGGGTGGCAGTAGCGGAGTGGCGGAGAAGCCATGAAGAATTACCTCGGCCCTGTTCACGAATTCCCACACAACTCTATTGCAGAGTTACTCCTATGTTTCAGCAAGGTATTGTCCCTTGCTGCATGCTTTTCTGTTGGCACTAACAAGCCAGAATGGAGTTGATCGGAAAGTCAAGATCGAGCTGGCAGGTGATCGACGAGTACTAGACGAGTCGAAGCAATCATCTGCATTGATCACCCGCGGGTCGATCGGGAGTCTCTCCACTACCCGACTATCCTACTTATATTACTTCTTAGTATTCTTACTTCGGACACTTACTTAGTACTTGAGTACTAAGTACCTTAAGTACTCCTAAGTAGGTACTAAGTCTTAGTAGTCTCTCCCACCAGTTGGTAAGTCTTCGATCTCAACCCTAAGGTCCTGATGGGGAAACGAAGAGATTCTCGGGGAATGGAGCAGGTTTTCAGTCGAGCCGAGAAAACGAAGCGATTGGCTGGAAGAGAGTGCCAGAAACATCGCGTGGAATTTGACGGATCCACTCAGAAGTCCGAAATGGAAGCGATGGCGTTGACAGCCGAGTCTAGACTGGCATGGATGGCAGACATTGCATGCTGATTGGCCATGACAGACCATGCACTGTCCCCACTGGTGCCAACAATCTTGGATAACCCTGTTGGCTGTCCAGGGTGATTGGTCGAGAGGAGTGGCACAATGACGTCGAGGTTGGATAGACTAATAGACTAAAAGTACGTAGATGAAGATGAGATGAGATGAGATGAGATGAGATGAGATGAGAGTAAGAGTAAGAGTAAGATCGGAGAGGGAGAGGGAGAGAGAGAGAGAGCGAAAGGAAAGGGAAAGGGGGGAACCCTGCCGGCATATACCTAGTACCTAATGGCAATGGCAATGAATGGCCCCAATGGTGACCGCCTCTCTTTCTTTTTCTCTGCCCTCAATTCTTCTTTGCTCTCTCTCTCTCTCTCTCTCTCTCTGTCCCGGAGAATTGTGCCGGCTTTTACTTCTGGTTTAGTCCTGGACTCCCCTGGTTGGGTCTGGTTTTAGTGTGCCTGCCGCCTTCCCGCCCGCCCGTAACATTTCTTTCTTTCTCTCTCTCTCTCTTTGGTACTCGCTTCCCTCTCCGAGGTCCGCTATTTACTTCCCCTCCCGGCTTTTCCATTCCAGTTCTCTCTTTCGCCTCCTCCTTTCGCCTCTCCTTCTTCCTCCCTTTTCTTTTCTGTCCTCCCTTCCCCCTTCCCCCTTTGCTCACCCCCCCCTGTTTCCCTTCTCTGGTCAACATCTACAGCCCCGGATGTAGGCTGGTGACTGTGGTTCGTCGTGTTTACTCCATCCCCGCAAATCGCAACCGCTCGCGCCGATGTCTGAGACCCTCGAGTCCGAGGTGGCGGCGACCCATGATCCGGCCAGCATGGCTCAGGAGCGGGAGTTCTACAAGTAAGCCGTCGATATTATCTCTGTGTCTCGTATTTAACCAATCTCGACTCGCTTCCCCACAGATACTGTCAATTGCCACAGCGTCCAGGACTGCTGCATCGCCCACCCACCACCCCCTCGTCCGAAGAAGCCGAAGATGAACTCCCCCAGTCGTCGCAGGATACCACCCTGACCGCTCTTGCTCAACTCGGGGCCCTCCGATTGAATGCTCGTCGCTGCATGATCTCCCTCTTCGACCGCCACACCCAATACATCCTCGCCGAAGCCACCCGCACCCTGAGTCTGCAGGATGACCGCGTGCACCAGGATGGAGACGCGCTCTGGCTGGGAAGCAGCGCCATCCCCAAGTGTGATGGGGTCTGTCATTACGTCTGCGATTATGACCAACTCAATGCTGGCCAGGAAGCCCCCCGGGACGGCGGAGGCCATTTTGCCCTGGTCATTCCCGACATGACCAAGGACGATCGCACCCGACAACGCGGTTACGTCGTGAACGCTCCTTACCTTCGATTCTACGCCGGCGTCCCCATCCACAGTCGTCGCGGCATTGTCATCGGAGCGTTCGCCGTCAGCGATGGAGAAACGCGAGCGGGTCTCGACGAGCTCGAGCTTCGCTTTTTGAAGGATACCGCCGCCGCCATCATGAACCACTTGGAGATGGTGCGCTCGCAGCAACAGAACCTGCGCGGGGCCAATATGATCGCCGGACTGGGCCGTTTCCTGGAAGGTGGATTGTCCCTGCCACTCGGGTTGCGCAGCAAGAGTGCCGACAACTGGGAGCTGTCCGACAAACAGATGCATCTGCGCTGGAACCCCGCCTCGCGCACCCCGGGGTACTCCTCCCCCCGCGAGTCCCGTGATCATCGGGAATCGAAAGAGACTGGGACTCCCAAGGAAGCGTCCTCACCTTCAGCTTCGTCGCTGAATGCAGGCTTGGAGAACACCCCTAACCGGGGAAAAGCACACGACGCAACCCGCGCCACCGAGAATGCAACGAGCAAGAAAAGCCCCCTAAACAAAACCCTCTCCTCCGGCACACGGGAAATTCTGAATCGGGCGGCTTACGATTTGCGCGAGTCCCTGGATGTCGAGGGAGTGGTGTTCTTCGACGCCAGCGTGCGATCGTATGGCGGGCTGATGCAGAGCGGGGAGGCTCGCCACTCCGATTTGGAGATCAGCACGACCTCCGGCTCCGGCGAGTCGGGGAGCGATAGCGAACACTCCACGGTCGGACATTCCTCGACTGAAACGGATGAGTCGGCGCTTTGTGAGGTCCTGAGTCTCTCAACCACTCCGGAGGAAGCGACCATCCCCATTGGTTCTTTTGATGAAAGCTACCTGCGCTCGCTCCTGCACCACCATCCCCGGGGTGGAATCTTCAATATCGACGAAAATGGCTGGGTCTCATCGAGCGAAGGCAGTGATGGCGCCACCGGTAGCACACTCACTCGTGAAATTGTCTACCGGCGCCGGGAGGCCACCCATGGCGGCAAGAATGGTCTGCGGAGCAAGAGGCAGAAGCTCACCTCTCGCGAAGAGTGTAAGGCCCTGCACAAGGTTTTTCCCCACGCGCGAAGTGTCATTTTGTTCCCCGTCTGGGACTCGCGTCGCAACCGCTGGTTCTCTGGGGTCTTCGCCTGGACGACCTCCCCCCGGGCCTTCAGCTCGCGGGGGGAACTGGCCTACCTGTATGCCTTTACGAACAGCATCATGGCCGAGATCCATCGCCTGGACATCGAGCTCGCCAACAAGGCGAATCGGACGCTGGTCAGCAGCATCTCCCACGAATTGCGGAGTCCTTTGCATGGCATTCTGGGCAGCACCGAGCTGCTGTCCGACTCGAGCATGACGCCACCCCAAGTGGCTTTGGTGCAAACCATCGAGAATTGCGGTCGCTCGCTGCTCGACATCATCAACAACATGCTGGATTTCGCCAAAATCAACCAGTTTACGCGCAAGTCCAGAACCGGGCGGTTGAAGGCGGGCCCGGCCCTGACTCGACGACAGGCGAATTCCGGTCGAGCTTTGGCCAACAAGGGACCGAGTGAAGGCATTGTCAACCTCATCACCGACGTTCAACTCGACACCGTCCTCGAGGAGGTCATGGATACGGTCTTCGCGGGGCACTGCTTCGCTACCACTACCGGGTTCCTGGCCCAAGGGGGTCCCGTGCTCACCGACCAGGACAGGGATGGAGACTATCTGATGAGCAACACGCCGCAGAGACCTCGTGCCAACGAGCCGCTCACGGTCATCTATGACGTGGAACCCGGCCTGGCGTGGCTGTTTGAGACCCAAGCCGGTGTCTGGAGACGGATTCTGATGAACATCTTCGGAAATGCTCTGAAATATACGCGGTCCGGTCACATCGTGGTCTCGTTGAAGTCCCCCGCTTCGAACACCAAGGCCAAGCGGATCCCGTTCACCGATCCTTTCAAGCATGAGCTGGCTGGCATCGTCCTCAGCGTGAAGGACACGGGACAGGGCATTGACAAGGAGTACCTCAAAAGCAACATCTTCAAGCCATTTTCTCAAGAGGATCCCCTGTCTCCCGGAAGCGGACTGGGTCTCAGCATCGTCTACCAGGCGGTGCAGACCATGGGAGGAAAGATCGATATCAATTCCACTCGGGGAATGGGGACAGAGGTAACGGTGAGTGTCGACCTGCTACGCAGTCCGAGTCCGGGGCCCAACAGCGACAAAGAGACGCGCACAATCAACAAGGCGCAACAATTCTCTCGGGGCAAGTCGATCGGACTGCTTGGCTTCGGTGGGTCGGAGAAGGCGAAGGACGAGGGCCTCGCGCTCCTGCGGACCTCGCTCACCAGCATCTGCCAGGACCATCTGGGCATGCAAGTCGGTCTGGTCCCATGGGATTCGGGTGATGCACCGCTCTACGACGTCTATCTGGTGCAGCACTCGGATTTCGACCACGTCGATAGCACTTGGGCCAGTATTACGGGCAGGGCTTTGACCACCGGTCAGGAGCCCAAGGGCCGACCGCCCGTAGTCGTGGTGTGTCCCACCCCACAGGAGGCTCAAAAAATGGCTGCCACAGGGTACCGTAGTCCGTCGTCTGCCATCTACGAGTTCGTCAGCCAACCGTGCGGGCCGACCAAGATGGCGACGGCGGTCATGACCTGCATCCAGCGGCGCGAGCAGCAGCAGACGCAGTCGGTGACGGCCAAAGTAGATGCCACACTGGAGGAGAAACCCGGTACGCAGCCAACCAAGTTTACGGCGGCCTACCACGCCACAACCACAGACGTACAGACTAAGACCTCGTCAGGTATGGACATCGCGCTGACCACCTCCACAACCATGGTTTCCACCACCACATCCAGCAAGGGGGATTCAGTGACCAAGATACTAGCGATCGAGACGACGAAACGAGCACCCTCAGTCCTCCTGGTGGATGACAACGAGGTGAATCTGAAGTTACTGGTGGCCTTCATGAAGAAGGCGAAACTGTCGTATTTTACGGCAACCAATGGCTTGGAAGCCCTGGAGGTGTTCAAGGCCAACGCCGGACAGATTCAGATCATTCTCATGGGTAAGCCTCTCCCGGCCCCGCGGACTTGACCCGTGTGCTAACACCCCCCTAGATATCTCCATGCCGGTCATGGATGGTCTCGAGTCGACGCGGCAGATTCGTCTCTTCGAAGAGGCACAACAGGAACTCAGCCCTACCAGTGTGCCGGCGGCCAAACCCGCGGTGATCATCGCGCTGACCGGACTGGGCAGTGCAACGGTTCGCCACGAAGCCCTCACGCATGGGGTGGATATTTTCCTGTCGAAACCGGTTCGGTTTCAGGAACTGATCAAACACATTGGTGAACTCGTCCATTGACCTTATCGACTAATACCTTCTTTCTTCCCTTCTCACTGAAAAGTTCCTACATACCCCTTTTTGTATTGATGTGATGATTTCTGGGTGATGTATATATACGTATTTGACGAACACGAGGATGGACGGGACATTGGAGACTTCCTTTTCTGATTACAATAGATACATCTATACCAATAACTATGTGATATACCCACACTACCCCCTCGCCTCATTTCCCAGTCAACTGCTGCTCGGACGCGGGCGTCACTTGCCCTCCTCTAGCCAGGGACACGGTCTTCCCACCGAACCACGCATTCGCCGTGGCATTCCCATCATAATACAAGGTAAACCCAGCCGCATACACATTCCCCAGACTGACATCAGCATTCGTGAAGTTCACCACGACCGTATCCCGGGTCAATGTCCAATACGAGGTAGCATCGAGGGCGACGGAGAAATAGCCCATGCCATAGCCCGAGTACGCGGCGCCCGTTCAAGCCGAATAGTCCGTCAACGCCCAGCGGACCGCGCTACCATCATACGCGACTAGATCGCCGCGCAGATCCGATTGGGCGACCGTGACAGTCGCATCCGCCGGCGCGGTCGACGCGGCGAAGTAGGAGAAATCCTGGGTGACCTGGGAGTAGTTGGCGACGATGAGGATATTGGAGGCCGTGTCGCTGGTCGTGCGCGTGAGGGCCGCCGAGGCGACGACGTTGCCGAACCACAGCGCCGGCGCGTCGGCGGGCAGGACCGTCATCCGCGAGTCAGTAACGGTCACCTCTGAGTCGGCGGTTCGCGCGTCCGACGAGAAGGTCACGACGCCTGCCAGTAGGCCGGCCGTCAGGTTGGAGTGCGCGATACGGACAGTCGCGCTGTCGAGGAAGGCGATCGGCGCGCGCTCTGCGTATCCGGCTACGTTCTCCGCTTTCACTGTGGCCTGTCCGTAGATGATGGCGCTGCCGACCTCCGCCGTGTGTGCGATTGAGTCGTACACGTACACGTAGCCTTGCGGGCTGTCGCCTGCGAAGGCTGACGACCGGTAGCCTCCCGAGTAGTGGCGCAGGTTGCGACCGACGATGGTACCGTAGTCTCCGGCGTAGAGGCTGTGCGAGACCGGCCCGGAGCTGTACAGTCTTGAGTGGGTAATCGAGACGTATGTCCCCTCGCCGTACGAGTAGACGTTCGCCGCGCCGTTGTGCACGGTGATGTTGACGTTGTCCAGATGGGCGTCGAGGCGTTGGCGACGATTACAGCGGCGTTGAGCCCGAAGAAGCTGGCTTGGTACAGATCGGATGAGTAGCCGTGTTTGACGACCTTGGAGGAGGAGATATTGACGCTTGACGACTCGGTGAACACCACCACGCTGGTGTCGTTGGCTGTCTCGCTGAGCGTCGCATGCGAGATGGTTGCAATCTCGTTGGTGTACTCGTACGCCCCGGTGATGGCGTCAACTTGGTAGAGGGTCGGGGTGTAGTTCCAGTTGGCTGTGAGGGCATTGTCCGCGACATCTGTCTGAAGGTCGACATCGTCGCTGGGATCGTGGAGGGTGATGGTGGCGGCACTGAGCGGCATCAGCGCCAGCAGTAGCTCGAGCATGGCCATGAAGAAGGCGAGATTTGGCAAGACCGTCCGATGAATGGGCCAGTGCTGTAAGAAAGAAGCAGGATTGATATGAGATAACTCTCCATGCAATTTAAACAGGCCCTGTAGGCTTCGTCATCTCGTGCGGCATGGACTAGGGTTCATTCAATTTTGAAGCTGCATTTCTGCCCTCTCTCGCTCCACATTGCCCTCTTAATTGTCCTTCGTGCTTCATACCAGCACCAGCAGAACCCTGGCCAGATGGCTCCTCGTGGTTTCAAGGGGAATATTTTTGTCTGGAGCCACCTGCCGAACCGTGTCTGGCTGTGGGTGTATTGCTGATTTTATGGGCGGTGGGCGTTTCGTCGATGACCGATGTGATGCTAGTTGGTACTGCGCTATCACCTTTCTGCAGAATGGCTTCGAGTTTTGTGGAGCCGAAGCGGACCTTTTTCCTTCTTGGGAGAACGTCTTCGCCATCTGGGGTTTACCGTCTTGGTGAACGCGAATGATTGAGCCAAGAGGCTGGCTTGAATTGGATCCTCCTGACATCAAGAAAATCCCCCGCATTTACCCCGGATTTCGTGCTATTCTGTCCTCGCTGCCACCCACAGAATGCACTAACGCGATAGGAGTGAGATGAGCGATGGCAGTATCTTAACCTCGGTAGCCTGGGCGGGCAGATCGTAAGTGAATATCATATTGCGATAGAGGGCTAGAATCTTTGACTATTGCTTGACTGTAACGCTGCGAACACGGCATCGAATAACGTTCCGTTGATGCTAAGTATGATCATCATCACGGCTAGTAAATGCAGCGGGTATTACTTTGTCGCTTATTCGAGAACGCCAACCATCCTATCACCACAGGGATCGACTGCAACATACCTGCCTTAGTTTGGAGAAACGACCTAGGCCCATCAAGGCACGCAGCAAGCTCGCTTAACGCATGTCCGGTCTCATCGGCGATAGGCAACGCCCCCTATGGACACTGCTCTTAACGCCGAAAGCCGAAAGCCTCTCGATCGACGCCAACATGGAGCATCCAACATCTAGCGTTCGCCTCCTAGCCTACTCACCACTGATCCTCTCCTCTTGTGTCTGCGCCTGCATTAAAGCTCAAGACGACATCAGTGCACAAGTCGCCATCGATGCTGCAGATGGCGTACCGCCGACAATCCTTTATATGTCCCCCTCCAGACCCCGGAGGTCTATCGCCCACCTCCCATCCTCTGACCCACTATGTCGCTCAGTTCCAGCACTAAAGAGCCCGTCGACCATGTGCAGACTCCAGAAAAAGATGTCGTCGACCGTCGTGTCAGACCCGGGAAAGCCTCGAAAGAAGAACGACGGATCCTCCATCGGGTGGATCGGCGATTGATTGTCATGCTGGGGTTCTTGCACACGGTCTCTTTGATTGACCGGGGTAACCTGGGAACGGCATCCGTGGCAGGCATGACGAAGCAGCTGCATCTGGTGGGGATGAGATATGTAAGTTGGGCGTGTGAGCGAGGAGCGGTGCAGAGCTAACGGTCGCTGCAGAGCATTATCGCCGTTGCCTTCTTCCCTCCGTACATCTGCTTCCAGGCTCTTGGACCGGTCTTGGTCCGTAGGCTGGGCCCGGTGCGATATCTGTCGGGGGTGTGTCTTGTCTGGGGTGCTGTTATGGTACGGATACGGTGTGCTTCTGTTGATCTCATGATGACTGATGAAAGGTGCAGTTATCGGCTGGTTTCGTCGAGAGCTGGAGCCAGCTGGTTGGGGTCCGTATTGTTATCGGTGCCTTGGAGGCAGGCTTTTTCCCGGCAGCGATCTATCTGATCTCGACCTGGTACACGCGGTTCGAAATCCAGAAGCGATACGCTTTGTTCTATCTGCTGGGATGCGTGGCGTCGGCTTTCACAGGACTTCTCTCATATGGCATCACATTCATGGTTAGTACAGCCTCTCTTCAACACTTTCCCACGTAAACATTCACAGTATTGTAGAACGGCCTCGGAGGGCTCACAGCCTGGCGCTGGATCTTCGTCATCCAAGGCCTCATCACCTGCGTCCTAGCGGCGATCGCCTATTTCGTGCTGATCGACTTCCCGGACCGCATGATGCACAAGCAGAATAGGTTCCTCTCACACAGAGAGTATGAGATCGTGATGCGTCGCATCGACAACGACCGGTCCGATGCAACGCTTGAGGCGTTCAATCTGAAGATGTACCTCGGAGCCGGTGTGGACATCAATATCTGGGGATTCGGGTTGATCTACTTCTGCAGCACGACCACTGCATACGCTCTGTCGTACTTCTTGCCTATCATTTTCCAGAAGGGCATGGGATTCTCGACGGGCGTGTCGCTGTGTTTGTTTGCACCGCCGTACGCTGCCGCGGGGATTGTCATGATGGCCGCTTCGTGGGTCGGCGACCGTTATCGGATTCGCGGACCGATTATCTTGTTCAATGCGATGTTGAGCTTGATCGGACTCCCTTTGATGGTATGTATATCTTTGGTGGTCGAGGGGATGATGTGTGTGGTAAAGTGATGCTGAACGAGAATCAGGGCTTCACTGAAGGGATCGCCCCCCGCCTGGTTGGGTGTTTCTTCACCACCATCGGTGCAAATGGAAATATCCCGGCCGCGATGGCATATCAGGTGTGCACACCCCCCATCAGGTCAATAGACATAGCTAACATGACTAGGCCAACAATGTCCGCGGCCAGTGGAAGCGCGCCATCTGCAGCGCCATCTTCGTCGGTCTCGGTGCCTCAGGGGGTATGACCGGGTCTCTGGTCTTTCGCTCACAGGATGCCCCCAACTACCGTCCGGGCATTTCGACCTGCATAGGTCTGACGGGACTAAGTATTGTACTGGTTGCGTTGCTATCGCTTCGACTGCATTACCTGAACAAGAAGGTCGATCGGGGCGAATTAGTCATTGGCGGGCTACCTGGGTTCAAGTACACTCTGTAGTCATCGCCACAGAATAACCACCTAGTCTATCACTAGTATCAACATACGGTAAACAAGTCAAGTTACAATTCCCCGGCAAAGAAAACCTCGAACCACGCCCCCAACCTCCTCCACATCATCCACGTGCGGGAAATGCCCCGTCTCCTCCACCACATACCCCTTTAGCCACCTTGCATCCAATTCCCTCGTGCGAACCGCATATGCGCCGTGACATCTCCCTTCCGCAGACTCTTTCGTTTCGTCCCAAAGCCCCCCTCCTGACCCTGTATATCCAACAAGCGCACGGGCGGGTTCCCAGCTGCGACTAGCTGCGCATTGTGGTCATTCAGCGCTTGCAGAATCTGCGCGAACCGCGCATCCACATGCTGATAGTAGTGCCCCACACGCATGGCGTATTCCAAGTCGAGACGTGAGAAGTTTTCTAGCGTGGAGGTCGCGAAGTCTGGGGTGGTGCGTGGGCCAAAGCACCGGCTGATGCGGGCGGGCATGGTCGGGCGATACTGGTCGGCTTGGGCGGGGAGCGTCTCGATGTCGAGGGGAGTGGGTCGTGCGGTGCCGTCGAAGGGGCTGTCGAAGAGGATTGTCGAAGTGGGGTTGAGAGACGACGATGAGATGCTGAGAGTATGTGCGAGTAGATCGAGTACGGCGAGAGTGCCCATGCTGTGGCCATAGAGGACGGTGGGGATGGACTTAAGGCTGGCTGGTGGGCTAGAGAGAAGGTCTGAGAGCACTTCCTCGTGGAGTCGGATCAGGAGTTCGTTGATTCCACCAGTCTCTGGGGCGGAAATGACTGATGTGGGAGATTGGCCGTGACCTGGAAGGTCGATGGCTAGGTAGACATGTCCTTGGTTGAGGGTGTGGCCATGGCCGTTGAGATAGGTGATCAGTGGGATGTAATCGGTTGCTGGACAGCCAAAGCCGGGAATGAAGACGGAGATTTGTTGGATATATGTCAGTTTATTGGTGGCCATAGTGAGGTAGGAAAGGCCAGTGGACAGGGAAGTACGGCGCTGCAGAAGCTCGATTATCATATTGGGTGATGATAGTGGTAAGTGGATAGGTGGCATGAGTCAGGAGAATGCAGATCTAAAAACTTATTTAGTATTTGGGAGATTGTCTAATCGGCTTAGTGAGCAATATTCAGGCGGAAATTGCAGATCCTTGTTGATTTGCCAAGCTGACAATTAATCAACAGTTGAAGTTAGTCTGTCAACCAGTAATCTCGGCATTTCGGGCACGTCAACGCTCGCGAGTTTCGCTGGAGTTCAACTACCCATCTGTCGATGCACGCTTCGTGGAATTGCGCTTTGCATGACGCTGTACATGTGGTCAAGCCCTGACTGGCTTCTTCCATGGGCTCATAGCAGATAGGACACATAGCCCTGTCATCTGACTCTGATGACCACTCAGCCCGACATGTCGGACATATCACAGGGCCACCCAGATCGGTAAGAGTATTGACATATTCTTCAACGCAGTCACTATGAAACCACGTGTCACATTGTTCTGGGCAGCAGTAAATCTTGTCCTCAACCCCGTCTAAGCAGACAGGGCACAGTGGCCATATAGACCGACTTTCACACCTGGGACAAGACGAATCATGACCACCGGCTTGTGTAGTTCTGTGGACGCAGTGTGCATGGAACATTGCTCCGCAGCTGCCCTTGCAAGCGTACCATGGGAGTTTCAATGGGTTCCGGCATGTAGAACAAAGTCCGTTATCAACGTCAGGATCGGACATGGGTGCATCAGGGTCATTCACAGTCAGCTGGTCCGCGGCAGGGATATCATCACTCACTGGAGTTTCAGCCGGAGACTGGGTCCTCTCACGGGTCCTGTTAGGGCTGGGAGAATCTCCGTCACTCACCTGATAGTTGAGCCAAGGTGGACGGCTGTCTTGTGGAAAAATCATCCCATAGGGCCTTCTGGAGCCATGAGATCCATAATCGTTGCGTGGTTGTAGGCCTGCAGATCTCTCCGGCAAGTCAGCGACAGGTACTGCGCCAACACTCGACGCAAGTTCAGATGAAGTGGAAGGGGCGCCGGTTTCTGCATAATGAAACGGAGGATCATCTGGGGACTCCACTTCTGTAACTTCATTGACCATCAGCTGGCTCGAGGTTCTAGTACTGTGCACTCCGTGTCCTTCCCGGTCCACGTTCTGGTGATGTGTATCCGGACGGGTTGCACGTTCCCTTGCTGCTGCTGAGGAGGGTTCTGAATAGACCGATTCATCCGCCACACGAATCCTGAGAGTCGACCTGTGAACACCACTATGGTAAGTCGTAGTTTCAGCAGTGAAAATATTAGAGATTTCCTCTACTGTTTCCGACGTCTCATGCGTGGAGGAACTGTGTCGACGGTGGCAACGATGACGACGGTGTCGATAGTGTCGTCTGAGCCGCTGAAACATGACGGTGAGATGCTGAGCACAAACAATTAGGGTCCAGAGCCCTTAGCCAATTGCCCTGACAGCGCGAGAGGACATAGCATGCTTTTTATGTCACGGCCAGAGGATATGCAAGGGTGGTCATACGACCGTTGATCCCACGCCAGATAGGAGTAATCTTCCATGAAGAAGAGCGCCCGTCATGGATGATGCATTGATAAGCTCTGGACAGGCTTGAAGATCACAGGTAGACAAAAGATGAGTTTCTCGCTAAGAACCATTCAGTCTTTGTACGAGACTCTGGATATAAAGACCCCAACTCGCTCCCTTGATGGACAGTTTCCCGAAAACCTCAAGTGAATAAGTGTGTCTATCAATTCATCCTCCATCATGTCTCAGCCGACCTCATCTAGACCGGAACCTGTTCATGATGCCGACACTCTGGATCGTCTGGCAGTTTCGAGGTATATGGACGGGGCGCTCCGGCGGCTGGTTGAACTTTTTGTCATAATCATGTTCGTCTACCAGCGTCGAATCCATGTCGAGAATAATCTCGCTCTGACCGAGCAACAGCGAGCCGCCATGACTGGACAAATTAGAATTTTCCGTTGGCAATGGCTGGAGCAGCTCGCCAACGGAGAGCCCGAGTGTGGTTGGGAGCATTATTTACTGCATCTATACAATAAGTTCCGCGAATGTGTCCATGAGCTTCTGACCAACAAGCTGACGGAAGAAGAACTGAGCAGCCCTCTCATGGTGCGATACCGTACCCGATTTCCGGAGACGGATGTCATAGTGACCTTGATGGAGTGGCTAGAGGAGGCACAAGCCCGTGGCATGGCGGCGCAACGACCACGATCCCCAAGGATCGAGAATGTTATCCAGCTGACGAAGTATTGTCATATTGTCCTCCGTCTGATCGCCGAACCGGCCGGCACCATCGTGCTCCTGTTTGGGCATCCCTGGCATGATCCGGAGTGGCAAACCCGATTCCCATGGGGCTTGGGCGAGCCTCGCTTGTTCAACCGAGCTGAATATGCTGCCACATTTGGCCCTAACCCCACGCATCCAACGGTCCGTTTGCCCCCAACCCTGGCTCGTCGTCAGTCAATTGACGAGCAAAGCATATGCCCCATCTGCCAGGTCGAGATCGGCGACACTGGTCGAGAAATTTCCCTTGCCTTGTGCGCCGCCTGCGGAATAATTTTCACAGCGCCTGTCTTCATGCCTGGCTGGGTCGGGGAGGTTCATGCCCTTACTGCAGAAAGCTCTGGAGATCTGGAAGAGGGTAAGTGAGCGAACTTCAACTTCAAGCTTCTTCTGCAAGCCTTGATATCATTTTCGGTAGTATCACAATCATAACACGGAGTTTCCGATCTGTAGATTCGTCTGTTTTTTGTTCTGTAGCCCCGTATCGACAGCCTAAGCATCTCAATCCTTCGCCACAAAGTCTATACCCACTGCTCGTTAACCCCATCTGAATTCTCTTTTGGCAATAAAGCATAACGGATAAAAGTGTTTCGCTATCTCAAAGGTTTCCGACCGTAGGCAACCTTGCTGCAGAGTGCATCAGCCACCGTGCCGTTTGAGCAGGAACCTGGTTCACTCACATTTTGGTATACGAATGCAACGAGCGATCCTTAAGCTGCTCCCGCACCAGACTCTGCATAATGCGCGTGCGGTCCTGGCCCCAGCCTAGTACCTGTGTACAGAGACGTAGCCCGTATGCCTCGACGGCCTTTTCCACCATCACGGCCTGCACTCGTCCAATCTCCCGGAGACGCGGATCTTGCGGCCATGGCGAGAAAGGAAGAATATAGGTCTGCTCGTGGACATCCTCGAAGCCGTGGGCAATCAGCCACGGTTTCAGGTCAACATATATGTTCAACTCTCGTCCAATCATATGCGCCGCGTCGTTCAGCGCCATGAGGTATTCCATCAGAGGCGAGTCCATCTTCAAGGTCCCGTCATCGCTCCAGGCCCAGACGGCGCTTTCCTGCAGTTCCAGGTAACCGCCGGGTTTGAGATGGTCGTAGGCTTGGCGGATGAGGCGATGCCAGTCCACAACGCAGCTGGGAGGAGTCAGTCTGTGCGTGGGTTCGCGGCGTGTTGGAAGGATAGAGCTTGTTACCCTGCAAGGTTACGCGAATGTATGAAGTCGTAAGCATTCATTTTCTCGAGCCATTCAGACTCGAAATCATCGACGAAGAATTCCACGTTAGGGGGCACCCACGAGGGTTGGATGGGGCTGAGGTCGTTCCCTACCACTACTGCATCGCGATAGTTGCTAGAGATTCTCGTTTAGTATGGCTCAATGCTTATCAAGTGATGGGAAAAGTCATACTCAGCGAAATCGATGGCCCAGTTGCCGGTGCCGGTGCCCAAGTCGAGTACCTTCTGAGGATTCTTGATGGGAGCATTGAAGAGCTCGCCACCCATCAGCATGAGGTAACTGTTACCAGTAGGTCAGGATTGTGCCTCGAATGAGGCTATGGCAAGCGAGAAGAGCTCACATATGATGTGTCTGCGAAATAATCAGTATGTGGAAGGTGAAGTTGGGCAGAAGATAATACCAAATCCAATCGTTCTTGCTCTTCTTCATCATTTGGCATCCTGAACCCTTTAGCCACTATCCCACCATGTTGAGTGTATAATTGCCTACAAATAGTGTCCCTGTGAATAAGAGGGATGGTCAGACACGATCGTGAACCCAATACAGCGCGTAACATACCGAGCGGAAGCTTGCGTATCGGCGACCGTTCTCATACTGGTAGTCCAAGATGCTGGAGGAGAGAGAGTAGGTCTCCATGTACTCTTCGTCATAATCACTGCGTAGGGTCTGCGGGATCAATCAGTGGACACTCCGGGACGGGCCGTGATCTGTTAAGTGTCAACATCAGCAACACCTACCTCGGTATCGGTACCAAAGTCTTCTTCGGGCTCATCGGGTGGAATGGCTGAGCCCAGAGGGGACAAAAGACCCTCGTGGGGCTCCTGCTCCTCTCCGTATCCCCCCCCATTGGCTGTTGGATGAGACAAATGTTGTTCGGGCAAGGTCCTAGTCATGATGAAGGCCCTGTCCGGTTCCAAGGATGGAGTGTACTGGCCAGGGACAACGAGCGCGCAGCCCCTAGAAATATGTGGAGAGGATCCCCGGGAAATCCCAGCCGACGAGGCGACGGCAAGCGACAGGTACGATTGAAGGATCGCACCATTCTCTCCCTCGATCGGGTGTGTAACTGAGGAACGTCATAGCGATGGGCCTATGGTAAGCAGGAAAAGCGATAGATCGCGAAAAGTGATCGACATGCTGATCGAACGGCCTCCTGCGTCAGTCTGTCATCAGATGCAGATCGGTGCAGGAAGGGATGGGATGGGGAATCATTGGAATGTGTGTGTGCAATCAGTCAAATGTGAGCTGTCATTTTTCGCTAAATCCTTCTGGAGTTGACTATCGACGCCTAAAAGTGGGCTGGGAACGTGCGCCGTCACCGGTTAGATTGCTCTCTGTGGTTAGGGCACGCATTCCCACTCGGGATCACAATTGACACGTGCTATGCTGCGCTATTCTAGGCTATGTACAGTATATGCAAAGATCTTTGAAGTATTTTCAATTATATTCACTCGTAACGTTGTTCTCACTCCCAGCTTCATCTGGTCGCCCGCTTAATGGCGGTTGTGACGCGCCAGGTGCCGGCGCATGGCATCCCGGCGGGTCGAAGCGGCTGAGATGGTGATTGTCTCAGAAATCCCGGCCGTGCAGACAGTCCCCGCCGCCACACTCTGCGATGCATCCCACTCGCCATTGACGCAGCGCTGGAAAGCCGTACCTCCGTTGCAGTACCAGTAACCCTCCTGGCTGCAGGCGCCACTCAAAACACCGGAGGTCGTCGAAGATGAGGATGTCGAGCTCGAAGAAGACGTAGCGACCGAGGCCGTGGTAGTCGCGGTAGGCTCATGGAAAGAATCCTCACCATCGGGGCTTCCCTCTGACTCGCCAGTCTTGATTTGACCAGGTTGACTCGAGGTGACGCTGACGCCCGTGGACTGAGTGGGCACCAAACTAGGCTCGGTGGTCTGGGAAGTAATCGAGGATACAGCCGCGGTAGTCTCCACACTCGCAGTAGTGACAGCGGCAGCCGTAGTGCTAGCAGAATCTGTTGTGGCGGCGGTCGCGGTCGCGGCACTGCCAGCAGTATACAGCGAGGGACCAGGAATGGTATAGGAGCTGAGCGAGTTCCAAATGTTGACGTAGATTCCGGGATCGGTTTCCTTGTACAGAGCAGTACCCAAGGTACCACTCGGCGTGGCTGTTCCGCTGCCAGTGACTTCCAGGTTGATGCACTGAGGGTAATTCTGAGCTCCATCCATATTCTCGGCGCTGTGGAGGGCAATGATTTCATGCCGCAAAACGTAGTAGCCCGGGGCAATGTCGCTGGGAATGCTAATGTTGCGACTGTAGCTGTCTTCGATCAGCTCATCGGTTGCCCATGTACCTGGTACATTTGTGTTATCGATGAGACTGCCAGCATCGATCTTGAAGAACTCGAGGGTGGTCTTGTCCACGTCCGCGCATGAACCGTGGCAGTTGGCCAGATAGGTAATGACGGGGCCATGATGGTCGTCAGGCCAGGTGTTCCAAGTCATCTGCACCCAACCTCCGGGGGCTACAGGGGCCGACAACGCGCCTGGCGAGGACCCCTTGTGGCAAATGATATTGGCACTGTCATAGTCGGTGGGCGAGACAAAACCAGTGTCGGTAGCATTGGTAGACCATGCGATCAGCTCGGGCGGGTCGGATTCGTAGTAATAAGTATCGACCAGGTACCCTCCGTAGCTGGCGCCGTCCACCTCGATGCTCGAGACATAGCCATGGCCGGCGACCAGCGAGATGGAGCCAAGCAGGAGAGTGGCGATTTTGAAAAGAGGCATGTTGAAAGGATCCACCGCACTGCGGGGTATGGTAAAAGAAGAAAAAAAGAACGAAAAGGACTTCAATCAATGAAGCCCAGAAAGGAACGAAGGAGCGAAGGGTGCAAAGGAAGGCGAGTTGCTGCAGGAAGCCCTGTTCCCGCGGGCTCTCTCTTCCTATTTAACCATGCGGACGCCATGATGGTCCAGTCAGTCAAGTTCAGCTTCCCCACACGAGATATGATGAAGGGGAAAGCCACAGAAGATCTCCAGTCCGCTCAACACGAGAATCTAATGTTTGAGTCTGTGAATTGAAACATGCCAACCCTCTAAGCGAAATTGAGGGTCGGGCTCCACCGCTGCAAGTGGGTCGTTTGTTCGGTGGGAGATACTATATCGATGACTCAAGCCATGATGTGAAGGTGAAAGTGATGAGAGGAAAGAGACGGACAGTGAGCACAGCAGAAGGTCATCTGCAAATTCCCCATGTGTGAAGATTGTGAAGACGAAGATGAAGAAGAGAAGATCCGAGGTCCTCGAGGCGAGTATCCTATAGAAGAGAGATATGGCACGTGACTGCACGTGACTGAATATGGAACGGACCGACGATCTGCCGAGGTATCACGTGCCATGCTCTCCCCTTCGAAAGACAACCAAACATTGTTACTGGTCTCGATTCCATGGTAAATCACGATTTGGAATCTGCTGGCTAAATTAGATTCGAATCAAGTGAGACTTGCATACTGATCAATGGGGATGGCGAAGAAGCTCCAGGCCGAAGATCGCGGACGGACGATTACACCCATCCCGCGCTTCCATGGCTGTACTCCGTCCGTTTACTCTGTATTTCTAAAGGCATCCTTTTGGGTACCCCTTGCTGCATAGTACGTCTGCTTAGTATGTCGGTTGCAGCGGTCAAGAACGTAATACTCTGGATGGATGAACACGGTTACACAATAGCCTTGGCAAGAGAGTCGTGGCTGCAACGAGATCTCAAAATCATTCTTCTGACTTGTGCGACAAGAGGCCACTCGGAACCTCATCAACTCTCCTCCTGCGACGCACACACACATCATGGGCACGACAGAAGGAGAAAGACTAGCTGTTGTCGACTACAGACCCGGCACTCCCCACGATGGTGCGGCTCTGATACGTCGGATCGACTGGCGGATCTTACCCACCATGTTTCTGACCTACTTTCTGCAGTTTCTGGATAAGGTGGCTCTGAATGTGTGTCTCTGTAACCGATGGTAGTTCGCAAGTTGCTAATGTAGTCAGTACGCCAACGTTATGGGATTGCAACAAGATCTGGGAATGCGCGGCAACGACTTCTCCTGGCTGGCTACGGGGTTCTTCATTGCTTATGCGGTCGCCGAGTTTCCGCAAGGCATGTATAGGACTGACACCCTTTGTTTATGTCGCTGACAGCTTTCAGGAGTCCTTCTTCATCGCTACCCTATCACCAAAGTTCTAGGACTCAACATTCTCTGCTGGGGAGTAATCCTGTGCTGCTCCGCGGCCGCAAGCAATTTCGCTGGGATGATGTCGTTGAGGGTAATTCTAGGTGCCTTGGAGGCTGTCATCAGTGAGGCCCACGCTCATCACCACTCATACTATCTTCTTCACTGACAGGCTCTAGGCCCTGCTCTGACGATGTACACAAGCATGTGGTACATTCGAGCCGAGTCAACTCCACGATATGGCCTCTGGTACTGTGGCTTGGGAACTGGCCAAATCGTGGGAGGGTTGATTTCTTTTGCAGCTCAGCATGCGCCTTCGACATTATCGCTCCAAGGGTGGAGAATCATGTTTGTCGTGATAGGCGCGGTCAATATTCTTGTTTCCGTGCTGGTCCTGTTCATGCTGCCAGAATCTCCGTCCGAGGCTGCTTTTCTAAGCAGCAGCGACAAGTTTCGCATCGAGCAACGTCTCCGACAAGACCAGGCTGGCGTTGGCGAGAAGGTATTTCGAAAGGCCTCTGTTTTGGAAGCCTTTACCGATCTGCAGACCTGGCTACTGGTGCTGTTGACTGTCCTGACCGTCACCCCGAGTGGCGTGATAACTACCTATTCTGCCACCCTGATCAGTAACTTCGGATACGGGTCGAAGGAAAGTGCCCTACTCAACATGCCCTCCGGAGTGGTCAGCATTGTGTCTACCATGGCATCAACCCTGGCAATTGCCAAAGGGTATTCACGATGGTTAGCAATTAATGTGCTCCTAATCCCTACCTTGCTGGGATCATGTTTGATGTCTTTCTTGCCCTCCTCAAACCAGGCCGGTTGCCTAGCCGGAATCTACCTGGTAAACGCGGTATGCACGTATTTACGCTTCCAGAGGGGCTATTGTGGAACTAACTGGATTGACAGACAGTAGCCCCGCTAGCACTGATATATGCATGGACGGGCGTGAACTACAAAGGATACACGATGAAAGTACAAGGATTGCTCCCCATTCGGTTACCAATCCATCCAGCTAAGAAGACCAGGTAGCCAGCAGCACAATCGTCGCCGCAGGGTTCAGCGTCGCCAACATCATTGGGCCGCAGACTTTTCAAGCTCGAGATGCCCCAGAGTATGTATCGCACCAATGGAGGCCTCGGTAGACTTGTCTGACCGAATTTGCAGGTATATTCCTGCTAAGATCACCCTCGTAGCCGTCAGTGCCGGTGCGATCGTCGTCTCAACGTCCCTGCGAGTACTATATGGCCGTCGAAACGCCCGCGCGAATAGATCAGGCAGAGCAGCAGGCAGCTGGCTAGAGCAACGTCTTGACCGCGTAGGTGATGTGAACTTTCGCTACGTCTATTAGCGGACAGTTCACTTTGTACTGTTTTAAGCCTACGTCGCGGCCTGTCGCGGCCCAGAAACTCGTCATTCCATGTCTTCACGATGGCCTGGCTTTGCTGCAGCTTCTCAATGAACTCAGCTAGAAACAGATCTGATTGTGTCAGTGTCTATTGACTGCATGAAGTACTATGAAGATCTCACAAGCTTTCATATCATACTCACTTCTTGCAATAGTGCCCACCGTCGCTATCGCCGCCATCTTGCAGGTCAGCCACACTATGGATAACACTGTTCACACTACCAGAAATACTTTAACCACGTTTCAATTTTTTCGTCCTAAAGATGTATTCATTTGGCAAATTCGCAAATCGAAATTTTGGAGGTTTCGAGCGACAGAATCCCTTTTGCGCCCGTAGCGAAAGATTGTGATAGCATCCACTAGCCAGCCCCGTCATTTACCAAAATGCACGAACAACAGATTTCCGAACAGAGATTCCATAGTGTCCTTCAATAAGCCATACTAGCTCGGTTTTCAGCCAAATGTATGAGTACCATGCACATTTTGTGGCTTGACGCACTGCAGACGACAACCATCCGCCTTGCCAGTCGATCGATGCTTGTCAGCAGTAGTACGAACTGCATAGTACGAACTGCATGAGGGGCGAGTTTATCATCCTTTTTGCTTAGGTTTGCTGAAACCAGTCTCTCGTCCTAGCTCCGCTCGCTTTTGTTACCTAGGGATCGAATCGAATTGTAAAGCTGGCTCATAGTTAACGCGTCATATAACAGTTTCTATCTCTCGCTGCGATATCTCGACAAAGCCGAAGTGTCCTCTCGTCTGCTTGTGATTATGACAGGCAGGATCAAAGTTGTTGTCTAAATATCCCACTGCTCATCCAATCGCCAGACGCCTTAGCCTGAAGAACTCGGATCCTTAAGGATATCAGTCGAGATTGTTCCGAGGGCCTTCGATCAAATACGAAGATGATGCCGATAAGCGCCACAAGTGACTGTGAAACACTGCTTATCTCCACAAGGGGGAGATAATAGAGATAATACTCAATCGTGACCATATTGCTCGGTACGAACCGAGTCTGTATGTCAACCCCAGTTTGAGGACTACCCACAGAGTGCATCGAGGTCGACTCGCCCTCCCCCAGCGACGTGCCACTATGGAAGAATTACAAGCCCGCGAGAAGCCATCCTCTGCAGTGTCGGTGAAGAAGGAGAAGATTACAGGGCGTGGATCTGATCCACAAGATGTGGAGGTCGGCATGGTGGCAGCTCTGAACCATGGAGAGACAGGACTGAAGCGCAATTTCAACATGGTCAGCATCATGGCCCTAGGATTCAACACGTCGAACAGCTGGATGGCTATCGCAGGTAGTCTGCCCCTGGCTATTGCAGGAGGCGGTACAGTGACCTTACTCTACGGTGTTCTGGTCGTTTGTTTTGCCATGTCCTGCGCTGGACTCAGGCTGGCCGAGCTGGCTGCAGTGATCCGACCGCGGGTGGACAATACCATTCCACTTCAATGCTGGCTCCGTCACAGCACCGCTGATGGCTATCTTATCTGTGTGGATTGCTTGGGTCGCTTCGGAACGCCCTTCGGAACAGTCCTTATCGATTATGGGGGGGATGATAGATAAGATAAACCAGAAGTCATCCTGAAACAGAAATGAACCTCATTAGGAGTGCTTCAATCTATGAAGGCTGACCCGGTCCCTCTAACTCCGATGTCCCAGGAGGCCTGACACGCTGGCAAGTGAATTGCCTGAAATGCGCTCATGCCAACTGTGATAACATCGATTCCAGTGGTCTGTTGACCAGATTTACTGGGAGGGGCTCTTCGAGATTCTAAGCACGCTGCGACCGGTGACTTGTTCTGGTGAGGCTCAATATGTGGAGTATAAGGCGGGGTACTGTATAGATGGGAGGAGCAGGAGGTTGATCACCATAGCACAATCAAAGAACACCTGGAGTGTATACTTATAATCAAGTATCCATCCGAATCTGATATCGGCAGGCGGTTTTCGGCAGCTCGGCAGTGGCCGCGCCCCGCAAAATCACCAGCGCCGAAATATCCCCGTTCTCGGATCCGACGGGCTGTGGAGGTGAACTGAATTGAACTGACAATCAGAACATGAAGACCAATTATGCAATCGGGGCGAACTGTATTATAAGGGAAAGTCTCTGCAGTGCTACCCTGTCTCGCTGTCTTTTCTGTCCTCATTCTCTTGTCCTTCTTTCCCTTTTTTTTTTCTGCAGCCAGATCAGTCACCACAAATCTCCTCTCCAAACCCAACCAGCCGCTCTTTCAATCTGGAATCGATATCTCTTTCTTTCACTCCTCTGTTAAATAGAATAGACTCTCTCACTTCATTCCGAGTCTCATATACCAGAATATACTAAAGGTACTGTGAGATCACTGCTTCCATCCATTCCGGATCCAACTAAGCCCTCATCGCAGGCAACATGCTCATCACGCGCGGATTCTCCTTGACGAACTTCGTTATCGCCAGCTCGGCTCTTTGTTTCCAAGTCTTTGTCCTCTACCCCTGGCACCACAAGCTGGAGGACGACTTTAAACAACTAAAGAGCGAGCACCTGCGTCTGCTCAAAGAGAACGAGGAGGGCCGGGTGAAGGAGTTGAAAAGCATCAAAGAACACCTCGGACTTCTGCATCAGAAAGGCCAGCTGTGATCGGAGGTCTATGACTCTAGTGTGTCCACTTGCTTCTGCCATGCGTTTTCTAGTTCGGCTTAGAATATAGATTGCGATCGCATAGAAGGACGGGAATTGTACATATCACGCCCTAATCGAAAAGATCTCGTGATTTCTTGCCACCTAAGATCACCCTTAAAAGTCCTGTGGTCTCAGCTCAAAGAATCGGCTGAGTGTTATCGAACATTCCTTGCTTACTGCAAATCCTCTGCTCACATCAGCTGACTTGAAAGATCTTCCATAGCATTTCAGAACCTATCCATGGCCAAGCCCACAAGCAAACACGAGGACATACCCTCACGATCACAGTCTGATACATCGCTAAACGTGCAAGTCATCAAAAGTCATTGAGAAAGAGATTCGTTAATTGACCCTGCGCTCCCACCCTCTCATACAGCCCCAGTGACACCCCGCGCGTTCTGGTCGGCCCGCACAAACGCCTTGTAGTTCGGAAACAAGCCCTGGGGATCATACTTCTCCCGGACTTGCAGGAATCGCTGAAGCGCGGTGTCGGTAATCACTCGTGTCTATGCTGTCATCAGCATTATTCATTCCGCAAGTCACTCAGTGCAGGTGAACTCACATTGACGTCCTCCCAATTGGGGTCCAGATCCACGACGAACATGCCAATCGCGACGGACAGGGCACGTGTATACCGATCTCGCATGTGTTGGCGGAGGTCCGATTCCCGCTCTGGGTCCGTCCAGATGGTGGCTGTCATGAAGTACAGATCCTGGGGCAAGCTCATCACCATTTCATTTTCGTCGGGGCGCTGGTCGCAGTGGTAGATATAAACGTTCGACTGCCGGGTCGGCAGTTCGAGCAAGGCTGGCTTCATCGTTTCCAACAACTGCTCTCGTTAGTGCGGACTCCATACCGGGAGCAAGAGACGCCTTACCCGAGGCAGTGAGCAACCAGGGTCGCTTAAGATACTGTTGTTGTGGACCCGTGTGCCTGGCCCAGGACCTGCTTCGGCCGCGGCCAGGATCTCCTCGAATGTGCCTTTCTGGACAGATTGCTTATCGAGGAGGAAATCGCGCACCTCGTCCACCTGGTCGTAAGCGCTCAACATACCCTTGGCCTCCTCTTCTGTTTCGGCATAGCATAATAACAGCAAAGTCAGGTGCAGCTTTGCTCCCGGGGGCACCTCATCCCCAGTGGCGGTGGGGTCGGCCTGTGCGTACGTGATAGTCATGTTCAAATCCGTGTCCTGCTTGGGCGTCTCGCGGCCGCGTTCGATCGCCCAGGTCATCAGCTTCTCGTAGTTGTCGCTGTTGATCTCAAATTGCACGATTCGCTGCCACGGGGTCGAGGCGGGCATAGTCCTGGCCCAGAATCGCGTCACCACGCCGAAGAAGCCCAAGCCACTACCACGCGCGGCCCAGAAAAGATCGGAGTGATTGTTACGATCGGCGAGGACCACGTCGCCATTGGGTAGAACAATCTCCATTCGGGTAACGAAGGATACCGCGGCACCGTATCTGCGCATGAAGAACCCCTGTCCGCCCGCGAGAAGGTAACCGGCCATGGCGACGGTGGGGGCATGACCGATGGGGAAGAAGCGACCAACCTCACTCAGTTTCTGGGATACCTCTCCAATGCGGCAGGACGGCCCAAAGGATATTTGAGCCATCTCCTCGTCGTAGTCCACGTGACGATTCAGCTTGTTGGTATCAATCAAGATTCCGTCTTGCACGAGGTAGGGCGATTGCGCGGCATGACCGGACGAGCGTATGCTCACGGTCGTGCCCAGCTCGGTTACTCGGTTTAGAGCGTTCTTCACGTCAGCCACGCTCTCGACTAGGTGAATTTCACGAGGATATCGAGGGCCGGCCGCGGACGGATTCATCTCGCGACATCGTTCGTACTCGGGGTCCCCGCGCACAAGAATCTTCGAGGAGTACTCGGGATTTGTGATATACTCGGGGGGTGCCATTCCGTCTAAATTGTATGAAGCTCAATTGAATTGCGGCTGTTTGAGCGACCATACCATAGCATGTCGCATCGTCGTTTATATAGCTCCTTGTCCTGCCCAGTCCCCCGGCTCTTGACGTCACTTCAAGTATGTGGCTTGAGGGAGGGGACAAAGCTTGATTTGAGGGGAGGATTATACAAAACTGGGAGCACCAGCAACTAGCTCGGGATGGATGTCCAGATGTCCATGGTTGGCAGATATAGGCATCTGCAGCATGCAAGGACGAGTTGAGTGGTGAGAACGTCCGCTTGCCAGGGAAGTGAAAAGTTTACCCTCGAAGATTTGCATCTCATAGAGTGTTCGGCGTCTTTCTTTAGCTGTTCTGACCATCACGGTTTCACAAGACGATATCATTGTGAAGTTTTATGACGAGGGATTGCACTGCAGTCGCGGTCAGCTGTCATCTCATGCCTTGCGTTGCGGCAAACCGGAGCATGATACCAGCCTATCACGCCGCTTATAACTCTTTAGGGAAGGAAGTCTAACTTGCCGTAAGTGCCCAGTACACATTGCTACCGTTGATCCAGTGAGCGATATTGACAATGAATTGGGACACAGATGTTCGTTCCTGGTATGACTTCATTTCTCGAGAGGCTTTCGTGGGCAGGAAATCGAGACAGCTGCGTGCAGCATGAAGCTAGGAGTATGCAGTCCGACCAACTAGGGATCTCAACCACCATCCATGAGTTCAATAGAGTTGACCGTAGTCTGTCAGGGCTCGCAATGCTGAGTATAGTAGCTGATGGCGGGAAGCGAGGGATTTCCCTTCGTTCCGTGTCTTTACTGTCAATCTTGATTTCTTCATCGCCTCGGCTCCACTTGGCGAACAAGAAAAGGGCGGCTTGTTATTAGGTACCTAGCCGAAGTTCCCGTCGGGGTTCCAGCAATGACATATCACAATTTGTATTGCTATTGTTGCCATTGGCTCTGGGGAGCGAGCGATGTCTCAACAGTGTCCAGGAACCCCCGCAAAGGCTTGAATCTGGCCAGATGAAACCAACTCTGATGCTATTCTCATTCTCTACCTGCTGAAGTCTCTTTGAGAGATCCACTGAACGAGTGGAAAGCCGTTTGCCATCTTAATCTCTAACATATCCTGGTTGGTCGAAGGCGGATCGTTTTCGATTGCTGCAGTTCTACTTCGGTCGACCACCCCCGAAGAAGCGCAGAACGCGAACCGATGACACTAGACGAAGATGGTGGGCGATAACCACATGGCGGCTCCAAGTCGCTGGGATCACGATCGATAATGCAATGCAAGGGTTGCTGCTGGCCGACGGTCTGGATTCTGGATTTGCGCCCGTAGGTCTTCAGCAAACTGCCACATGGCTGCCCCGGTCGGCATCAGGGGCTCGTGAAGCCGCGAACAGGTCACAAAGTATAGAAAGGCCCGTGCGACAGCCTACTGTCTCGTATTTGGGATGCGATAGATAGATGTCTAAACTCAAAGCCTGTAAACCTTTTCCGTGTTGTGTTTCTTCACCGTGCTCAGGTGGGGTGTTCATGGTTCGGGGTTTGCTGCACGGTCGCCAATGACGAGAAATATGCCATATTCATTCCCATGCACAATTTCAAAGCCCAGGCGTTGTTGATTCAGTCAAAGTGTCGAAGAGGAACTACGCAATAGGAAGACTCCCTTTGACAACGAAAAAAGGGGGGCGTTCACTTCTTTTTAAGGTTTTAGGCCCTGGGATAGAGATACGAGGCCGAATGCATAGTGCATATAAGTCACAAAAGCCAGTTCGACAGAAAACGGACGCTCCACTACAGCCTCCCCTTTCCTGACTCAGGAAAGGTGAGCCAGGAATCCTGACTCATGCATTCCTCCAGCAACTGCCGATCGTACCATGGGTCGAAACTCTTCTAGAAGCTTTAGTCTCAATTTAGTTGCTTGCTCGGACATGGATGCCTGAGGATAAGACCGGATCGGCTCCGAACGATGGAGAATCTGCGGTCCGAAGTACGGAGTTGTTGTGTAGCACTCTAGTCTAGCAGAAAATGGTGGAAGAAGTGGGTGTGCAAGTGGAAACAAGGTCCGACTCCAACAATCTCCAACAATCAAGCAAGACACTCTCACACAGCGGTGGCTCTTTAGGGCACGCCCGGCGTGTCGAGTCGCTGGAGTCTTCACCACCGGCCCTCAAATCCGCCCATAAAACATCGCCATGTCCCACTTACTGCACCCACAGAGTCACGGACTACCCCAATCGGTAGTCTACGATTCGACAAGTGGAGGAAGATGCATATCAACGGACACCGGATGGCCTCAAGGAGGGCTAAGATTCGAAAGGGGGAACAGACGGCGACTATTGAGTGGGCCCGTGAAGAGAAAAGCCAAATGCTAGAAAAAACACTAAGGATTCCTTCAGATCCACTTAAATTGCCGGCCGCACAGCTGACAGATGTCATCCATGCCGTTTATTTTTCCCCTTCCTGACCAGATGCCCCTCAGAACTCTAATCGGAAAGTTTGTTGTGGCAGCCTGGCACACAAGGGGGGGGGGGGGGGGGGAGGGGCGAGTCTGGAGGGGGGCGGAGGGCGACAGTGGATTGATTCACTTATTCACTTACATATCACATTCCATCTTGATCCGCTACGCTACTGCATGACAAAAAAAGAAATGATGAAAGAAGAAAAAGAAAGAAAATGCAGATGAAATCTCGATTCCCAGTGGCCCCGTCCATTGTAAATAGCAGATTGATCGCCCCTCGGTTCGGTAGTCACTTGCTGTGTTTGAGCCCATCCTTTCTTTTCTTTTCCTCAAATTACTTGTGTATTAGCTGCCACTATCGATTCGCCCATCCATGACCATGGTTTTCCAGGGCAATCCACCGAATGTCCCCCGGAATGTTGACCGGAAAGCCCTCTATACCGATCTCGAGGCACGCGTCCACTACTTGCAGCAATTTCTGGAGTTCAATACCGGTCAGTCTATTCCTCTGGCCTAGTTGTCAAACCATAGGTGGCTAAGACTGTGCACAGATGATGTCGCTGCCCTAAACAAGGGGTCCAAATATATCAAGGCGCTGGCGCCTACCTTGGTCGATCGAGTCTATGCCAAGCTTCTGGAGTTTGATATCACCGCTCGGGTCTTTCGCACACGCAGCACCTCCTCGGAGGAGGAGGTGACCAGCTATCCCACCTTTGACAGTGGCTATATCCAGCGCCGCCGAATGTTTCTGCGGTGGTACATGACCAAGCTCTGCTCCGACCCTACCAAGCCGGAATTCTATCAGTACCTTAACCAAGTCGGGTATGCATAACCCTGGTCCTGCGTCTAACTGTCACAGTGCTGAACATTTTGCAGGCGAATGCACACCGGCAAAGACCGCATGCTTGCGTTCAATGTGGAATACATTCACATCGGCGCTTGCCTCGGCTTCATCCAGGACATCATCATCGAGGCCGTTTTCAGCCACCCACATCTTACGCTCGCCTTTAAGATGGCGCTTGTCAAGGCCTTGAGCAAGGTGATCTGGATTCAGAACGATCTTTTCGCCCGCTGGCGGGTCCGTGATGGCGAGGAGTTCAGTGACGAGACCGAGTCTGTCCATCACGAGCCTTCTGGGAAAGAGCAGCATGACGATTCAGCCTCGCACATCACTCGCTCGACCACACAGCAGTCGGAATCCACCAGTATCTTCTCCGATACACGGTCGGTGGACACGGCGACCACGCATGCCACGGCCACGATGCACGCTCCGAGCTCGTCTCATTCCTCCCACTCGGCCTGTCCGTTCTCGGGGGGCTTCAAGCAATCGTTTGAAACCAAGGTCTGGTCAGGGCCCAATGGGAAAATGGGTCACTAATCTACTCCAACCGTGAAGTTGACGAGTTTCATTTGGATATAGGTAAATAAGGTGTAAGAACATATGGGAACCTTTTGGGGTACGATGGGGATGACAACGGATTTCTGGGAAAAGATTCTGGAGGGTGTTCACTGTATAGGTTTTCTGGTGTTTGGCCTGCGTGCTCTTTTTCTGCTGTTTTCTTGCTTAAGTTAGCTTGCTTCTGCTATCCTTTGATTCCCCTGGCCTGGTAACGATCGGACTGCTTTTCTTTCTTTCAAAACTCCATGTTGTAGACATATTATTTAGTCATATAAGCAGACCCCGTTGTCGGAATCAGCTCCTGCATTGCTCCGTCTATGGATAGTTCACGCTTTGAACGTGACGTGTGCTGTAAATGGGAGACAATGCCGTGATATATATCCGTTTGTGGTGAGTCTTCCTCACCAAGCCACGTTTTTAGTTTAGTGCAAGATCCAGCCATAATCTTGTATACGTCTACATGACTTTAATTAAGAGAGCAAAGGAAAGGAGCTGAGCGCGTGGAGAAAACTCGGAGATGATAAGGAGAATGTCGACTACGGCGCCGCTGAAGTAGCGCCGGTGAACAGTTCTACTTAAAATGGGGATGTCGAAGCGGTGCCGTTCCACAATTTTAACTTTCTCCTTGACCGAGGAGAAAAGCGACTCCCGTGAAGGGCCTTCCTTGCAGGGCTTTCGAGTACCGAAAGGAGCTGCTACTTGATGACCGGACAGTACTGGAGGAGCACCGCGCTTTTTATGTTACCTCCAACCCTAAACGGTCCGTGTGATCAGGGAGCGAGTATGGGGAGATAGACCCGTCAGTCCCGGCAAGCCGACCGGTCGGACGGTGCAGAGTGCCATCACCTTTACAGTGGCATTGCTGAATATCGTGATGACCATCCAAGCCAGATCCAGACCGAGTATACCTGTGTTTCTTCCGCTTCCATCCTAGTGACTTCCAAGTATTCCACCGTGGTTGTTGTGGGAAACGTAGAGGCTGCTAAAAGGGAATCGAAAGAACTGGGCAGTTGGCGATAATATCAACGAAACGCATCTGGATAAAACATCTGGGATTGATGAGGCATGGGCTATTAGCAACTCGAATAGTTAAAACGAGCAAAGGTAATGTCTAGTCTGTTCGAGCGAGCATTCCACCAGAAGAATGACTGTCGGAGAAGTCGGTGGGGAACAGGATGCCACGACGAGGGAAAGTCCAGGGCGCAAGCTGTCATTTGAGAGTTCTGGATGAGATAAGACCTCAGCTCGACCTAATTTTCGAGGCGCAGGAGTAAGGTATCGGTGCGACTGCAGACGGGGCTGGGCAAAACAGAAGAGAACGAAGGCAGGAAGGATGTTCAGCTTCCGACCGGAGTCCATGGCAATCACGTGCCCATATTACTTCCTGCCTTGCTGCCTTGCTGCCTTGTTGCCTTGTTGCCTGCCGTTCTTTTGCCTTGTTTACATCGACGGTCGCATACTTCAATTATGACTACCAAGTAGTCATCCAACCAGCTATCTGCGATGGCTTCACTTTTTTTCCCAAGCAACATAGTCATAATGCATGCGTGCTTTCATGTTCATGATGTCGAGTGAATCAATGGGATGTCAGGGCAGGGTCGAGGAGCTGTTGTTTTCGTGGGAGAAGGGGGGTCGCCCAAAGAAGAGGGGGAAAGCCGTGCCGCGGGCGGGAGGCACATCAAACTAGCGGAGCCCTGAGGTCTTTCCCACTGTCTGCTCGAGGATATCCCGGGAATTTGTGCCAGTACGCGAGTCACATCAAGATGTATTGAGCCCGTTTTTGACGCAAAAACCAAGTAACAGACCAACAAACCTCGTCAGCAGCGAGCCGGCTAGACTGATACTGGTACAGCTTGGAGACTGCAGATATACACGCCACAGTAATACTGCAGATAACGCAGTGACCAGCTTGCAATGGCTAGAGGACTATTAGTTTAGTGAGCAATGCAAGAAGATGTTGGGATCACTTGCGCCTGGAGACAAATTGTGCAAGCTGCACATAACTATTCATGCTGACTAAGGTTATGATAGTGTAGTTAACTAACAACTCCTGCTTCTTTGTTGCGTGGATCGACTCATCCAGGATGAAATCACGCAACAAGCCACTAACACCTGCCCCGCACGATTATACCAAATCCTCAGGCACTTCTTCTGCAGGAGCCGACAAGTGGCGCTCTGACTTCGGTGCAAACAATATTGGCTTCTCGGGGACCCGGTTGGCACGGCATCGCCAAGGCATGCCACACTCTTACCAAGCCCACCATTATCCTTCTCTCGACCTTTGCGTGGTTATGACCAGCTTCAATGATGTTGTTAGGCTGGGAAGCTCTTTTGTAGCACTTTCTGTCTCACCATAATGCTGTCAGGATCTGAAAGTCAAGCTTAGCGCTCTGTTCCGCAAGTTGAGGTCCTCGTCGCGTTAATCGCGCAATGGATGGGGTGATGGGATCGAAAAGATATTAAAGGCCAACATCTAGAATAGAGCATGTGTCAAGACCATTTCTTCAGGCTCTTTAGCCCACAGAATTCCTCGGGCCATGGCGCTTATCCAACGGAGTCCGATGCATGTCGACATCCTCACCCACATCGTTGCGATTATTGTCAGTCTCAGTGGTGCACCTTGTCTGCATGAAGCTCATAGAGCGATGACCAGGATAAAATGAGGTGAAATGATGCGATGGTAGTATCGCTAATGATGAAGATGGAGTGCTCGTTCTGGAAGACATAAAAACATCGTGGATTTCCCTTCAAGATGCTTTTCTTCTTCATCAGCCAGCTCAGTTCTCTCCTCCATTGCAGATATCTCTAGCTTCGATACTTGTTCACCTACTCAATTCGAGTTCCCAAACCTCTCTCAAAATGAAGATCACCGCTGCTATTGCTGCTAGCATCCTCGCTGGTGTCGTCGCCGCCGCTCCTGGGCGCGGACTCGAAGCTCGCGTGAAGGCTCGTGCTGCCACCCGGGGCTCTCGCCCTCTCGAGGCTGTCAACCGGCCTGCGACGGTCAAGAACCAGACCAATGTGGAGTACAGCTCCAACTGGTCTGGCGCGGTGCTGGAGAACCCTCCCTCGGCGGCTGCTACCTACACGGCCGTGACCGGTACCTTCACCGTCCCTGAACCCACTGGCACCGGTAGCGGCGCTGCCTCCGCCTGGGTTGGCATTGACGGCGACACCTATGGAAACGCCATCCTTCAAACTGGTATCGATTTCACCCTGGAGAACGGCCAGGCCTCCTACGATGCCTGGTATGAGTGGTACCCCGACTACGCTTACGATTTCACCGGCAGCATCGACATCTCTGCTGGCGATGAGATCGTCACCATCGTCGAGTCCTACTCTTCCACCAGCGGCATTGCCATTATCGAGAACAAGAGCACCGGCCAGACCGTGTCCAAGAAGCTGTCGGCCCCTTACTCCAGCGCCAAGCTCGGTGGTCAGAACGCCGAATGGATCGTCGAAGGTGAGTCCTAATTGCGATTCAGTCCTTATGTTCGTCTGTACCAATTTGCACATAGATTTTGAGGAGAATGGCTCCCTGGTCAGCCTCGTCGACTTTGGCACCATCACGTTCACCGGCGCCGTGGCTAAGGCTGCTGGCGGCGAGAGTGTCGGCCTCGATGATGCTACCATCATTGAGATTGAGCAGTCTGGCACTGTGAAGACTGATGTTACCATTAACAGTGACTCTTCTGTTACCATCACTTACGTCTAAGCCATCTCGATAACTTCTTAAGAGCGCATAGGCCTGATTATGCGAGTGTGACATGCGGAGGAGAGAGCAGCGGGTTCGTGCTGAGGTTAGACGGGTCGTAAGAAAGGCAGTTGATGGCTCATAAGATAGTTGATGACGGCTTGTTCGTCAAGTGTATCTTCCTTGTGGACAATGAGACACAGTAGCTTCCTGGAACGCGGTGCATATGTCTTCGATTCTTCGTAGCACCAGAGCCTTGTACTGTTGACAGTGCTACTAGAAAAGTGACAAATCGGGCCTGAATTGACGCGGCTATGAGATAGAAAAGGCTCAATCATATACTGAGAACACTTTCGACTACTCATCAGTAGAGGTATACGTACGCTACTTTTCGAACACAATCAGAGTATTTCGAAGTCAATAACGCAAGCCGGAGGACGATTCATCGAGCTTGTCATTGCGACACGTTGCTCGGTCGTGACTGATCTATATGTTGTGCAAAATAGGATAATATGTCATTAGTACGTTGAATTTGTTTGTTGATACTCAGTATACTTAATCCGCCAGCCATGAAACACAATAAATATTCCGGGGTTGTGAGACTCTGGCAACGGTAATAGTAGCTTGGGTGTGGTCCATGTGGGAAAGATATACATTTTTCTGTCGAGAATTCGTACATGCAGCCTTCTTGACTAATTAAAGTCTTCATCATCTTACATTTTTCACGACTAATTTCATCTGCAAGAGCAACTCGTGTTTTTGACTTGGCATTCATCTCCAGCGCATTTCTGCATTTTCTGTCAATATATTGAGCTGGAGACTACAAATGGTATGGCAAAGGCTAGAGTCGGCAAGTGTTAGTGGTTACCTCAGCACTCGACCGACTCCAGGCTGAAGAGGCTAAGGTAGCAGACCTACACGTATTGTGTAATGTTAATGATCGTCATACCAGGTTCTGTTATGCTGCTGCCATCTCGGTCACCGATGGGGAGGATGTTGGACGCGGCTCCGCCCGTGCGTCAGGCACAGCCATCACACTACTGGAGAGCTTGATTCTAATCTTACATCCTGTGCAGGATGACGTGTTGATAACTTATTTTCCATGATGTTATTGAGGAATGAAGGCATGATTACGTCGTGGCTTTTTCGAGCCCAGGGATTTGGACCCGCCAAGATCGGGACTTGGCGAGATTGGGCCCTGCCTAATCCGGTTTAGTGGGTGATGACCCTTGGCCTGCGTCATCTTGACGGGAGCAGCAACAGTCTTTCTTTTATAGTCCCTTAAAACACCCCCCGGATGCAGTAGTTATCAAGTACTCTCACTTTCAGTAACAGCAGTATAACTACACCCTTGAATCCCCCTTCCACTTTCATCCTCTACTCATCAACCTTTCCCTCTACCCCCGACAACTTTCTCTCTTCCCAATCCCTCGATTAACACCATTTCCACAATCACACATCATGATGAACCGAACACCCAGAGTTGCAACCCGCTGCGTTAGACAGCAACGCACCGTCCAGCTGAAGAACCGGTACCCCAATGCACGATTCCAGTCGACCTCCTCTGGTACCTCCAATGGGTCCAACTCGAGCAGCAACCCTGCCCTCGTCGGAGGACTGGCCGGTGGTGCCGCCGCCTTCGTGGCCGGATACGCCTGGTACCACTTCTCCGGCGCCCGCACCGTGGTCAAGACCGTCAAGCAAACCCAGAACTACGCCGACCAGGTGAAGCAAGGCATCATCCAGAATGCTCCGGAGCCCGACAAGGCGCTTGAATGGCTCCGTGAGACCGCGAAGAGCTACGCCGCCTTCATCCCCGGTGCGCGCAAATACATTGACACCCTGTTCGACGACCTGGAGAAGATCAAGCAGAAGCACGGCAGCGAGTTCGATTCGATAGTCCGCGATGCCTACTCAGAGATCAAGGGATTGACCAAGAAGGGCGGCTCCAACGCGGACACCGCCTTTGAGGCCCTGCGCGTGCTGCAAAAACACCTCGGTCGCTTGGTCGATCTGTCCGGCGATGCGGCGGAGGACATCCTCGACAACCACCCCTGGCTGCAGGAGAAGGTCGGCGGCAGCTGGGAACAGCTGAAGCAGATGGGCGAGGCATACGGACCGCAGGCCAAGGAGGAGGTCAACAAGACCTGGGAGCAAGTGGCGGGCATCGTCAAGGAAGGCGTCAGTGTGCAGTCGGTGGAGAAGGTTCGCCAATTGATCCAGGAGAAGAAGGACAAGCTGCAGAAGGTGGGCGACGAGATGTGGCAGAAGGGGATGGACGAGAGCAAGCAGTATCTGGACAAGAACCCCCAGCTGAAGGAGCTGGTTGAGAACAATGCCGATGCACTAAAGCAGGGCAACTTCGGCGAGCTCTGGGGACTGATCAAGGACTCGGCCTCGTCGGGCAAGACGGAGCAGGTGGAGAAGTTCGTCAAGGAGAAGGTCGATCAGGCCAAGAACAACAGCTCCTTCGATCTGGACAAGTGGACCAAGATGGTGCCTGGCGGATCGGACATCCTAAACCAGTTGCAGTCGATCCGAACAGTCACGGAGAAGAAGGGCAAAGAGGCCGAGGGCGTGCTCAAGGAGACGGTGGAAGAGCTGCAACAAGTGCTCAAGAAGCGCAAGGAACAGGTTGAGCAATTGGCCAGTGAGGCCAAGGAGGAGAGCAAGTAAAGAGCTTTGTGCATCATTCTTCGCTGTAATTTAGAGCCCTGTATACCATCATACCCAATACCATTGTTTCATGAATCATGAATGATTTGTGATAATCAAAGATCCAGACCAATTACCGTGGCAATGACTAATCATAGCATAGACTGTCAACCCGTGAACAGGTGGCGAGAAGCTTAGTCAACCATGCACCTGCAGCTGCACAGTCTGGACTCTTCGTTGTTTGTCAGGAAATCCTTAGTCAAATTAGGGCCCGTTTCCATGGTTTGCGGGGTTGAGTCTGTCAGCAGACCAGTAGAACAAGTCCATAAGTCCCAGTGATGATGTCGAGACCTCCAGTGATGAGAGGATCATTAATAACCATGCTTATAGTCTATCCCCCGCTTTTTTACCCTATCTTGCGCTTAAACCTGCAACGTCTCCCTTATTCTCGCCCACCACGTGTCTGGCCCCCTCTGGTCAGTCAGCAAACGGCAGCAAATGAATCCTATGCGTTACTAATGTTGTCTTGGCCAGGCTGGCTGTCCTACCAGGCTGTGAAGGTCCTGTGCATCGCAAACAGACCGTATAAAGTGCGGGGTTGAGTTCCGGGTCGGATGATTTCCCCCTCCTCGCATTTTAATCCCTTGAATTCTGCATTTCTCTACAGTATCATTCCTCCTCAACTTCTTGAATCTCCCGCATCACACCCTCTTCATTGAAAGCTGAACAGCCTCTTCTTCATACACACCTAATACTTGTCCATCCCACTACCATCATGGGCGAGTCCAAGTGTCCCTTCAAGGCTCAAGCCAATGTGGCGGGTGGGGGTACTCGTAACACCGACTGGTGGTCTCAACAACTGAAGCTCAACATCCTGCGCCAACACACCACCGCTTCCACTCCTCTGCAGGCTGACTTCGACTATGCCGCTGCGTTTCAGAGTCTGGACTACTTTGCTCTCAAGAAAGACCTGCATGCCCTCATGACCGACTCGCAGGAATGGTGGCCCGCCGACTTTGGTCACTATGGCGGCCTCTTTATCCGCATGGCCTGGCACAGTGCTGGTACCTATCGCGTGTTCGATGGCCGTGGCGGAGGAGGCCAGGGCCAGCAACGGTTTGCTCCGCTCAACAGCTGGCCCGATAATGTGAGTTTGGACAAGGCTCGCCGGCTCTTGTGGCCCATCAAGCAGAAATACGGCGACAAGATTTCCTGGGCCGACCTGCTGCTGCTGACTGGCAACGTTGCCCTCGAGTCCATGGGCTTTAAGACCTTTGGCTTCTCCGGGGGTCGTCCGGATACCTTCGAGGCCGATGAGTCGATCTACTGGGGTGGAGAGACAACTTGGCTGGGCAACGATGTCCGCTACTCTGATGGCAACCCCGGAGTGGCAGCCCCCGGCGTGGTCGACAGCGATCAAGCAACCCACCGTGACATTCACAAGCGAGACTTGGAGAAGCCTTTGGCCTCTGCGCACATGGGCCTGATTTATGTCAACCCCGAAGGGCCCGATGGCAACCCCGACCCGGTGGCTGCCGCCCGGGACATTCGGGTGACCTTCAGTCGCATGGGAATGAATGACGAAGAGACGGTGGCTCTGATCGCCGGCGGCCACAGCTTTGGCAAGACTCACGGCGCTGCGCCTTCCAGTAATGTGGAAGCAGAGCCTGAAGGGGCTGACCTTGAGACTCAGGGACTCGGCTGGAAAAATAACTACCAGTCCGGCAAAGGGCCCGACACCATCACCAGTGGTCTGGAGGTGATTTGGACCAAGACACCGACTAAGTGGAGCAACAATTACCTCGAGTATCTCTTCCGTTATGAATGGGAGCTCACCAAGAGTCCCGCAGGAGCTCACCAGTGGGTCGCCAAGGACTCCGAGGCCATTATCCCTGACGCTTATGACGCCTCCAAGCGCCACCGGCCCACGATGCTCACCACGGATCTCTCGCTGCGCTTTGATCCCACCTACGAGAAGATCTCGCGACGTTTCCTCGAGAACCCCGACCAGCTAGCTGATGCCTTCTCCCGCGCATGGTTCAAGCTGCTCCATCGTGACATGGGTCCTCGTTCGCGATACATTGGACCCGAGGCACCGACCGAAGAGCTGATCTGGCAAGACCCCATTCCCGCCGTTGATCATCCTTTGGTGGATGCTACAGATATTGCCTCCCTCAAGCGCACCATCTTGGCGAGCGGCGTTGACCGGGCCAAATTCGTGTCGACGGCGTGGGCCTCGGCCTCGACCTTCCGAGCCAGCGATAAGCGCGGGGGCGCCAATGGAGCTCGTATTCGTCTGCAGCCTCAACGGGATTGGGAGGTGAACCGACAGCCCGGGCTCCAGGAGACCCTGGCTGCGCTTGAATCCATTCAGAAGAAATTTAATGACTCTGCCGCAAATGGCAAGAAGGTCTCTTTGGCTGATCTGATTGTGCTAGCCGGCAGTGCCGCCGTTGAACAGGCGGCTCGCGACGCCGGCCATGCCATCGAAGTGCCCTTCATCCCTGGTCGGGCCGACGCGTCGCAGGAACAGACGGACACGCAATCCTTCAGCCATCTGGAGCCTGTGGCTGATGGCTTCCGTAATTATGGTCGCTCGACGCCGCGAGTCCGCACGGAGCAATTCCTCGTCGACCGGGCTCAACTTCTCAGCCTGTCTGCCCCCGAGCTGACCGCTCTGGTGGGTGGCCTTCGCGTGCTGAATGCGAATTACGATGGATCAGCCCACGGTGTCTTTACCTCTCGTCCGGGACAGTTGACGAATGACTTCTTTGTCAATCTGTTGGATATGAATACAGCCTGGAAGGCAACCGATAACAGCCGAGAGTTATACGAGGGAACCGATCGTCGGACCGGACAAAAGAAGTGGACGGCGACGCGCGCCGATCTCGTCTTTGGGTCGCATGCTGAGTTGCGAGCCATTGCGGAAGTCTACGGCAGTGTCGATGGTCCAGCTCGTCTAGTCAAGGACTTCGTGGCTGCCTGGGACAAGGTCATGAATCTGGATCGGTTTGACCTCAAGAAGCAGACTCTAGTGTCTTCCCGTTTGTAGTCTCTCCCACAGATAGCTTTTGTCTCTCAGTTTACATGCAATGAGAATTATGTTTTCGAATCCATCCCGTGCTTCGCTGCCACCAGAGTCCACAGGCCTCGCCGGATGAATCTGACTTGTCTTTAGATGTTGAGGTGGTTATACAGAACACGCATGAGCCGCCATCGGGACATGACGCTGTTTCAGTGAAAGGGCCGCGGCGGCGCGTTACGATGGGCAATAGTGCGAACAGGCCGTATTTCCATGCGGATCTTACCGGGGCGTTGGCGGCCGTGACCAAGAGCTTGCATGAGGAAGCGCAGACGAGAATTGAGTGTTAGTCAGAGTCTCAGATGACGGTACAATGAACGGAGCATTCCGAGGAGGTTTTACACGAATTGTGCATACGCAAATGCTTCCAAGCTAGGTTGGTGTTCGGCTGAGGGCAGGATCTATTTATACGAGACAAATATATCATTTATGCATGGATCTTACCCTGAATCTGTTGCTTGTCGTATTGATATGTAGAGCCGAGTGACATTGTAACCCTCTTAGACGTAGGCGGCGCTGGGAAGATCCATCGGTCAAGCATATCTCTTGGCCGGTCGCATTTCAATTGCTACTGGAAGTCGTGCTCGCTCGGGGACAAATTTACCCCCTTGAATGTTTCATCGCAGCTAAGCACTCTTTCTAGCTGGCCGTATGGAAATGGAATCATCCCCGATCTTGCTCGAGCTTTGCTCGCGCGAAATCCCCTGTCCGTCAATCAAAGGCGGGTCAGTTGTGACCATCCCAATTCGTCCACGAGCCAGATCTCTCTTCTCAAGATATGCGATCAGGCCAATGAATGGGATAGTCAATGCTCCTGTCACCAGACTCGCAATGTACCCTTTGTGGAAGTTGGGCGCATCGGTGGCTGGGAAAAAGATCAAGGGCCACCAGGTGACGAAGGCAAAGTCGAAGGAGTTCATGAAACCGGTCGTGATTGCCCTAAGCTGGAGATCGTGAGCCGTCACATCCGCCATCCAGGAGTACCAGATTGCCTGTGGCGCGTAAGTGGTGCCGATCAGGTAAAACGCCACAAAATACCCGGCATCAGTTGACGGACTCGAGACGAGAATGGAGGAACCAATGACGAAGGTGAAGCCAATTGCCAGAGATACCTCCCCCCGCGATTGCAGCCGGTCGGAGATGACAGCGTAGAGGACTGTACCGAAGATAGCAGCCGCGTAGATGCCCGCGGGATAGTTGTTCTGTTGAATGGTGGAGTAACCCCGTGAAGCCATCCAGTAGGGCATCACATTATTTGATACCTCTTGTACGGAGAGTGAATACACTATGAGATCATTAGATTGACAAGGGGAAAAGTGCATAGTCCAGATGGCAGACATACGCATGAAGATGAATGGTAGAAGCCAGAATTGCCAGCTGAGTAAGACACGCTTGAACACGGTGACATCCCAGGATTGCTTGCGCACCGTACCCAGCCGACAGACGGCGTGCTCCTTCTGCTCGTGGGTGAGATACCAGGCTGAACGGTGGGATGGGAGGTCCGGGATGAAGAACCAGCCTGCAAGAGAGCAATCATTAGCGTTTGATCACGGGGCGACAGGGTGCGAACCGACCAAATAGTGCTACCGGTACTGTCATCACGGAGACGATGATAAAGATCCATGTCCAGGCAGGGAGACCCCCCTTACCAGCCAATGCCGCCAATAGACCGGCTTGAATCCAACCGCCTGCCATGGTGCCTATATGGCCAAACACGCAGAACACCGCCGCTCGGATCCCTAGCTCGGACTTTTGATACCAGGAGCCGAGAATAAACTGGGCTCCCACACTGGTCGCAGAGTCAGTACATATACTTTACATCAACGTTCAATCTTAATGGAAGGGAAGGGAAAGGATGATTCACTAGGCTATGGCAGAGAAACCTCCTTCAATCGCGTTCAATAGAATGACTTGCCAGGCACGCGTCATTTTGTATGTGATCAAGGTCAAGACACTCCATGTCACATTCGCAGTGACAAACACATATTTGGGGCGGGCAATGGTCAACAGGCTGGTACCGGGCATTTGACAGACGGCATAGACGGCCAAGTATGCGGTATTCATATAGTTGTATTCCTTGCCCTGGAAGCCGAGAGCTTCTTTCATGCCACTGATGTAAGCGGACGAATAGCTGGATCGAGTGACACCGAAGAGAAACCAGATTAGGGAGAAGTAGGGCAGCAGGGTTATATCCAGCTTGGCCAGCAGGGCGCGCGTCTGGGGATCTGCTCCCCACAGCCGTATAGCCAGCCAATTTCGGAGCGAGACCATCTTGGTTGCTGGGTGGTACAAATGGAGGATGTGCCCCAGCAAACTGGCTTGGATATAGAGGCAGCTTGTCCTGACGGTCCCCGGTCGCAACGGTGACCGGTGAATATAATCACCATTGCACAAGGGCGTGGCTGTCACACATTATGCAGGCTTCGGTTTCACACAGGCAAATGATCCTTATCGGCCATGGCGACAACTCCTTGCAGATGGTGAAATGTGCAGCTGATAAGCCAGGGCCATCCACTCACGCGCAAAGATCGACCGGAATCCGCGGAATCCGGAAGGGGGAAAAGTAAGAAGGGTAACGCGGTCGCAATCAATCATAACAATAAAATTGACATCGATGCAACAACACAACAAGACCAACAATAACTCTCTGGTTCACCTCGCCATTTTGTGTGTGCTCGCCGTACACAATGCCGCCCGGGAAATTCCCCAACAATGTCAACCTTCCCAGCGACATCCAATTCATCTCAACTCCACCAGCGCAGCCCTCGGCCTTCAACGCGACGGACGCTGACAGTGGAGTTGCCCTAACCACCGTCCGTCTCAACTCTTTCTTGTCCGATTGACTGCTTGCTGATTGAAATCCGACAGTCGCCTGCCATTCATAATCCTCCTCTGCCAGTGGACGGACCCGGTCATGAAGCATTTTCCAATTTCTACTTGATCGGAGCGCTGGTCGGAATCCCTGCTATCCTGACATGGACAATGGGTGGCGGGATTAAGACCGGCCTCGTTCTCGGTTCGATCACTTTCTTCCCTATCCTCGTCGCTTTCTGGACTTGGACCTCGTGTTGCAGTCCGCCCACCAATACGAAAGTCAAATTGCCCGGTCGGCCAATTGAGGACTACGTGACCTTCAAGAACGAGGCCGATCGGACGAAATGGCACGGTCGGAACAAAGTCCCCCTGCAAACCTTCTGCGAGATGTATCTGGATGGCTCTGTCGATTTCAACGGCGACTGTCTAGACATCATGGAATATCGACATGATTGGGCCAACTTTCGGTTCACCTGGGATCTATTCAAGTATATTCTTCTGACCTTCGCCCGAGATGTTCTCTTCCACACCAAATCTCAAGATGAGGAACAGATTCGTCCGAACTACGACCGCGGCAACGATCACTACGCCTGGTTTCTCGGCCCACGCATGGTCTATACCTCGGGTATCATCTCGGATCCTGATAGGGAAGAAACGCTGGAGGAAATGCAAGATAACAAAATGGCGATTGTCTGCGAAAAGCTTGGTCTCAAAAACGGCGAGACTCTGCTAGATATTGGATGTGGATGGGGGACACTGGCCAAGTTTGCGAGTCTTAACTACGGGGCAAAGGTCACCGGGCTCACTATTGCCCAACACCAGACAGCATGGGGTAATGATGCCCTTCGGGCAGCTGGAGTTCCGGAGGCACAAAGTCGAATTCTCTGCATGGACTACCGTGATATCCCCCGTACGAAATATGATAAGATCACGCAGATCGAGATGGGAGAGCACGTGGGCGTACGCAAGTTATCGACCTTCTTCCGTCAGTGCTATGACCTCCTCGAAGATGACGGTGCCATGTATGTCCAGCTCTCCGGTCTTCGTCAGGCCTGGCAGTATGAGGATTTTATCTGGGGACTGTACCTGAACAAATACATCTTCCGCGGAGCCGATGCCTCCACCCCTTTATGGTATTATGTCCTGGCCTTGGAACGGGCAGGGTTCGAAATCAAAAGGTGAGTCAGCCAGATTCTATCAACAGGTTTGCCAAGACTGACAAGCTGCAATGGTAGCATTGACACCGTTGGCGTTCACTATTCTGGTACACTCTGGCGGTGGTATCGCAACTGGATTGGTAACGCGGAGACGATCAAGGCCACCTACGGTCAGCGATGGTTTAGAGTATGTGCTTATCAACCTCTCCCGGTTGATCGATAATGGCTGACGAAGCACAGATATGGGAACTCTTCCTTGCCTGGTCCGTGATTGCCTCTCGCCAGGGCAGCGCCACTTGTTTCCAGTTCGTCGTGGTGAAAAACCTCAACTCGACACACCGTATCAAGGGGGTATCGTCCCAGTACGGCTTATCAGCTGCGCTGGCTGCGAGTAGAAGCGCTGGCAAGTCGAAGCTGCCATAGGTCGGTCGGGATTTCATACCATCGACCGGGCATACACAGAGTAGAGCACTCTTTGCTCTTGGACTTCACATGCAGAGCTTACGTGCAATCGATATTATGGCATACAAAGGGGGACACTTTCTGTTATGATAATTATGATGATGAGAGATTCTGCTCTTGCGTGAGGCAGCAGCTTGACAGGATCATGTGACCCACTACATGAGTTCTTATCGATGAGGACTCGACTCCTAACGACCATGATGATCTCTTCTCGTGTCTCACATATGCACCGGTCGCATTGACCTCACCGTAGTTACCAAGTCATGACATAGCGACACTGAGCCAGACCTATGCCAATGCTCTCTGTTGCGTAGATAGATTGAGATGACTGCCAGACCCATCGACATGGCAACATGATCGCATCCGCTCGGTGGATCAAAGGCAATCATCTAAGCCGTCGGATCGAGGGCTACATGGCCTTCGTAAATGGCATAGAGGCGGGGGTCGTTTGTTGCAAATCAGGTGCAGAACAGCCGTCGATGTTGGGTGGTTAATGGGCGGCGGGGAAGTGCTGGGACGTTGGCTTCGTCGATGGTCGGATTGTGGGGGATTGCCCGTCGCATTCAATCTGGATGAAAGCCATTGCGTGCACGGGGTAGCCGCTCTGCTTTGGAGATCCGAGGGGTCTCAGAAAAGAGTTTCGGATCTCGCGCATAGCCTGGACATTGGGCGCCTCGGAACGGATTCGTGGCACTTGACCCGACCCTGGAGACAACTCCGGCACCCGTGACTGCAAAGAACCCCAACTATTGGGTAATGCGGGGTGTACTTCGGTGGAGTGCATGGGAATCAGTTCCCAGCATGGAGGGGATCCCTCTCCACTGCAGTGCATTTTTGCCCCTGAGGTCAGATCGGGCCAGTTGAGGTCGTACCTCTGGTCCACTTCTGCGGGGGAGCTGATAGGCATGCAGGAGCTGGAATTATCAGATGCTATTATTCCTCGTGTTTTTTTAGCTTATCCTTTTGACCTCCGCCACAATGCAGTACTTGCGAGACACGATGCATGAGAAATCCACAGCAACTGACGAACAAGATGCTGTAAGGGAGTATGACGGATGATACCACGAAATTATTACTACGGTCCGAATAGGGCAGCTATGCCTCATGAAGATCGGTCAGTGCTTAGTACGCAAACTTCTTTGTCGCGATTCTTTCATGTCGGACTACACAAGACTTATCACCGGTCTTACTGTTTGCATAATGTTCCAAATGATGTATTCTCTGGTAATTTAGTCCGACACTAAGGAGCCGTTTCCAAATCCAAAGTTGTATAGGGATCAACGAATGACTGGTAAGCACTGATCTTGAAAGGCAGTAGAGCGTGCATTGAGCTCTCTCCTTTACTGATCATGCATCCGAATGGCTGGTCGCGTCAAAAAAAGACACTCGCAGCTGGGCTGCTGATGATAGAACTTGGTAGCCGTCCTCGGATCCAGAAAATACATGCCTCGGGAGGATGACAAGGTGCATATCGGCCACTAGCATTCCGATCTAGCCTACAGTAAGTCTCTATCATCTTGATCGCTATCCGACTATCAGATGAAGTTGTCGCAGCAATTCGACTCATAGCACTTAGCGCCACGTGAGCACCGGGCCTCGGATGAAGATCCGAACCCGAGCCGAGATGCTGCAGTGGCTGTTATCAATGCCGAGGACGATGATCCAACCCAATGTTTGATTGGATCTGCGCAGTTCCCAGCGCAGTCTATTGTTGCGGGCTATGGTCAACCCCGGAATTAACCCCACAAGACAGAGGTGGGAATAATCTGGCTTTGCGCAGCATCCTTGGTGCTAGGACGGATCATGCGGGGTTCTTGAACCCGACTGTTCTCTACACATATAAACCACCTCCCGAAGCCGTAACAACCAGACACAACCTTCTCCAGACCTCACCAAAACACTACCTTCCAAACAACTACCACAATGGCCCCCTCAGCAACCTTCATTGATGTGGAACCGCCCACGGTGATTGGGCCCGCGACCAAGAAAGCGACGCGACCCTCCAATGCGCTGCCTCAATCCTTGATCCAGGGCGCAAAGGTAGCCAAACGAGAGAGTTTCGACCCCGCCAAGCACTTGAGCTTCCAGCCTCCGAAGTCAATCTATACGATGGAACAGCTTGGACTACAGGGCCATGGCATCTCCCCTAACGCTGCGAGCGAGCCGTTCCCGCTCTTCACCCAAGAGGCCATTGCCCAAATGAGAGCAGAGATCTTCGACGAGAAGGTGCTGGCAGAGTGCCAGTATTCGTCCACCTTCAACAAGAACATGGTCCGTGGCATGGGCCCTGCGTAAGTCCCCCGGAATAGCCCCCGGTTGCGGAGGCGAGGTTGCTAAGTGATTCTCTTAGGCGTGCACCATTCACCTACGACGCATGGAAGTCCCCCGAAGTGCTGTCGATCATTTCCCAGGTGGCCGGCATTGAGCTTGTCCCATCGATCGACTTTGAGATTGCCAACATCAACATCTCGGTGCGGGATGAGAATTCCGAGGTAGAGAAGACCATCTCTCTTGTGTCGGATGATGAGCTTCCGGCGGTCGCCTGGCATTACGATAGCTTCCCTTTCGTGTGTGTGACGATGCTGTCGGACTGCACGGGCATGGTGGGCGGAGAGACGGCGCTGCGAGCCCCGAATGGAGAGATCATGAAAGTGCGCGGACCGGCAATGGTAAGTTTTCGTGTCTCTCTCTGTCTCGCGGGTAGACTGGTAATTCATCGAGCTTACACCTGGGATTATCGGATAGGGCACTGCGGTGGTGTTGCAAGGACGATACATCGAGCATCAGGCTCTGAAGGCGATGGGTGGTCGCGAGCGAATCAGTATGGTGACTTGTTTCCGACCCAAGTCACCTCTGGTGAAGGATGAGACAGTCTTGGTGGGTGTCCGGGGAATCAGTAACATTTCCGAGCTCTATACACAGTATACGGATTATCGGCTGGAGATTCTGGAGGAACGCATCCGGCACCAGCGCAAGCAGGAGCGCGAGCGGGAAGTGGCGCAACGCCCCTTCAACGTCCCCGACATGAAACGCTTCCTCACCAACCAGAAGTTGTTCATTGAATCGATGTTGCAGGAAATCCAGGAGGTCGACTGAATCTTAGCTAGTCTAGAGAACGAATTTCATTTTGTTGAGTTTGCACATTTGATTTTCCTAATTTCGTGGATTTTTCATTTAAATTGAGTAGTGTCTCCAACGCAGTGCGTGGAGTCAGTAGTTGTCAGTCGTTTGAGTTCACTACGGGGTATTGTAATAGGATCAGTAGTGAGTTCTGCCAATGAGTGTGGTGTGTCTAGTGCGCAGTCAGTTGTAGACAGCAGTTGTAGAAAATAGGTGTAGAAAATAGGTGTAGACCAGCAGGAACTGTCGACGTCATACCCATCGGGATGGTCCAAAGAAGGGCAGAAAGGGAGAACTTGGAAGAATGCACTGGGCAGTGCATGATCCGAGATACGAGTTAGTACCGTACGGAATACAGTCTCCGTAGTAAGGTACTGCGAAGGCCCGTGACTGACTGTAGGCCCTAGCCGTCAAGCCGATCTCGGACGGGTCTGCCTGATCGGGTAGGTTGTCGGAAGATCCCGGGCTGGATCCGAAATCGACAGACAAACACATTCACGTCATGGCAAATTATTTCCAACATCCCTCCATCCCGGGCGTCGGGTGGCCCGGTAAGCGTATTGGGTAGAGCAGAGAAAGCAATGCCACTGGATTAAGATTTGCGGGGCCCCGGTCTGAGTGTTCAATGGATACCCCCAGGAAATTTCCTTGGCTTGGGCGTTGGGTATTTGGGTCTCTGAAAAGATTAATTACTCTACGTCATTCATCATTGGTCACCACTCACACCACTCACTTCCTCCCCGAATATAAAGTGTTGTCTGCCCAGGCCGACATTCAAGAATACACCCATCTCAACTCACCAAATCACCTCCTCTCAACATCATGGATTCCTCAAAAATGGTTGACCACAAGGATCACGAACACCTAGAAACGGTCCCAGACCAACTTGACATTGTCAATGATGACGTTTTCGGTGAACTCACCGAGGGTGGCCCCAATTATCGCAATGTGCGTCCCCCATGACCACTCACTCCCCTGTTGCCAGGATGGACAGCTAACGACTTCATCAGGTCGGCTTTGTGGGCACCGTCATCCTGATGATGAAAACCCAAATTGGCTTGGGTGTTCTCGCTATCCCATCCGCATTGAATGTCCTGGGCATGGTTCCCGGTCTGATCTGCCTGCTTGTCTTTGCCGTGATCACCACCTGGGCCGGATACGTCGTGGGAACCTTCAAGCTGCGGCACCGCGAGGTATACAGTCTCGATGATGCAGGGGCAATTATCCTGGGGTTGCCCGGCCGAGGCATTCTCGCAACCGCCTTCTGCCTGTGTATGTCCTCCCACCCGACCACTTAAAGCCCGAGCAGAACTCTAATCCGGAGAGGTCTCTCTCTGCCATAGACTACGTTTTCAACAGTGGCTCCGCAATTCTAGGTCTCTCGGTCGGTCTGAACGCGGTTTCGTCCCATGCCACCTGCACGGCGGTGTTTGTCGCCGTGGCGGCAATCGTCGGTTTTGCGTGTAGTAGCATCCGAACCCTCGGCAAAATCACCTGGCTGGCCTGGATTGGATTGCCGTGTATTCTCACTGCTGGTATGGCTCGTGAAATCCCTGTCCTCGACGCTCGGATACTGACGCGACTCAGTGTTGATTGTCACCATTGCCGTGGGTCTCGAGGATCGTCCCGCCGGGGCCCCGGCAACGCCGGGTCCTTGGGTCTCGGATTGGAAGGTATTTGGCAATCCGTCGTTTTCCGATGGGATTGCCGCAGTCTCGAACCTGCTGTTTGCCTTTTCCGGTACCCCCGGCTTCTTCTCCATTGTGTCGGAGATGCGTGATCCCAAGCAGTATACGATAGCCATGGTCACCTGTCAGGCTGGGGTGACTGCTGTGTATGCGATTATCGGCTGTGTGGTTTACTACTACTGTGGGAGTTACGTGGCCTCACCCGCGCTGGGCTCCGCCGGCGGAGTGATCAAAATCATCAGCTATGCGTTTGCCTTGCCCGGACTGATGGTGACCATGACCATTGTCACTCACGTAAGTCCCCTCCCCGATGAATTTTCCCGACTATCCGACGTGCTGATTCCGGTTTTGCTGGGATAGATCCCTGCCAAATTCATCTTTGTGCATGCCCTGCGCGGATCTCGGCATCTCAGCAGCAACTCGCCGACCCACTGGATCAGTTGGCTCACCTGTACTTTTGGGATCACGCTGGTGGCGTGGATCATTGCCAGTACGATCCCCATTTTCGATGCGCTCTTGTCACTGATCGGAGCATTGCTTTGCCCACTCATCTGCATCATGCCAATGGGGGCGATGTGGCTGTACGACAACTGGGGCAATGGCACCCGAGGCAAGCCGAAGACCTTGCGGTGGATGATCGGAGTGGCGTTGAATGTCACTCTAATCATCTTGGGGGCTTTCCTGGTGGTGGCCGGTACCTATGGCTCGGTGATTTTGATCATGAACTCCTACCGGGCAAGTGGTGGCTCGGCGGCCTTCTCCTGTGCGGACAATTCGAATTCTTCATAGTATCTGTATATCTGTATATCTGTATGTCTGGAACATAAGAATAGAAATGATACCTTTCTGTGTCGCATAGATGATATATACAGTATTCATGCATTGCAGCCTCAATGGCAGTGAAAACTGTCTGAGATGGCAGTGTGGACTGCATTTCTCTGCATCATGGAATCCCCCGCACTGAACCGAAGGAGGGAATGTTAGGCGAGGGGCTCTCGGGAGCGGCCGACCCAATCGGGACGGATATTGTCAGACTTGCCTGTTCAAGTAGTTTTCCCGACGCCGGGGTGGCTGGTCTTTTCCCTTTACAATTCACCGTGGACAACGTTCGTAACTTAGTACAGTGCCACTGGCTCAGAGTCAGCTATCTAACTTGAATTGGAAGTACCCTCTACTAGCCTAGCCCCGAGACTACCCCCCGTGACTTGACCCCTTTCTTCGCTTGGTTGAGGGAGGGCGTGTGAAGTTGAAACCCCGAAGGAGTCAGGACCAGAAGATCACTGGGGTGTCCGACGAAGTGGAGACAGAGAGGCGATGTAACTTGTAACCGATGTCGCTCGCAAAGCTTGACACATCAACCCTTTGTGACGAGTTTGACGACCGGGGATCACTCTGGGACTAACTGGAAGTGGTCCGAAAAATGAGAGCCAGCAAGCCCCTCGAGTCCGATGGCAAATAACCCGACGAATCCGAGGATGTCTCGGATGCTCCGAGCCCCTTCTCTGCTTCGGATGCACAATCAAACTTGCCACCTCGGGTTCATCCTGTCCTACCCCAGGTTCAGGGCCAAAGAAAAACGCGGGGCCCCGGATACTCGTTCGCTCCGTGGATATAAAGTGGATCGGTCATCTCCTGCTGCAGCCGTGGAACAACAAACCCCGGCTCCAGCTCATAATCCATCTCAGACCTTCCCGGGCCCTTTTTGCTCCTCCCAAGTCTTCCTGTGTCCCTCCCTACCTGGACAAACATTTCCACTTTTGCTAGTCAACAATGGCAACCGTCTTAGCAGCCCATACGATGGCTTCCGCTGCAATCACTCTCGCAGTCCTAGTACCCTTCATTCCACCAGCCATGGCAACGGCCAAGCTACGCGCCAATCGACGAGCCTCTTTGCCACAGCTTGGGTGAGTTGGACCAGACGCCCACTGGATTCTTTCGTGAACGGTACTGACCGGCCATAGCGATATCTCTTTCGGAAGGGCAGATGAGGGTCTCAAAGGCCTCTGAAAGAAGCAGCCGACAGCGTCACGAACTTACACGAGACATGAAGAAACTAGTACTTTGACAGCGAAGCGATGGGATGTTTGAGGAGTTTAATGGATGGGTCTTTGTAGATTATCTGAATAATGCTTGAAGATTCTAAAGGAAGAATCATAATGAACTCGATTGAATAACAAGAAGCTCTCTGAACTGAAAAAGCTGCGTCAACGATACTATCCTCGCATGGTAGCAGTGCTGCCTATAGTAGGTGTTAGCTCGAGGTTGCTGAAGATTTCGCTTCAGGCGAGCAGAGAGTAAATGGCCGAGGTGTCTATTGAGTCTTAGTTGATGGAAGCCACTGTCTCTTCTGTCAGGGGCTGGATATGAGAATAGCATGATTACTTGGGTTATGTCTTCACTTGTTCACATGCTGCCTGGCCTGCCATGAGAATTGAAGAGGCATATATACTATCATTGTATGAAACTTTACAATTCGGAGCAGAGCCTAACAATTAGACAAATATAGATCATAACCTCCTTCTCATATAGCTATTCCGCCACCAGAGCATTGACTTGTTGAATTTCAATAACTGCGTTTAGAGTAGTTACCACCTGAGAAATTCCTACTGTCGGTACGAGCTAAAGCTAAAGGGCGTGTGTGGCAGACCATTGCCACGCGCTCTAGATTCAATTGTGCGATTCCCAGGTACAGCTCCTTGGGGCGTCTGGAAATAATGTCTCATATTAATGATGAATACATCGGGACTCGAGGAAAAGTGCACTGGAAAAACGTGGGTGACATCTTTATCTGGAATAACAGGCTGAACAATACAAGCGAGCCTTCAAAGGGAGTTCCTTGCAAAACTGAAGCCTTAAACTATGGTTCTCAATGCCTCCTTCGTATCATATGTGTACTCTAACTCCCCGTGCCAATAGTTCTGGGCGGTCGCTTTCGATACCTTCGCAGCCAGATCCAGCGCCTCCAGAACATCTTCCGGCAAGGGGCCTTTCTCGAGGTGTTGGAGATTCTGTTCAAGTTGTGCTTGACTTGAAACACCAATAACGATGCCGTCATTTCCCCCGTCCTTAATGTTGAGAGCCGAATGATGGATCAGCCAACGAAAGGCAATTTCCAACAGGGTCAACCCAGACCGCTGAGCGGCGGATTCGATGATACGTAAGGCTTCAAAGAGCTCGTCCTTGAAATAGCGCTTGCGGTAGACGTCTCCCACCTCCCCGTCAACATTCGAATATCGGCCTTCGCTTGGGACAGCATCGACTTGAAGCGACGTATACTTGCCGGAAAGAAGCCCACCTGCAATGGGGTTGTAAACAACAATATCTAATCCATAGCGCCGACAAGCCGCAACGAGCTCGGGATCAATATTACGGGTAATGGCATTGTAGACACATTGAAAGACCTGTCATTTTGTCAGTCTGTGCCTCAACAAAGATGGGAGAAGCGGACCGTAGGTTGGACCCAGCCATTAGCTTTGCAGATCATGACCACTTCCGCCAGCTCGTAGGATGTGAAGTTGGAGATACCGAGCTTGCCGAACTTGCCCTTTTTATGAAGCTCATCCATCTTGCGCAAGGGTTCCTGAAAGGGGACTGTTCTATCGGCGGCATGCAGGTAAAAGATATCAACGTAGTCAGTGCCTAGCTCCTCGAGCGACTTGTTGAACATTTGTTCGAGTTTCTCGGCCTTGTGGGCACCGATTTTGTCTTCGTCGTTGCCGCCATACGGGTACCATTTGGTTGCGCAGGTGAGACCGCGCGCTTTCCAATTCGCAGCGCGGGTAAAAGCCTCTTGCTGGCCACCCACATAGGAGCGGGCGGTATCAATTTCACTGTAGCCTTGTGATTGAAAATAATCGAGCACCGAGTTGTAGGTGTCGAGGGAGGTAATACGAGCGCCAGTTGAAGGGTCGGGCCCGCTGTTAGCCATATTAGCCACGGTGGGTATAATAAGGTGACTATTTGGAGGCTTCCCGGACTTACAACGTCATTGTTCCCAGAATGACTCTGGCCTTGCCTGTTCTGGGTGACATCATTGCAACTGTTTTTGAAGTGTATAATGTTTTTGAAGTGTATGATGTCTTTGTTCGCTATGATGTTGAGCTGTACTCAATATATATATATATCTGGTTGGCCTTTGATCTCGGCGCAGGGTCGGGTACGATCCGATTCTCGGCCTCGGCTAACGCCTTCGATTATAAATCAGACGTATTCGCGCGATGTTTGTACTACCCTATCCTCCAGCCCGCATGTTAGCGATAACAGAATCATGACACTGATAGTGGCTGTTCTACGCCTATCAAAATCCACAATACTTGTCTGAACAACGTGGCACTCCTGAATATAATAATTGTCCTCTGTACATCAGTGTGTCTGTGGTTATCACCCAGAGTCAGCGAACGGGACCCTTGTATTCAGGTTCGTCAAACGCGCTGTGTCCAATTAGATCTAAAGTGTCTGTAATGCTGACGAATGCTCCGAGGTGAGGCTCAAGATGTATATCGTGCAAGGCATACTTTGCCCCGCCTCGCCAACTGTACAGACGTCCATGATGGTTACCACTTTATGAGTTACGGCAACGAATACCTACGCAAGCAAAGATATTCTCACCAAATACGCTCATTTATTGTCGGAAAGAGACAAGGGCTGGGATCATCAAAACTTCCATCGCAGCTAGATCGGCTCAGCCGCACGCGAAAAGATCGCCGGTCAGTCGGATTCTTGACAGTCACCAACACTTAAATTTTAGGGTAGAAGCTCTTGCACCGAAAGCGACAGTGCGATATTGGATAGGGCTTATTCAGTCTTGATCTGATCCGGAAATAATTTCCCGCCCGCAATGATGGAGCCCTGAGGAGCCCGGGCGCCGCGCTCGCATTCGCCTACCAAATTCGGCGGAAGTCCGGGTACATGCACCCGATCGGGGCGGCGGGGCCACGCCCTTCAGCAATCCTCCTGCCGACTACTGATAACACCATGCGCTCGCTACCTTGGGTTGTGCTCGGAACAATTCTAAATTGACACCATTCTGACCAAGGCGCGGCGCAAGTCAATCATGTCGATTTATCTCGAAGCAGAAGCAATCGCAGAATACTACACGCGAAGGAACAAGTCCGGAAGGTAAACCATGAACTGAACCAATGATCCCATACTACACGCGAAATAACATGCGATAGCAGATGTCATCTCTCCAGAATCATCTCCATCACGAAACGACCCAAGTTTGGCACCTTCGGTGAGGCAGTACGTATATGTGCATGTCGCTGTTCGAACCAGGCTGAGAAATCCTGACTTAGAGGACTAATTCAACAACAACGACCGTGACGAAGACCGTCATCTGCCATATCGAGGCCCTGCCCTCCAGCGCTTGATGCGATGATATCGTACAACTCCTTCGCCCAAAATCCTGCCACCCTGTGTACGTGAGATTTGATGAGTCGAAGCGTCGACGAATCTCGATCGACACCACGCTGAGACTAGTGCTTGTTAATGCCAGCTCGAAGGCCTCTCAAAGCTGCCCTCAAAAAGACAACCACGTCTGCGGGCTCCCCTACCTGACAGGGCCACCCGGCTGTGGAGCTCGTTCGGGCTGAGCTGCAGCATCATAGAGATTATCTTCGTGAACACACCCCGTGCCTAGTTCTTCGACTATCAGGTGATCTTGTCACGTGCCGACGTAAGACGAGCGTTTTTGGAGGTCCTGAAAGGGGTTGACATGATGACGGAATTGCGCGAGATGATGATCAATTTTCTTCTTTGGCATATATAGGTTATCTGGCAATTGAGTCTAGCACATACGACCACAGGGTGTGGAAAACAGGGCTTCCCGTCCGCTCAGCCGTACTTAAGCCACACGCCGGGAGGTTAGTAGTTGGGTGGGTGACCACCAGCGAATCCCTTCTGTTGTATGTTTTTGCTTTTTCTCACCCCTCCATCCGATGCCCCTCGTCTGACCCTTCTCATATAGACAATCCTTGAGAGCTAATTGCGCCATGTCATTGATCAACCTTTTCCATCCCGGATAGACTACAGGTTATGTAGCTTTTCGGATCAACTGCCCGTCTCCATGTGCGACCAGTGCCTCAATAAACGTCGCCCGGCCGGCGTGCACCGTCCTAACTCGCTGGTACAATCCCACAGTAGCATCATCAAATCCTCCGCCCTGACGATGGCCCGAGCCCTGACTGGCAATATCACCATCCTTTCTACGCGTATATCTGTCCAAGTTTCGAGGCTGCAAACCGGGCTGCCGCCTAGAACTGACTCACGAATATCTCATGCTTTCCACCTGGTACGATATACTCGACCGATTATAGCTAGATCAAACACTGATTGACAAGCACGGTATAGATATTATAGTATAATGTCCATCCCGATTCACAATGGCGGTATAACTTTGAGTAGGAGTGGGTAAATTTAACTCACAAAAAAGATTTTTATCACGACGCCCCGACAGCAGAGTACACGCCATAGTCTATTTGTTGGACATAAAACCTTAAACACAAGCGTTCAATAAGGAGGCTAGAACTGATTTTCTCTCAGTATACCGCCACTGCAGCTGTTAAGATACTAGATGCAACCTCACATCTGCTGGTGTAAACTCCTACAATACCCACCAGTGAAAGTCATCTTAAGGCATTACATCCGTTGCTTACAAGATGTAAACCAGGGCAAGAAGCTTTCCATACAAAGCAGAATCCAGAAATTTGCAGCGGAGGTCGCCATCCGCGCCAAGTATAGCTTGTGCAAACAGATCAAACACAGCGGTCAACAGGGCAGCCCCTGAGAGTGCTTATCGGGCACTACCCGAGTGAAAGTTCTCCTTTGCGAGATTCCCTCTACTTGACACACTCTTCACCCATTATCGACCAACATGTGCCCACTGAACAACGATATTCTTCTCCTTATCTTTGATCAAGTGGATAAAAAACAAGATTGTCTTACTCTTCTGCTCATATGCCGTCAGTGGTACTCGTTACTCCTTACCAAAGCCTACCAATCAGTCAGGCTGGGTAGCGACCAAATTCACCTTCTCGTGCGGTCTGTGCAGAATAATCCAGAGATATCTCATGCTATCAAAGATCTAAGCATTACCTCAGGCTGGAGATCGGAGAATGACTACAATGTAGAACCATTGATAGACACCGTAAAGCAAGTTTCGCCGGGAGACTGGGAGAGATGGGTGGATGGTCTCCGCGACGGCGAAGGGGATGCATGGCTGGCAATACTTACACTTTTCGTGACAAGCGTTACGAGTTTGTCTCTGAACATCTCAGGGGATTCGAGGTTTTTCCTTCCGATGGTAGCGCGAGTGGCAGCCCGGGACAAGCCTTTCGACAGCAAGTCCGTACTCCAGCATCTTAAGATTGTGGAGCTCGAAACAGATGATCTGAAGAATAGCTATTACGCCACTGATTGCCTTCCGTTTTTGAAGTTACCGTCAATGCGCATGTTTAGAGCGAGCGGTCTTTGCGAAGAGCAACGAGGAGAACCAGCTTTCTCTAAACCGGGCCCGCGGACCTCAGGAGTCATAGAGCTAGACTTTGGCTTAGGGCCGTGTAACGGCAGAAAAGGCATGAACGATTTCATTGCGGCCTGCGCGAATCTGGAAGTGTTCGAGTATCAGCACGATGACAAAGCAGTTTGGGCAGAGAGCTACGTCGGATTCCGTCCGAGAGCGTTCTACAACGCGCTCTGCACGCAGAAGCACAGTCTGCGCGAGCTAAGACTCAACAACACCGGGGAAAGTCACTCTGATGACATTGATTCTGAGGACGATGATGGCAGCGTCGCATGGGATGATTTTGGTTCCCTGGCCGATTTTGGGCAGCTGCGTGAACTACATATTCCAGTTCGGACTCTGCTACAGATTGGTCCTCACAACCGACCACCATGCTCTCTCGACAGGGTCCTCCCACCTAACCTGGAATTGCTGAACCTGGCCTACTACTACCAAGAAGACTTTGGTATTGTTATCGAGAACTTACACAGCCTACTCAAACATAAGGAGCATCGATTCTGCAATCTTCGAGAAATTCAAGTCCAACCTTACTGTGTGTTGTTAAAACCTGGCGCTATACCGCATTGGAGCAACTTCATAATCCCTGATCTTGTGCAAAAGGGCTTCACGCCATTCAAGGAAGAGTGTAACCGCCTGGGGGTCGACTTTAACTTTACGAAACATGGAAATCATAGGGTCATAAGACCGACTTGATGGATTCTACCTCCTGCAGCACCTTGCATGTCACGCTTGGAGCAAGCAAGCCAAACTATCTAAGATTACTGTTGGATCATACCGAAGCTCGGGAGTATCATGTGCAGACTCTGATGTGCGGACACTTGACATGAACAGACCCAAGGCTCACCTCTTCTCGAGACTTCTCATGGGCAGATGACCAGCGCTGGTACTATCTCTAGCGACCTATAGCCACTGGGGATTGTTGTTTCAATGATAATGGCTTGGCAACTCTGGGAAGAGGCTCCCTGAAAATAAGAGGATGGTCGAGAATTAGGCCCAATTTCTCACTCCTACGCTTTGAATAGTGGTTTTGAAGCGCTTTTCTAGATTTTGCATACAGCACAGTAAAGTGAATGAAGCATATCTAGCATGTCAATGTAAAGTCAAGGTATTTGAGCCACGGGCCACTGGTAAGAACTTCTGTCTTGGACAAGGCATTTATTCACAATTTTCAGGGCCAGTCCACAACTAATGAAGAAGGCTGAAATTGAATTGCTCGATGTTCTTAAAAAAATTGGCCCAGCTCTAAGATATGACTCGGCAGTAAAGTACACCTAGAACCAGCATTTCTTGCCTCGAACATAGACTGCATTGTCCATTTTATGTACTGCCAGTCAACTAACATGAGGGCTTTTTGACAACAGTATCATTAATTCATCGCCATTCAGGTAATCCCCATTGCTGCATCCATTCGCACCCCAGAACCTTGCTAATTGTTGCTCGCTCACCTGGCTCAAGCACTAACATCATCTTCATCATCTGTTGGAAAGCCGTCTCCTCATCTGGCGGAAGCGGGCCAAGGCCCTGTTTTTCCCTTGATAATTGTATATACTCTGCAAATCGATTATCCCAGCCCCAAAGCAGAGTCCCATAACGCTGCTGAAGATCCTCTGTCACGTTCTTCCGACCCTCATCGAACCATCTATTTCTTCCCTCCCACAGATCCCACCACCGCTGGGGGAGCTTTCCGAGCGTTTCCACATGCTCCACGGTCATTTCGTCCAGCGAGCCTTCAAATGTCTCGAACGGTGGTCTACATCCAAAAACATCCCATATAGTGCACGCAAGTGTCCAGATATCACTGGGAAAAGAAAGAGGCTCGTTTGAATCCTCAGCAAAACGAGATTCGGGTGGCGCAACCACAAGCGGGGTATGGGCAGAGTACTGTTTACTTATTCGAGGGTCGAAGGCTTCACCAAAGTCGGAGGTTTTGATCTGGGCGTCTGCTAGTGTCACTTTGTCACTTTCGATGCCTAGCCACATAGGCATAATGACCTCAGGTGGCACCCCGGGGTCCAGAGGGGCGCCATCTTCGCGCACAACGGGCTCCTTCATTGGCTCCCCTTTTTGACGGCGTAGTTGCTTGAGGCTAATGTTTTGCATGTCTGGTGGTAATTGAAGTAGGATGTTCCCTGCGTGAAGGTCTATGGACTTTTAGCCTAACGCAGGAAGGGGGGAGCTTGACCGTGAACGTACCACCATGAACAATTCCTTCGGAGTGGATGAAGTGCAGCCCGAGTACAAGCTGCGCGGCGATGGCTCTCGCTGCAGGGAGAGGAAGTAGTCGATGAAATGGGAGTTCGTTCACCCCATTCAGACTAATCCTCTCAAAGCTTGACACCAGACACTGATGGGTGCCATTAGGACAGGAAATTATGAAAGCATCCTGGAGGATTTGAACAAGGCCACTCCCCATATGGCTGGACTTAGTTTCTCTGAGTCGCATTAGAAGTTCCAATTCACGGGTTCTGTGGGCTGATTCAGCAGTTGAGATCTTGAGAGCAACAAGACAATGTTTTCGGGTATCCTCAGCAAGCCAGGTAGTAGCATTTCGTCCAAATCGCAGCTTGTCAACAACTTTGTATCGAGCCTAACTGAGTTCATCACCGAGCGATACAAGGTGATAGCCCCCTGGGACATAATAGCCCACCCGTTCATATCCCTCAATGAATTTATACTTGACCTTGCTGGACTCCATGCGTGTCACCAAGGCTCTTCTCACAGTCTGTAAACGGAACAAATGTGTTCGTTCAGACAGTGAACACAGCACAGATGTCTTAAGCAGATTAGGAAAAACCACTAGTAGCACAATCAGGCATGATGCTACACAATGGTAAAATACTGAAGGAGGTTGACAAAGAAGGTTAGCCGATGTAAAGAACACAGTCAGATAACAAGGGACCGGCAACGGAACAAGTATCGTCCGATATGTAGGCGCCCTATCTCCCTTACCCTGTCGCAGCTGGCAGGCTATCCCTTCAATACCGCCTCCCTGATTACGCTTCTTCTTCATTCTCCAACACATCCGCAGGTATGAGGAAGAAATGCTAACTTCTGGGAAACAAAGTAAATCCGTATGTGCCGACTGAACAGATCGAGGCGACTTTGCCAACCATTCAGACACTAAGGTTGGTAGCGGGGTGGGTTTCTATACTTTGGAGATGACGCGCATCCAATGCACAAAACGCGTGAGAGTTGTTCTCTTGTGTTAGCCGAAGCTCCGTAATCCTGAATGGCAGCTTAATCATGATAGGAGGTCACTTTGATAGATGCTTTCATTGACTGGGCGGGGCGCATAAAACCTCCCCAATCATTTATCTCCCTTAAGCATAGAGAAAAACATACGAAATCAGTATATACAAGCGAGCGACTCATGTAGATCTATCTGATAGAATCTCCCGATCAAACTAGACAGTCCACACTCCCCTCGCCCCAATGCTTCTTGGACCCTGTCGCCCCCTCTTCCTCCACACTCCCACTCCCATCACTCCGACTAACCTGCACCTGCACATCCGTCGTCTTGACAATCGCCCCGCCATTACCCACCCGTATATCTTCCTCGCTACTCAAACTCAGATCCAAACTCCCATTCCTTCCACCTCCGGCCTCCACACCCACATGATACTTCCGCATCTCGCGCCGCAGCACCTCGGTCGAGGTCTGTCGTGGCCGGTTAGCTAGAGGGAGTTCAAACATGCCCTCGTCCCGATTCCAATCCCCCTCCTGTGTCCCCCCACCTCTTTTGGTTGTTCGAAACCGGATTCCCGAAGTACTCGTACTATGGCCATAGCCATAGCGGTACATATTTCTGGCGGAGGAATAATTATCGGTCATGCCGAAGAGACGCGGCCAGCAGCGACTGGCGACCGCCTTGAGACACGGGGCGCAGGCGGCGACGACAGCGACGTGTACTTCAACAACGGAGCTGCAGAAGCCAATGGCGTAGGTCCTGTCGGTAACGGGGTGGGTTGGGAAGAAGCCGTTCGCGAGGAGGATGATTCTCCAGATGCCGATCGCTGTTGCTCTGTTGTTCGTTTCTTCTTCTTCAGTCCTCCTGGGTTGCGGGTAGTAGAGAGAGAGCGAGCGAACGTACACCAATCCCATACACAAAATCACGCAAACGGCCAGCTTCTTTCGCCATGGCATGTGCAGCCGGTAGGTGATCAAGGTCGGGATCGAGACAACGAGGATATCGGTAAATAAATTGATGGCGGCGGTGGCGACGTAGAAGGCCCCTTGGTTCAGGCAGGTGCCGTTGGCGAGGGAAGTGTCGTAGACGTAGGCAATAGGGTGGCACTGGAAGATGTCGACAAATAGAACGGCGAGAAAGAGGAGGATGGTGACGCCCATGGTGGACCAGATGAGGAGATTGACAGTCCGCGATTGCGACTCAAGGCGGCGGAGGAAGAAGAGGATCGAGAGTTTAACCATCGTGAGGCAGGGGTTGTAGACGAGTTGGTTGACGAAATTCCACTTCACAGCAAAGCCTATGGGTGAGCTGGTTTGTCTTGCCGTGGGAGGGTGCGGATATCACTCGGAGGGTTCGTACAATGAGGCCGGTTTTCACATCGTAGTCTTGGGGAATGTCCCATTCGTGGATGCCCACGTAGTTGGTTTGAATATCTAAGTTTGTCAGATTGAATATCACCTGGCCCATGAAGATGCAAACATACAATACCATGAGGTGATAGATTGGCCGATGGCCAGTACCTAGGAATGTTTAGTAGCGAATAAACTGACTGGGGAGGTCCGTCATGCAACCCACATATCCGACCACGATCAACACATCGTCTGCGACTATTAGCCCGAAGCTAAACCACCTGGTCGGAAATAGAAAGCTCACCAGGCCCAAACCGCATTCCTGTCATAAACCAACTCCATGATCGCAGCACGACTGCGATCCCTCCTAAAATAGGAAAGGCGACTACAACCCCCAGAGCCACTTTCTGGTGACTGTCGTCAACCATTGGTAGTGGATGAACATTCAAGCTTTGCAAAGCCCTTTGAAATTCACGGATGGGGGAAGGGGAACTATATAAACTCGGTGCAGCAGCAAATAGGGATACTCTCTCGTATGCAGGTCCATTGTGCCGGTTCCTGCAGCTGACAAGGTCAGCAGGGATGCGTGACTTAGTCTGTCTGGTCTGAAGAACGGCACAATAAGAGGCTAGACTCTTTGATTTGCCGGCAGTGAGAACCTCGGTCAGACAAAACATAGGCAATGCCCGTGGCGTGCACTATTCACCTCAGAAGCGATGTGCAGCCAATAATACCGACTCGTAGGGAGCTGGCATCTGGCCGGCTCGTCCGGAAAGCACGGCAGGAAGCGTGAATAGACAAAGCAAACGTAATTTTGCCGAGACGTGCGACACTAACAAGCGCAAAGAGATTAATTTCATGAGAGATAGAAATCGCTGCCTGGGTCTTGATTAGAAGCTAATCGCGCCGGTAGTTTAGGGCTCGGGGCGGGATTGGCCGATGCCCGGACTATCTGGGGTGCCAAATCACCGGACCCTCACTAACGCCGGACTATCCACAACAACTTCTCGCTAGCAATGAAACTAGCACCGGGGAATGCGATCAAGTGTCCCGTGCAATCTCCGGCAAGGACCGGTCCAGACGTAGGTCTAGGCTAAACAGCAGACTGCGCATCGGCCGACTGCACATTGTTATTGACTTTCAACCATGATTCAACATGGGCTGTCTCGCCTTATGCCCACCGATGCTGGGAGAATCTCCTGAGTATTTAAAGGCCCAAGTCCCGGCCAGTAAATGGGAATTGACAATCCAGTGTGCAGCATGGCTCCTTCAACACCTTCACTCCTGGCCGTTCTGGGCGTCTGTTCGCAGGCTTTTGCCGCTGCGGCGACAGTCTCAGTGGCTGCCACCACGGTGTCCTCCTCCAACTCAGTCGCCAATGCGTCGTATTTCGTTAGTGAAACACAGCAGCTCACAGAGAGTGTCTTGAGGACGCTGGGAAGCTACAAGTCTCTGTTCAAGTTTGGTGAAGCCCACCTATCCCTGCCCGCAGAGGGCATATGCAAGGTTTATCCCGGAGATGCTGCGTGGCCTTCGGCCTCAAAGTGGTCGGTATTAGACCAAGCACTGGGAGGTGCCCTAATCAAGACGGTTCCTCTGGCTGCCACCTGTTACCCGGCCTGGTCGGCATACTACAACCAGACAGCCTGTGAGGAGATCTCCGATGACTGGACTGTGTCGTACCTGCAGTATGTTCTCAACCCCTGTGAATGTCTCTACATGCAAAACTAATCGAAAACAGTGCTGCAGATCCCGCTTCAATCATGTGGCCCCTATTCGAGGGCCGTAGCTGTCTCCCGACTGACATCGCGACCGCTTCCAACTGCACCATTGGTGGCTACAGCAGCTATGCCGTCAATGTCAGCACTGTGGCGCAGATCCAGCTGGCGGTCAACTTCGCCCGAAACCACAGACTGCGCTTGACAGTAAAGAACACGGGCCACGACTTCAACGGCAAGTCGACCGGTGCCGGATCCCTAGGCATCTGGACCCACAATCTCAAGGACATTGCAGTTTATGATGAGTACCACCTGGGTAACTACAGTGGCCCCGCCGTGAAGCTGGGAGCCGGTGTCCAGGCCATCGAGGTTTACGAGAAGGCCCACGAGCTCGGCTACACTGTGGTGGGCGGCGAGGGCAAGACTGTGGGTGTAGCCGGTGGGTACGTGCTGGGCGGCGGCCACTCGCCCATGTCCAGTGTCTACGGGCTGGCTGCTGATCAGGTTCTGGCCCTGGAAGTTGTTTTGGCCAATGGTCGCTTCGTCACCGTGACCGAGCAATCTAATCCCGATCTATTCTGGGCTCTCCGCGGCGGCGGTGGTGGTAAGCACCCATCTCTCCAATGTCGATCCACCCATCTCGTTTACTCCCAGTACTTACATGATTCATAGGGACCTATGGAGTCGTGACCTCCATCATCACGCGCCTTCACCCCAAGATTCCTGTCACCGTCTCCACATTCTCCTTCATGACCTCTGCCAACGTCACCGCCGACACCTTCTGGGCGGGCGTGGACGCGTACATGAAGCGCTTCCCCACCAACGCCGACGCGGGCACGTACGCCTACTTCTGGATCATTAAACTCGGGGAGGAGAGCTTTGAATTCTTGATGAACCCTTACTTCGCGGTGAACCACACGGTGGCTGAGTTCAACACGCTGATGGCCCCGTGGTTTGCCGACCTGGACCGGCTAGGCATCACCTACACCCCGAATACAACCTACTACGACAACTTCTACGACGCTTGGGAAGCGGGCTTTCCCCTCGAGACCGTCGGCAGTGTGACGATGATGACCGGCTCGCGCCTTATCCCGCGCGAGAACTTCGTCAATGCAACCCTCTTCAACCAGACCACTGCCGCATTCCGTTCGACCGTGTCTGCAGGCTACTCGCTGCTGGCCTTCAACCTCAAGGCTGAGCTCCCCGCTGGTTACCCGGAAAGCGCGGCCAACCCAGCCTTCCGGACCACACTGATGCACGCTATCACCTCGACCAGCTGGAACAGCAACGCCACCAATGCGGAGATTTTGGAGACAATGAATACCTTGACGTATGATGTGCTAGGCAAGTGGCGCAGGATCTGCCCGGATTCCGGGGCTTACATGTCCGAGGCGGATATCCAGGAGCCGGATTTCCAGCAGGCGTTCTACGGGGATTTATATGCCCGGTTGTATGCCCTCAAGCAGCGATGGGATCCCGCGGGGTTGTTCTATGCGCCCACAGCGGTAGGCAGTGAGGATTGGGAGGTGATGAGCATGGATGGGTTGCCCAGTCAGAATGGGCGGTTGTGTCGGGTTTGATAAACCTTTGCCGGTACTAACAATTGTATAAAAGAAACTTTAAGATATGTGTTGTATAGGCTTGTTTGAACTAAGGCTGCTGTAAATACACCCAGGCCTCATGAAACTGCCCTCTTTTTGAAGAGTTGGCCTGTGTTTTCCGTCGAGTTTGCGGCCAGAAGGGTCAAGAAAGACGCTAGAGATCGCGACGACCCCCAGTAACTGATCCGATTGAGCATATCAATTAGCCCTGCTAGAACGGTCGAGTCCTGCGCACAGGGTCGGTAAATTTTGAATTCGGGGGCTTCCAGCAGCGAATCACCCGTGTTGATACTAATATAGGTGAATTTTCGAAATTCCTCTTCCTCCTCCTCCTCCTCCTCTATGGTTACTACTCGCGCATAGGCACGGTCTGCCGGTGCGAGTTGCAGATAGTAGTACCAGGCTAATGCTGCGTGATAGAGGCTGATGGAAACATGAACGGGCGAAACCGCCCGGATAGAAACGGGCTCGAGACAGTGTAGCAGGAGTACCCCATGGAAGATCGCCCGCTGCGCGCTCATCGATGCCGCGCACTGAGAGGTATATACTCTAATTTATATTTTTTGATTTATATTAAATTAAATATTTATATTCTTAAGTTTGACTATTATAAATAATAATATAAAATTGATATATAATCATGATTAAAAAATTATAACATATTATTGTTATAATTATAAATATATATTAATTTTATATTATTCAGAACAGTAATTATAATAATATAAAAATTATAAAAAATAAACCTTTATCTAAAAATATATAATATTTATAGATTTAAATAAGATTATTTTTTTTATTTTTTATAATAATTTATTTTCTAGATTATTTTTTAAAGTTATTTATATTCTTATTTTTATTAATATAAAAAATAATAATTATTTTATTCTTTTCTTAATTCTTAAATATAAAAATAATTAAGTTAAGATTAAAATTCTTAAGAATATTCTAGTATTTTTTATTTATAATAAAATAATTAGTATATATCTAAAGTATAATTATTTACATTAGGGTTTACATTAGGGTTTACATTAA